AAAATTTTTTTTCAGACTTTACTTCAAATTGCTGAGAGAATTCCTACAATTGCTACTCAACTTAAAATTGTTTGAAGAAATTTTTTAAAATAATTTTTAAAATTTTTTTAAGTTGGCGACAGTCAAGGCAACAATGCTTGGTTCTCAAAGTGAATTTTTTAATTAAAAAATTTTTAAAAAATTCGGGAAAGGAGACTTTAAAAAAACTTTAAACTTAAATAAGTAAATAAAAAAAATATTTAAATAAATAAATATTAGTTACAATTGGGCCATATGGAGAACCTGTTGATGGTAAAAAAAAATTTTTTTTTGGGTTGTATTTGCAGTTTAGAATTTTTTTGGTTTTAAGGAATTTGTTGAATTAACACATTAAAAAAATTATTTATTAACATTAATGCAGTGATTTGAAAAAAAATTAATTTTGAGTGTGAAAACTATTAAAAGACAGTCTCGGATCTTATCATAAGATACATAATACCCTTAACAAAAATAGGAAATATATACAAAAAATTTGCGTTCGAAACGCCAAAGTATGCGTCAAAATTTTGCCCCCATTCTAGTCCACTGAAATCCAACCCCTTGGATACGCTCTTACTAGATACCAGAGGTGGGTCGGAATTCCGACTTCCGACGTTTTTTTCCTTCCGATTTCCGAAAAAAAAATTTGATTTCCGAGTTCCGACTTTTGAGCCATTTCCGATTTCCGACACCTCTAACTGTTCCGACCCACCTCTGCTAGATACTCCTTTATTTAATATACTCTTTTTTTTAGAAATTTTAATGACCCAATTTAAGATATCGTAAGATAAGATTTTTTGTATACCCAAGGTTCTATCTTAAAATGAGGTCCGATGACTTTTTTTTATTTTTCTTTCTAATTTTAAAATAATTTAAGGGACAGAAGAAGATGAAGAAGCTATGGAGCAATTAGTCTTAAATGCCCAAAATTTAATGCAGTCGGTTAAAGATACAGTACGTGCTGCTGAAGCAGCTTCAATTAAAATTCGAACAAATAGTTTGTTGATTTTAAATTTGAAAAAAAAATTTAAAAATTTTAGCTGGACTTCGGTTGCGTTGGATAAGGAAACCAATGTGGTCAAACTTTTAAAAACAACAAACAACAGAAAAATGAAGAACTGCAATCAACAAAAAAATTTGTTTTTTTTGAAAGAAAATTGGAATTTGAAAATTCTTCTTGTAATTGTCTCCCTCTAAATTCCTCTTCCCCTTAAAGTCCCTCCCTCCTTCCTCTCTTTTTTCTTCACGCTATTTCACATCCCAAAAATTTATTCGGCTTCTCCATATTTTGCCTATACGACATTTTGCCAATAAGGCTAAAATCTACATTTTGCCCATAAATTTAATGACAAAATGTCTATTTTAGCCTTATTGGCAAAATGTGGTATAGGCAAAATATGTTGACAATTTTTCTCCCACAGAAATATATTTTTAAATATTTTTGTCTCTTAGGAAAACGCATTTTTCTTCCCAAATCCTGCTAATATAAATTAATTTTTTCCTAGGTTCTCCCGATTACTCACAAACAAAAAACTAGTCTGTTCACATGCATTTTGTGTCCCATTCCCCACAATTAAAATATGCTCATAATAAATGCCTTATAAAAAGAGTTGGAGTAAATATATTAATTTTTTTGGTTTAGAGTTTCTATATTTGTTTAAAAATAGAGAAAAAGATGAAAAAGTTTAGAGGAAAAGAAAATTTAAATCATAAACTTTAAAATTCGCGAAATTTGGCATAATGCAATAATTTTAAATAAAATGACTATTTATCCCCGAGTTAGAGAAAAATAAAAAAGAAATAGTGCAGTCAGAGAAAAAAATTTAAAATATGAGTAAGGTCAGTTCAGCGCGGCCAGTTGAGAGCGGTGAGTGAATTTAGATAGATTTGTGAGTTTAATCGTTTTAACGAGAAACCGCGAACGGCTCATTAGAATAGCCATGATTTACTTTATCTTGATTATCTGAATGGATAACTGTGAAAAAGCTTTGTCCTCTCGGAAAAGCGCATTTATTAGAAAAAAACCATTTTCTACGGTCTGCAGACCTTAAAAAGCATATTCTTCAAAAATTACAAACTAGTTTCTTCTATCAGCTCTTAAAATTTATAAAAACTATTTGAGCAAAATAAATATATTTTTATATATATCGAAATTCATTCTTCATTTTCTCTCGGACAAATTTCCAATTCAACAAGTTGTTGACGTGCCATAGCCAATTCATCATTTAATTCCCTCCTTTCATGCTCACGAGCAGCACGTTCAGTTATCTATAAGAGAGGGAAATAAAAGGGTCTTGCCCAGTTTATGTGTTACGTCTTTGGGTTTGAATGCTGGGCTAGGGTTTCTAATGTTTTTTGAGTTAAGGTCCAAACTGGGGAAGGACCCAAATTTCGAACATCTTTTAGTTTATCCAAAAATAATTTTGGCTAGCTAGTTGATTTTTAGTGATTTTAGATTTCTAAAAAAATCTTCTAAAATCTTTAGGGATTCTATAAACCCCATTATAATTTCCCAAAATTAAAGAGTAAGCTAAAGATGACTTAAGAACAGACCCCTCCCCTCCAAAAAAAGAAACCTCAGCATAACTTCTCAATATTTATGATGAATTTAAAAGCAACGTTCCAGATTAAATGACCCAGAAAACGTTAAGGAACCCAAACCAAATCTTGATAAATGGGACGCTTTAACTGGACAGGACCCATAATTTAAAAAATAAAATAACCAATTCCTCTCTCAACTGCAATGCCAAAAATTGAAGTTCTTCAACTGTTTGAGGCAGTTCAATTTGTTGTTCACGCATTTCTTCAGCACATTGAGATTTTAAATGTAACAGTTTTTCATACCTTAAAAGGAAATTTTTTGAAAAAAATAAAAAAAATTAAAAAAAGAAAACCTTTCATTTAACAAAACCAATTGTTCTTGAAGTTCTTTTTGACGATTCCTAGCCAATTCTAATTGTGATTCCAAAACAGACAAATCAGCTTCTTGTTTTTTACTGAGAAGGACAATGCGTTGTTCAAAGTCTTCCGTGTTGGTAATACATTGCTGCAAAAATAAGAAAAAGGAAATTAAATCAAAAGCTTATTCAGGCGCAAAATTTTTTCAAGAAACAAAACCAAGACAGAACCCCCTACAATAAAATTCTCAAGAATCATGTCTAGGAATTTAATATATCCCTGCGAAGTGTGTTAAACATGTTTATAATATCAGCCACAGGGTGTCCCTTTCCAAATAACCAAAAAGGGGCATGGCCCCTCAAAAAAGGGTCAAAAATGGGGCGAAATCGATAAAAATGAAGCAAAAAGGGGAAAATGTCCCTAAAAAGAGGTAAAAGGGACACCCTGATCAGCCATAAAGTTTCAGCAAAAAAGCGAAAAGATTTTAGAAATTGGAATTTTATTTGAAGTCTCCAAACAACAAAAAAACTGCCCAGTAAAATAATTTTCGAATTTTATGCCACAAATTCCTTCCCTAAAATCTAAACCCTCAGGAAATACCAATTAAAAATAAACCTGAATTTTCCCTTCAGTTTCTTCATTTAAAGCAGCAAATTTAATTTCCAATTCTTTTCGATAATGCCTCTCTTCTGTCAATTCTTTGCCATATTTCTCATACAATTCTAACAAAATTTAATATAAATTTTACTAGAAAACAAGAAAAAAAAACCTTTAGCCGCTGCCAATTTCTCCTTAAAATTATTTAAAATTAAAAAAAAAAGTGAACAAAAATAAAAAACCCTGAGAGTATCCTGACTGCTTTGAATTGTTTGAAGTTGAACCTAGACAAAATTTAATTTTTAAAAAATTAAAACAACTCAATTAAATTCAAAAATATTTTCTAAAAAAATTTTTTAAATTCAAAAAAATCTGTGCGTCCAACGAGAATCGAACTCGTGCCTACTGCTTGGAAGGCAGCAATGCTAACCACTACACCATGGACGCTCACATCAAAAGCTTCAAATAAACCCTTCTTATAATTAAAAGAAAATAGATTTTATATTTAAATAAATCGCGCATGTACTAGGTCGGTTCATAAAAAAGTTCGTTTTTTCCAAAAATTTATTTTCAAAGAAAAATCGATAAATCTCAAGCAAACTAAAACAGATAAAAAATCTATCTTTACTAAATAATTGTCCCGAGTCTTAACAACATTCTTAAACCAGAAAAAAGTCTAGTAAACAGTCCCAGAGGTCTAGTAAACAGTCCCTGGCGACGTTGAGGGACTGTCGCCAGGGACTCAATCACACAAAAAGTAGAAGGAAAAGCCTTCACAATTATAGTAATAAATCTTTGGGTTCATGTCTCGTATTTTTTGACAAAAAATATAAAAGACATCGCTGCTTTCCAATCAGCAGGCACAGGTTTTTTTATAACCAACCCCCCTCCCCCCTCCAGACAGAAAACAAAAAAAACCTCATAATTTCCGCACATTTCACAAACAGAGTTAGCATAAACACTTGCCTTTAAGAAAATTTAAATAATTAATATTAAAAAAAAAGATTAAAAAAACTAACAGATTCAACAGAATCACCACCTCCAGTTTCAGTCATATCTGCACAAATATTCTGAAACTTTTAAAAAATCTAAAAAATTAAAAAATATATAACCGAAATAACGGAAATTTTTAAAGAAATAATTAAATAAAAAATATATATTTACTCAAAAAATTAGAAAAAATTTCAGCCCACACCTTAATTAAAAGGAACCTGTCTAGTCTAGGTAAACATCCAATTTATTCGCAAAGAAACATTAGTGAACTTTAGCCGCCTTTAATGGGGTAGTTTTGACGGATTTGAGTTTGCGAATAAATAGGGGTCTGCATTAAAGATCGGTCTGGATCCAGATCCAGTCTGGATTTTTCCTGGATCCAGATCAAGAATCCTGTCCAGGTCACTCATCAAAATCCAGAATTTTTGAAAATACCGATCTCTAGTGTACATAAACTAGACAAGGTCCTCTTTAAAAAATAATCTCTCCTCATTTCATTTTTTCAAAAAAGATTTGTCCATGTGATCATGTGAACGTTGTACTCCCATTTTGTTGCTTTGCAAGCGTTTTTCCAATGAAGAATTTGCAGAATCCATAACTGGTCTGCAAAACATAATTTTTCAAAAATTTCCAAAAAAATTATTTAAAAAACCTTATAAAATTTGGTATATTATTAGCTTCATTTTCCTCTTTTCTGAGTTGTTCTATTGTCTTTTTAAAATTATTTTCTCTCATTTCATCCCTAAAAATTAAGAAAAAATTTTAAAAAAATTAAAAAACCTCCAAGAAGCATTTTGCAACATTGCTTTTCGCCTCTCTTCAATTTCAGCAGCACTCAATTTTGGACGGGATTGAAGCCTTTCTTTTGGTTGTTGTTCCTCTTTATGGCTAGAATGTCTCAAATCGTTTGTTTTATTGACATCTAAAATTGATGAAAATACAAGCAGGATTATCAAAAATCTTCGAATATCAGAACTTGACCGAATAACTGAACCCGATATTCTAATTAGAAGAATCCCAAATTATTTATTAAAAGTAAAGAACAGGGCACACTCCAATTTACTGCCGAGCGATAACTTCGCTCATAATTGTCGAATCCGGCACGCCAAGGTATGAGTCGATGCAACTCGATAAGCTGAATCGACCCATACCATGGCGTGCCGGATTCGACAATTATGAGCAAAAAACCTCCAAGAAGCAAGAAACATTTTCTCGGCGGTAAATTGGCCTGTTCCCTAAAAGACCAAAAGTCAGAATCAGCCAAAAAAATTTTTAAAAAAAAAAACCTGAAGAACGAGAAAACACCTCCCTATGGTGATGATGGTGACCTTCCTCCCTTCTAGCATCTTCCCTCCTTCTTTCATCTCTTCCTCTACTCCTCGATCTACTTCTTTCTTCCCTCGAATGTCGATGTTTTTCTCTTTCATCAACCCTCCTATGTTTTGAAGAAATTTCTTCATCCGACGAGGAAGAATTTCTTTTAGATTTTTTATGTTTTTTCTTCTTCTTTTCCACCTTCTTCATTTGTTTTTCAAATTCTTTTTGTAAAATACGTTGAGCTTTTAATTTAATTAAAGGATTTTCTAACATTTGTCGACGTCGTTGTTCTTCTTGGAACTTAAAAAAATTTTTCAAAAAAATTTAAAAAAAATTTTCAAAAATTTTCAAAAAAAATTTTTGAAAAATTTTCAAAAAAAATTTTTGAAAAATTTTCAAAAAAAAATTTTTAAAAAATTTTCAAAAAAAAATTTTTTAAAAATTTTCAAAAAAAATTTTCAAAAAAAAAATTTTCAAAAATTTTCGAAAAAAAATTTTCAAAAAATTTTTTCAAAAATTTCAAAAAAACCTTAAGCGCAACAAGCGGATCCTCATTACGAACTGTTCGAACATCCAACGCAGAAATTTTTTGATTGTGTACATGCCCAGAGCCATTTTGTAAAAGTTTTTGTTTAAAAAAATTGTCTCGGGTCTCATCGTCCTTGTCTTTAACAACAACGTCAGAATACAATTCAAAATTTCTGTCAATCTGAAAAATTAATTAATTAGAAAGCGGTTTTAACTTGCTAGTTATCACGCTTCCCCCAAAACATAAATTTTAAAAGAATGATGTTTTATATAAGGGGCGAAAGGCAATTTTAAAATTCGCTCCAAAGGCAGAATCCGGACTGTTTCTACCCAAAACCAGTGTTCAAAATGAAAGTGGGTGAAGATTTGAACAACCAAGGACATTTCACAACCTTAATACACCCTACGATCTTTGAGTATTTTTTAACGCATTACAAAGATACGACCACGTCCAAAAATCGATTTGATCGAAAAAATCGATAGCAGTGATACTACACGACGTAATATTTTAACCAAGACAAACCCTAACAATTACTCAAAAAAAACCTCAAACCTTTTTCCCAAGCAAATAATCTTCTCGATTAACAATCGATTTTGTGCCATCATACATCCACTGAATATTTGGATCTTTTGAAGAACTTGGTTGATTATCCATTTTCTAAGCTGAAAAGAAATTCGAAAATAATTAACAAAAAAAATTAAAAAAAAATATTTCAAGTATTTTTAAAAACAAATAAAATTTAACAAAAAAAATTCAAAATTCATTTTTATCTTTATTTATGAAAGATCGGCAAAGTCCAAAACAGAAAAAAAATTTTTGACAAAAATGTTTATGTGGAGGGAGTTGAAAAAAATAAAATAAAACAATTTTCTCTTTGTGCAAAAAAATATAAGCAACAAAATCTGTAAAAATTTTTTATGTGCAAGCAAAAGTGAGGATCAAAACATTTTTTTATTTGAGAAAAAAATATGGGGAGTGTGGAAAATATGGAAAAGTTCGTATTTTTTGTAAAAATTTATTAAAAACCAAAGGGAATTTAGGGGGGAAAAATTAGTCTGGAATTTAGAAAGTAAAGTCAAAAATTATCTACCCACCCAAAAAAATTTTTTTTTAATTTTTCAAAGAATTTAGAAAATTTTTTTAAATTGTTTTCAGACCCAAATTCAATAAAAAAATTTTTTTTTCTAAAAAACCCAAGCCCACAGATAAGCCAAAATCCAAAAAATTTCTTCCAAAAAATATAATCAAAAAAAAATCTTTCCCTTTAATACGAACCATATATTTTTAAGAGAAAAAACAAAAAAAACAAATGATTGTTGCCTAAAAATATATAAAACAATCCAACAAAAAAATTGAAAAAAATAAAATTGCTTGTAATAGACAAAAATAGATATTATAAGTTTTTTAATATTTTTTCTAGTTAAAATATTTTTTTGGAGTTTTCAGAGGAAGGAGAGATTTTAAAAAAATAGAGAGACAAAAAGGATATAAAATCCTTTCTTTTTTTTGGAATTTAAAATAAATAAAATTTAAAAAAAATTTATATAATGGCCATAGTCCTCAAAAAACACAAAAAAAAATTTTTTTTTCCTTGCATCCCCTCACTCATCAAAAAAAAAATTTTTAAACAAACCATCAAAACATTTTTTTAGAAGAAAAAAAGTTCATCAACTATGATTGACCTGCAGCTGCGGCAGCATTACCCGCTTGTCGTTTGACCCGTGCAATTTCTCTAGTGACCTAGAAAAATAAAAGTTAGAGTAAAAAATAAAAATTTCAAAATTTTGCCCTTGTGACCATTTCTTATTATGGCAATCTTAAAATTAGAAAAACTGTTAACCCAAATAAAACTAAAATTAGGAGGGATAACCAGCCTTTTGAAAGGCTACAAGTAAAAAATTTTTCCTCAGTTGACCATTTTCTATTATGTAAAAATAAAATGATTTGAGACAAATGAAACAGAATAAGTAGATATTACCAACAGTATGGGGTATTGGACTTTTTATGGTCCCAGCTCCTGAAATTTTAAAATCAGCTCCGACTCACCGAGTCAGTTCTGAAGCTAACTCCGGGAGCTTAATATTGTATGTTTTATGTTCCCAGCTCCTGAAATTTTAAAATCAGCTCCGACTCACCGAGTCAGTTCTGAAGCTAATTCTAAAAGCTATACCCAATCCTGATCACCCCCCTCATTTTTAAACCCCAAAACTTAAAAAAAATTTACAAAAAAAACTCTTTACCCAGGTAGCAATAGATTTAGCTTTATTCGTTCTAGAACGTCGACATTTAGCAACCAAAGTATTAATTCCGAATTCAGCAGTATCGACAACAGGCAAAAATTCAACACCAAAAGAATGAAGCAGATCACCAGCTAATGCACAAGCACTCGAATATAAATTTTCTGATGTTGTTGGTTGTGAATTTGAAATTTGAACAATTAATTGAAGCATTGGTTGAATATTTCGTTGAATTAATTGTAAACTTTCTGGTGACCCGTTTAATGCTTGTACAATACCAGAAAATGCATAACAACAAGATTCTCTCAAAGATTCAACATAGTCGATTTGGTCAAAGTCATCCTTCAAAAATATTTTTTAAATTCTGATATGACCAAATTATGCCAAACCGCCAAAATATCAAACACAGCTATATCACAGCAGATCAAAATAGGCAAAGGCTGTTACTCGTCTTTCAGTGCTGGAATATGGCTTACAAGGGAACATTTTTTACTGTCAGTGCGAATTTGATAATTTTTTGGTACCATTCGATAAAGGATCCTCGACTTACTATTGTGGAAAATAGCACGCAAAAGAAATAGAATGGAAAAGAAAAAAAAGAAAGATTTTTATTTATTCCCATGCCACTGTGAAATGGCTTAAAGTAACAGGCTGATCTGCTGTGTATATTGGACCATACCCATATAGCAGGGGTGTGCCGTTTCGTCTTTCGCCTTTCGTCTTTCGCCTTATTTTCGTCTTTTTTGGTGTTTCGCCTTTTCGCCTTTCGTCTTTCGCTTTTTAAAATCTGTTTCGGCACACCCCTGCCATATAGGTCTAATATTTTTCGGTTGGAAATTAGACTGCCCTTGAGGGTTTGAAAATTGACGTTTGGAATTATAGCGCACTAAAAAAATTAAAAAAATATTTACAGCATTTGTAATTTGCGCAGCAGATATTGCTTCTGTAAGCCACTTCATATTTAAATCCAAATATCGAGAATATTGTGCATTCAAAGCTAATGCCACATCACCAAATGTGTTGAGAACTTGTGTTTTAACATTTTTCTTTGCGTTGGCGTCCTTTAAAAAATTTTCTTTAAACTTCAAAAATTTTCAAAAAAAAACTCAAAAAAACCTGTAAAATCCCCAACATTCTTTCCATAATTTCATCCATATATCCACTAATATTTGTTTCAAAAGCTCTGCACAAATCAGAAACAACACCTACAGCAGCAATTCCAATCTGTGCATCATCGTGATTTTCCAAAGCGGCAAGCAGGAAAGGTTTAAAGTCTGGCATGTATTTTTGGAAACCGTCTTTTAACACTAAAAAATTTTTCGAATTAGTATTAGAAAGTATCTATCGAATAAACTAAATACTGAGTGAAATGATGTCATCCACCCTCCCGAACTAGTTACAAGAAATTTTTTAACGATTTAATACTTAAGCAATTTTGCTAGTTTTTGGTAACTCTCCTGACTTAATCAATCATTTTTACTGACAAGGGGACACCGCGATCTATCACCAAAAATTTTCTTATGAAACACACACCATCGTGTAGAGCGTGGTCAAAAACGTATTGTGCCAAAAATTAACATTAGGCCTAGCCAAAAATTAACATTAAGCTTCGACCATGCTCTATAAATATACCAGGAAATTAATTGTGACAGTTCAGAAGGGTTCCCTTATAAAAGAGAAAAAAATTGCCCATCCTCAGGTTTGATGGAGGCTCCGTCGATCCCTCCTCATGCCCGTCAATGGTTTTCTATTCCATCATCCCTATAAAATAAATTAAAAAATAAGAACCTTCAATAAGAGCAGTAATTGCCATTAAAGCTTCTTCAACCACAGCCTCACTCTCTTTCCCCGTACAACGTCCCATGATCCGAAGAAGACCCGCCATAATACTGTCAGAAATGAGAGGAGCATCCTCACAACGAATTTTGTGTAGAACAGATTGAAGCGTTGCACAAAGTTGAGATTGAAGATCACGAAGTTGTGAACGTTCATTAGACGAAATTAAAGCATCTTCTATACTCAACAAAGACTCTAATTTGCTCAAAATAATTATTGTAGTTTGTTGAACGGCTGGATAACAATCAGTTGGGCTGTTTTTAATTAATTCCATCAAGGCTTCATATGCAGCTATTCGAAGTTTATTTTCGTTGGAATCGGTTCTGAAATTGAAGGGGGAAATCAAAAAAAACTCCGAAAAATACAAAAAAAACCTGTCAGACGTCTTAATTAACTCAGTAACCATATTTTGGAAGACTGGACTCAGGATGAAAGTTTGTGGAGTACCCTTCTCATCTACAGCTCCTCCTTGGTCGACAGCAACTTTATAGGCGGCCTTTACAAGACTTGAGATTGCCTTTAAAAATTTTAAAATTTTCAAAAAAAAATTAAAAAAAAAGCAAACCCAGCAAACATTTGTAGCTACCCTTGGTTGATCTTGTAAAGCTGAAGAAAGTGCCGGCAACAACAAACTCAAAGTTTGTTCACGAGTTACAATTCCTTCACAAGTATCGCAAACTCTTCCAATTGCCCAAGCTGCAGTGTCTTTTATTGCTGGCTAAAATGTAAAAAATTTTCTGAGGAAATTTAAAAAAAAACATTAAAAGGAAAGTGAAAGGGTAATGCCAATGTCCCGTAATGCCAAAATGCCCCAATTCCAACCAACCAAATGCAAAACCCCCATTTGTGGAGCAACATGAGCACATTCCTCAGATTTTGGGGGATGGCATTACATCGCTTTTTGGGCATTAAGACGGACTTCACGTGAGACAATAGGATACAAAAACTTTGGCCCAAAAAGGCACAAAACCCCTCCCACACTAGTAAGAAAAATACTAACAGAACGTACCCCCACCAACCTCATCCCTAACAAAAACTCATAATAATTGCCCCTAATTCCATAAATAAGAAAAATCAATTTACATGAGTATCCGAAAGCGTAACAATCAATGGCTGTATAGCCTGTTCAACCAACAGCAAAAGTTTTTGTTTAGTCGGCCCTTCCAAAATTGAACCAAATGCCATTATTGCTGCCTCTCTATAATGCCAATCCGGATTAGTAAAATGTTGTGTAATGAAAGGAAGTATCAAATCAATAATTGCATCGCCACAACATTGAGCTAGCAACATGACAGCAATTCCTGCAGATTTTGCAGGGTTCCAATCATCTTCAGAGTCTGCTTCTTGTTTCGCTAATTTTTCTGTGAGAGTAGGCAAAATATGCGGGAGAGCACCCAGAGCATAATGTTTTGAGACGTTTTCTGGCGTTGTGCCTTGATCGACAGCCTTCAAAAGTTGCAAATTATAAAAAATAAAATAAGAAAAATCAAACCTCTTCAGCCTCAGCAGCCAAATTCAATTCTTCATCGCATACATTTGACCAAAATTCAATTCCTTGTAGAGAGACTTCATCAACTATATGATTGAAAAGGTGAACAAAAGTCTGCAGAGCAAATATTTTTTATGTTTCTCAAAAAAATTCTAACATAAATGGTTACCCAAAAGACCCATAAGCTTACATTGGGGGTCTAGAAAAATTTTAGCCCGTTGAAAAAATAGAAAAAAAATTTCCAAAAAAATCATTCCACAAACCCGGATCTTTCATTGCCTGAAGGGTTATTTGAAAAAGAGCGCGTCCCATATAAGGCTCCATGTGCCGATAGTAGAGAGAAACTATTTTGACCAAACATTGAAGAGCAACCACTTTAATTGATGTTTCTGTAGACTGGGTAGCATTGCAGGTCACTTGCATAATAATGTTGCGTTCAGTCTAAAATTTAATTTTTTAATGTTAAAAAGTCAATAGAAGGCCTACTTCAGTCTCAAAACTTTGTTTGGCAAAATCCAACGAGTTTAGCAAAGCTGTTGTAGCCGCTAGTCGAATTGTATTGGACGTCTCCTCCTCACGCATCCCATGTACAATAGCAGTTAATATCGGCCCAGTATATGGAAGATCACGAGCATCCTGACAGATGTAACCCAACGCTTCCAGCGACGCTTCCCTCAACATTGGCGAGCTTTCCGGCCTTGTAACATTAACGCTCAACTGGTCAATCACATCAGCCCATTGCTTAAACAAAAATTTTTAAAATTAACCTGAAAATTTTTATACATTCAGAGGGAGCTCGATACATGCAATGGCAGCCACGCACTGTGCTGCTGTAGATGGTCTTATTGTTTCCGTATCAAGTGCCATCATAGCACATTTCTTCACGTAATCTCGCATATCTGAAGGCGTTGAAAGCCATCTAGAAGAAAAATTTATAAAAATTGTATCAATACAAATTAAGGAAACCTGGTCTTTTTCTGATCGAAAGATGTTTGGCCACTAGAGAACAAAGTGTTTTTAAGTTGAAGACCGGCCGCTTTCCTAATAAAAGGACCGTTGTTGACATTAGAAAGTACTTCCGCAAGTTGTCTGACATATTCTGGCTTAAATTTTTTTCAATTTTAATTTAATTTAGACAAATAAGAACTCACAAAATTACCATCAGCGGCTTGTTGTAAGAGGTTCAGGGCATATTGTTGATCCTTGGGATCTAAAATGATGAATAATCAATCATATTTTAGAGGAAATTTAAATATTAAAAATTACCTCCAGAAAACGTTTTCTCTAAAACTTGAGCAAGTTCTGACATTTATAATTTCAAAAAAAAAAAATCTAAAAATGAAAATATAGAAGCAACAAAACAAAAAATTTAAAAATCAAGTTTCTCAAAAAAATTTTTTTAAGAAAATTAGCGGTAAAAGTTTAAACTTTGAAAATAAAAAAATTCCGCAACGAAAATTACAGTAAACTAAAAGTTCGATAATTTTTCTCCCTCGCTGTACTATTTCTCCTCACATTATTTATTTTGGTAAAATACGATTCGTCAAACAAAGGAAAATTATTCATTTAGTCTAATCTTTTTTATCAACTTTCTTTTCGTCAGTCTTCTAGGAAGTTTTTTCAGTTTCTTAACTTTTTCTAACCCACATTCTTTACAAGGTTCTCAGAGTTGAAGTTATTTGGGTTTGATAAACTTTAGCATTATTAGGTTATAAATTATGGAATGTTTGGTACATGAGATTTGTTTATTTTCAAAATATTTCGAAATATATTTTTTAAACTATAAATGACAATCGTGTGAGAATGTTTTATGAGAACTCTTTCTTTCCTCTATTAAATGACACCCCTCCTTTTTTGCTTAACTGATCTTTTGTATTTTCTTTTAAACATTACTAATATTGATTATTTTAGTTTACAAATTAGGTTAATTTATTTGTTATTCTTTTGTTTAATCAACAAAAAAGATTTAAAAAATGGTAAGTTCTTTAGCTTCTAAAGTCCAAACTTCATCCACCAATTCAGGTAAACTTCACGGTAGACGAAATCCGTGCTTTGATGGACAAGCGTAAAAATATTCGTAACATGTCTGTTATTGCGCACGTCGACCACGGAAAATCAACGCTTACCGATTCGCTTGTTTCAAAGGCTGGAATTATTGCTGGAGCAAAAGCTGGGGAGACGCGTTTCACTGATACTCGCAAAGATGAACAAGATCGTTGTATTACCATCAAATCGACGTTTGTTCTACTTTTTGGATCTTTAAATGATTTTTTAAAGGGCCATTTCGATGTTCTTCGAGCTTGACATGAAAGACTTGGATTTCGTTAAGGGAGACAATCAATGCGAGATTCAACAAGTAGATGGAGCACCAAAGAAGTACAACGGCTTCCTTATCAATCTTATTGATTCTCCTGGACACGTTGACTTCTCTAGTGAAGTCACCGCTGCTTTACGTGTTACTGATGGTGCTTTGGTTGTTGTGGATTGTGTTTCAGGTTTTCTTATTTTAATCCTAACTTAAAACAAAGAGCAATTTCTTAGGAGTTTGTGTGCAAACCGAAACTGTATTACGCCAAGCAATTGCTGAACGTATCAAGCCTGTGCTTTTTATGAACAAGATGGACCGTGCGCTTCTTGAATTACAGCTTGGACAAGAAGAACTTTACCAAACATTCCAACGTATTGTGGAGAACATCAACGTTATTATTGCTACATATGGAGACGATGACGGGCCGATGGGACCGATTCAAGTTGATCCTTCTATTGGAAATGTTGGTTTTGGGTCAGGTCTTCACGGATGGGCTTTTACACTCAAACAGTTTGCTGAGATGTACGCTGACAAGTTTGGAGTTCAGGTCGGGAATTTTGCCAATATTTGCCTTCAATTTCTCATTTAAGGTCGACAAATTGATGAAGAATTTGTGGGGCGATCGCTTCTTCAACCTCAAAACAAAGAAGTGGACTAGCACTCAAGAACCGGACACCAAACGTGGATTTTGTCAATTCGTTTTGGATCCAATCTACAAAGTTTTTGATTGTGTGATGAACATTAAGAAGGAGGAGACGACCAAACTTTGCGAAAAGTTGGGAGTTAAGCTTACGGCTGAAGAGAGGGATTTGGAAGGGAAACCGCTTCTTAAGACAATTATGCGTAAATGGCTTCCTGCTGGTGATACTATGCTTCAGGTTTTCTTCATTAACTTTTCCTTGTCTCATTTAAACCTTTTTAAGATGATTTGCATTCATTTGCCTTCACCTGTCACTGCCCAAAAGTACCGAATGGAAATGCTCTATGAAGGACCTCATGATGACGAAGCAGCAATTGCTTCAAAGGCATGTGATCCCAACGGGCCTTTGATGATGTATATCTCAAAAATGGTACCAACTTCTGATAAGGGACGTTTCTATGCTTTCGGTATGAATTTAAAAAATATTGACAAAACTTTAAATGTTTGTAGGTCGTGTTTTCTCTGGCAAGGTAGCGACTGGAATGAAGGCTCGAATTCAAGGACCCAACTATGTTGTTGGTAAAAAGGAGGACCTTTATGAGAAGACAATTCAACGGTTTTGTTGGTTTTTATGGTTTTAAAACCGTCTTAATTTTTAGTACAATTCTCATGATGGGACGTTATATTGAACCAATTGAAGATATCCCTGCAGGAAATATTGCTGGACTTGTTGGTGTTGATCAATACCTCGTTAAGGGCGGAACAATTACAACCTACAAGGATGCTCACAATTTGCGTGTTATGAAATTCTCTGTCTCTCCTGTTGTGCGTGTTGCTGTGGAACCGAAAAATGCTGGGGATTTGCCAAAATTGGTTTTTGTTTTTAAATTTTGACTGAAACAAATTTTGCTTAATTTAGGTTGAAGGTTTGAAACGTTTGGCTAAATCTGATCCTATGGTGCAATGCATTTTTGAGGAGTCTGGAGAGCACATTATTGCTGGTGCTGGAGAATTGCATTTGGAAATTTGTTTAAAGGATTTGGAAGAGGACCACGCTTGCATTCCAATCAAAAAGTCTGATCCAGTTGTGTCATATCGTGAAACGGTCACTGAGGAATCTGATATTATGTGCCTTTCAAAATCGCCAAACAAACACAACCGTCTGTTCTGCAAAGCAAAACCAATGGCTACTGGATTACCTGAAGCAATTGAGGGTGGAGAAGTCAGCCCAACTGATGATCCAAAAAATCGTGCAAGAATTCTTGCTGAAAAATATGAATTTGATGCGACTGATGCTCGTAAAATTTGGTGTTTTGGACCTGAAGGGACTGGAGCAAACCTTTTGGTCGACGTGACGAAAGGAGTTCAATATCTTAACGAAATAAAGGTTTTTTAAATTTATGAATTTTTAAAACAAAAAATACCTTCAGGATTCGGTTGTAGCAGGATTCCAATGGGCAACCAAGGAAGGTGTAATGTGTGATGAGAATATGCGTGGTGTTCGTTTTGATATTCACGATGTGACTCTTCACGCTGACGCAATTCACCGTGGTGGTGGTCAAATCATTCCAACGGCACGTCGTGTCTTTTATGCTTCCGTCCTTACTGCAAAAGTTTGTTGAAAATTTTTTTAATTTTATAAAAAATTTTTATAGCCTCGAATACAAGAGCCCGTCTATTTGGTTGAAATTCAATGTCCAGAGGCAGCCGTTGGTGGTATCTATGGTGTATTAAACCGTCGCCGTGGTGTTGTCTTTGAGGAAAGCCAAATTGCCGGAACACCAATGTTCATTGTTAAGGCTCATTTGCCTGTAAATGAATCTTTTGGTAATTTTTAGAAAAATTTTTTTTAATATTTACCTTTCATTTTTTAAAGGTTTTACTGCTGATTTGCGTTCAAATACTGGTGGGCAAGCATTCCCACAATGTGTGTTCGACCACTGGCAGATTTTGCCTGGTGATCCATTCGAGAGCACTTCGCGTCCGGCACAAGTTGTGGCAGAAACGAGAAAACGTAAAGGACTTAAGGAAGGAATCCCGTCGCTTGATAATTTCTATGATAAACTCTAAAGAAGAAAGAAAGGTTTAAATAAGAGGGAGGAAAGGGATTTTTGGAATTATATTTTTGTTTTGTGTGTGTGTTTCCCCGCTTATTTTCGACAACCCGTTATGTGACAAAATTGTTATTGTGTTGTTGATGAAATATTATTAATCATTTAAAAAAATATTGTTTTTTATTTAAAGTAATATTGTTTGATAAAGAAAATAATGGGTTTTTGTGGGTTTTAGGGGAAGGTTTAGAAGGGTTCCCGAGGGATTGGGGTCGGTTTTAGGGTGGAGAGGCGTTGGCTCGCGATGCAAACAGACATTTAGGCTGACTACTTGCAGAAATTTCAGAATTTTTCATCAAATATTTCTAAAGTTATAGTCGATAAACCTAGAAAAATTCGGCATTTTTATGAGAATCAACAGGTTCCGAGGGATTTGGCTTGACAATTTCTATGAAAACTTTAGAGACGAAAAAGGTTTAAGGCCAAAATTAAATTCTACTTCTAGTCCAAAAATTCTAAAATCTTTTTCCCAAAAATTCTGAAATTGTTGGAGAACTTAGATAAGGATACGAGAATTATTACTGCAAAATTTTAGTCTTCTGGATAGACATATCCGTTTCATAAGCTCGTGCCAAAACGGCCTAGTTCCTTTCCCGAGAAAAAGAATTCTTTAAAGTTTTAATCGAAAGTATTTATTTTTTAGCCGTTATATATTTAAATGGCAAAAAAAAGTTCCTTTAGTTTTGTACAATAAACATGTAAAACTTCTTTTAATTTAATTATATATAATCTGGTTTGGAGCTACTTTCATTTTTGTAAAGTATTTTTAATTTTTAAATTTAAATATTTTTGGATATTTTCATCAAAAGCGCCATTAAACAGATGCCATAGCTAAACCATCCACTTTTGCCAAATCCTCTTTTACTGTCCTAAAAGCCAAGTCCTCCTTGATTGTCCTTAAAAATTGAGAAATAAAGGTTAAAGGGTTGTTAAAAAGTTAAACCTTTCAAAATCTTCCCATTCACCAGGACGAACATTATAGAGGCTTTCATTAACATCATAAATATGTAAACAACCAGAACTGTCCCCAATTATTAATTGTTGGCCTGAAACAAAAATTTTTTGTTATATGTGAAAGTCAATTTTTAAATAATCTCCAAAATTGGATGCTCGACTTAGGACGTTTTTTGTTTGAAAAATTTTTTCGAAAATCAGAAATCGAGAAAAATCACCAACAAGACGAAACCAAATGAAAACCATTAAAAATCGAAAATCTAAGGAAACGGCTTTGGTTTTGGAGCTGCTAAGCGCACCACCTATTAAGGGCACGATTCAAGGGAGTGTTTTTGGTGTTTTTGGCACTTTTTTTCTGTCGCTGAATCTTTGGCTTTTTTGATGTTTCACCCCTTTCATCTTTTAAAATTTGTTTCGGCACACCTCTTGTACGATTCTTTCTATTCCCAAGGGGGATATACCAATTAAAAGAAATATTTTTTTCTTACCATTACGCGACCAATGCAACCTTGAGGTAGACACACCAATATCCAATGAAGTTAACGGATTTTCAGTATTTTTATTTAAATTCCACAAATTTAGCTTTAAAAAAAAGAAAATAATTTAAATTAAAAATATTCTAAAAATACAGTTCCATCAGATGAAAGAGAGGCAAACACTGCTGGATGAACTGGCGACCATTGAACATCGGTAATATAAAATTTATGTTTTCGCTCCACACACAATAAAGGCTCAGATTTTGATACATCCTTTAAAAGAAAAAAAGTTTCTAATTAAAAAATTTTTTTGACAAGGCGACATTTCATCCCAAAATTAAAAAAAAATTTCGACAAGGTGACAGATGGTCCAAAATACTTAAAAAAATTTCGCTGGGTGACATTTCATCCCAAAAATAAAATTTTTTCAATAGGTGACATTTCATCCCAAAAATTAAAAAAAAACTTTCGACAAGATGACAGTAAGTCTAAAATATTTAAAAAAATTTTCAATAGGTGACACTTCATCCCAAAAATTAATAAAAAGTTTCTCAGTTAACACTTCATCCCAAATTTTTTTTATGAATTTTATACCTTTAAATCCCATAATTTAATACTGAAGTCCAAAGAACCAGTTAAGCAGAGACTAGAAAAGTCGATTGGACCTTTTGCTCTGTGCATATCAACTGTGGTAATAGGCATTGAATGAGCTAAAAATTAATTAAAAATTTGATTAAAAAAATTTTAAAAATTAAAAAAAACCTGGAATGCTTTTACAAGTATCTTTAATATGTCTATCAACAATATATAACTGATTATCTTCATCCCCTAACACTAAATCTTTAATACTGCCATGAGCAAATGACATACACAAAGCTGACATCTAAAAAATAAACGTTATTTTTAGGGGTTTAAGAAACTCTTTCAGATGCTTGTGGGACTTCAAAAATCTTTTGATGTGCTATATAAAGTTAAGAGAGAGATAAAAGTATAGCCACAGGCAGACATTGATGCTTCGACTTCCTGGCAGTTATTGCTATAGCCGTTCTTACACTATGTGTACAGAAGCGCCTACTGACCACTACCAAGTCGATGCAAAAACCCCTATCTTTTTAATAAATATTGAATCCACCTCCCCTAACTCTAGTAAGCTTTTAAGTGTTAGATAGCTGGCTATAAACGCCAATTTCAGAGCATATGAAGAGGGCTGAAATGGAAGAAATTTGGCTTCTTGGCCCTTTAAAATCGAGGATTTTTGCCTACACTCCGGAAAAATACGATCTGAATATGCCCTAATTTGGACCTTATTCTATAACATTTAAACCGAAAAAAAACCCAAGAAAAGTCTTGAGTCAAGACTAAGAGTCTTGGACATCTTTAATAAAATATCAACCCCCACCCTCTCTATTAAGCGTTTTAAATGTCAGCTAGCTGTCAATTCCATGACTTCTTGACCTTCCAAAAATAGACGATTCTTGCCTATACTCTGGAGAAATAAGTTCTGAATACGCCTTGGTCTAGACCTCATTTTATAATAAAAAATAACCTGTTTTTTAGTTTTTGGACACATTAAATTATGAGAATCAATTGGTTGTTGCATATTATCAATATTCCAAGAACATAAACGCCCGTCTGTTGAAACAGTAACCAAATCATGAGCGTTTGTTGAGCCTACCATACGCATACAAAGCACCGGTTGTGTATGAGCGGTTGAAGAAAGGGAAGTCTTTTTGAAGAAAAAATTTTTTAAAAATTTCTAGGTACTTGTCTGTCATCCCCTTCACCCATTTTCCCAATTTGAGCGAATATAACGTTTATGCTTAATCCAATCCGAATGAATTTTATATCATTCGAAAGCCCTCGATAAGTGTTATCTTTTTCCCAAGCAGATGTATCAAGTCTGATCCCTCGTAAAAAAGTTACGACTTAAGAAGTGCAAGAAATCGTTGCTTTTCACACTTGTCGGCTTTTAACTTTTCAAACAAAAAAAACCTTATAAAATTTAAAAAAAAACCTTATAAACAGGCATCTTTTTATTAACTCGAACATCCCATATACATATTTGTCCAGAATAGCAGCCACCAATAATTATATTGTCTTTGAAAGGGTCAAATGTCAAACTCATCACGCGTGAAGAGCTGGTGAATGTGGCTCTAAAAAATAAATTTGAAAAATTCCCAACTGAAAACCTCTGAGATTTTTCGGTTTGTGTTAACAGAATAGATAAAGTTTACGCAAGAACCTACTCCAAAATGGGCCAAATTATATACCATCTGATTCGTCTTAGGTCAGCAGGCCCGTAACAAGGATTTTTTCGGAGGAAGGGGCAAGGGGGCCGCCCGCCCTGATCCCCATCCTGGTTACGGGCCTTCGACCTGACCTGAGTCGCATGGTGGTACCACTGCTTAAGTGCGGAAATGCATGTGGACCGAGATTATGTCCATAAAGATGGAAAAACCGTAAGGGGAAGGGCACAGCTAATTTGTAGTAAAATTCAAAAATGAATTCCAAAAAATATTTTTCGAAATTTCAAAAAATTTTCCCCACAAAAATTCCCCAAAAAATTAATTTTCGCTTACTCTGGAGTAGAAGTCTTAAACCTCGTAGTCCACAAATTAATAATACTGTCAGGTGCCAGAGGCGCTTCTCTATTTAAATCATAAGAAACAGCCATTAATTCTGCATGTATTGAAGAAAAATCGATTGCTCTAACTGCTCTATTTGCTGTTGTTTTTTCATCAAAAATTTTTCTATTAAAAGTCAACATTTCTCGATTATCTATTTTATCGTCTGTTCCAGATCCATGTGTTCCATTTATGTAATCAACAAAAATATCGGCCTAAAATTTAAAAAAATTTTTTAAATTATTTTAAATACTTAAAAAATTTTTAAAATATATTTGTGAAAATAAAAAAAAATAGAAAACTAACCATAAATAAAATAAAAACTAATCAAATACTGGTGAAAAAGTAATTCCCGACCCAAAGGATTCGAACCCCCAACTATAAGTTATCAAAACCAAGCACACTACCACCTTAGCTACAACACCAACTGTACTTACATGTAAAAATTTGCAATTTTGGTGTTAGGTAAATAAAACAGCGTTATACTCTTGTCAATGTAGACGCGCGATTTATTGGGAAGTATTTCAACATCCCCAATAAAAAAAGTAAAATCTTCCAAAATGAAACTAGGTCCCAGAAACACCCTAAAAACTCTTTCGCCTTTCCCCATTTAAAATTATTAAAAAAAAATAAACAAACTTCTTCAGCCAACGCTCTTTCAATGACTCGTGATGCTTGAGAAAAGAATCGAGAAAAATCGCTACTGCTTAAAATTTTCCGTTTTTCCTCATCGCTTAAAGGAGGCATTTTTGTACAAGTTGCTAATGTTATGCTTGTATGATCATCTGTAGTGTCTTTTTTGTTGAAAGATTTGAACTGAAAAATTAGAAAAAAAAGTTTTGTATAAATAAAAATATTTAAAAGGCCAATATTTTAATAAAATCAGATGGGGATTATGAGACATTGACCCGTAGCCAGAGGGGTTCTAAAAGGTACAAATTTCTAATTATATGGAGTAAAAATGGAAAAATTGATGAAAAAAGGGCGTGTTGAGAGAAAAAACCCGAGTCGGGTTTCGGATCGAATTTTCAAAATTTACTTCGGATCGGGTCTAAAAAAGTTCGAGTTTTTGGGTAACAAGGCCCATTCCTTACAGACATCGTTCTATAAGTTTCAGTCTAACAACTTAAAAGATACTATCATTTATTAAAGATAAACCATGATTAAAAACGATTTTTTCAATCCAAAGAGGCCATTTAACGTGAGGTTCAAGTCTAAAAAATGGCCGGAAAGCACATTTTTCACATTCCAAGAAAGATGAAAAATATCGCAATCGCTACATTCAAAAATTAAAATTAAAAAAAAAACAAACATGTTGTCCATGATTATTAAACTGCAAATTATTAAGATGCTTCCTAATCTCTCTAGTCGGAGATTCATCAAAACTTCCAATTTGAAGTCCAGCCCCTTCATCAATCGACACTTCATCATCAAAAGCAAATTCTTGTGAGCCCATACTAAATTCCCCATCAGATTTTTTTTCATCATCAGTTTGGGTAGTTTTGCAATATTGGAGCTTAAAAATGAAAAATTCTTCAGAAAATTTCAAAAAAATTTTAGAAAAAAATTTACGCATTCTGTCCTCGGTTGTTTAATCGAAATTGATTGAGCTGGAATTATTGACAAATTCTGAGGACGCTTAACACGAGCATTTGCATTTAAAGCATTATTTCCAATGTGGTTTTCCACATAAAGCTTTATAAAAAAAATTAGTTTAAGCAAACGAAGATAGAATTGCCGTTTGTATTTCACTCTTAACTTTTACACAAATTTGCATTTTTGCAGTCGTAATTACTGGCCGTAAATCAAATCATTAACTAAAGATTCGTTAAACCAAGAGATTTATTTCGTCTATGCCCAAACCCAGTCTGGGCCCAACATTTGGTGTAAAATGACGCGAATTTTGGTTTTATTCAAAAAATCAAGAAAACCCACGTTAGTGACAAAAATCTTACACTAATAACCTAACGGATAGGGTACTTATTTAGTTCCCCCCCCCAGCCAGTTTTTTCGAAAATTATGTAAAAATGATCAGTCTGAACAACAATTGTAGAACCCATCGAGCTGTGTCGAATGACACCAAAATCGACCAAATCCGACTTGATTGGACCGAAATACAGACCCCTGAAAATTAAACAACCATGGGGGTGATTTTTCGAAATAAAAAAAGTTTACCCAAATGATAGCTCATTCGAAAGAGCTCGTCGAGCTGAGTCGAATGACACCAAAATCAACGAAATCGGACAAGATTTGACAAAGTTATGACATTATTTAGACCTACCGGAGTCGACGACTTATGTCATAACTTTGTCAAATCAAGTCGGATTTCGTTGATTTTGGTCTCATTCGACTCAGCTCGACGAGCTCTTTCGAATGAGCTATCATTTGTATAGATTTTCGTCTTTATGATTTTGTGCCCCTGTGGTTTAGGGGTCTGTATTTCGGTCCAATCAAGACGGATTTGGTCGATTTTGGTGTCATTCGACACAGCTCGATGGGTTCTACAATTGTTGTTCAGACTGACCATTTTTACATAATTTTCGAAAAAACTGGCTGGGGGGGGGGAACTAAATAAATACCACGGATAGACCCAGATTCAATAGGGATAAGTCTCCAAACTCGAAAAAATCCAGAATTTCAAAATTTTGAAGAGAAGAAAAGGGCCAACACAAACGGCAATTTACCCAAAATAAAAATTTAAAAAAACTAACGACTCCATTGCATTCTCGAGATGTCGAATTAGTACTGCTTGGATCACTTGGAGCCTCTTCCCTAAGTTTGGATTCAATTCCAACACTGTCCAACATTGCTCTAAGCTCTGCAGGTGTCATCGTCTTTGCTCTTTTTGCTTAAAACAAATTTTAAATATTCTAAAAAATAAAAGCAAACTGTCAATCATCAAAGAAGCTCTTCCATCAATCCTTTGCCTTGAAAGTTTTGCAGCTCTAAGTTCATCTAGCCTTCGCTTTTTCTCTTCCAATTCTCTTTGCCGTTCACGAGTCTCGTTGCTATCAGCCATTTTAAGATAAATATTTCTCTGAAAAAATGATTAAAAGTTTAAATTAATCGTGTCAGGCTAACTCACGGAACGGACAAATCACGGAACGAACAAGTCACAGAATGACCAAAAGACGGAATATTTTGAAAATCGGAATATTTTTATAAATCAGAATTTTTTTCTAAATTCTGTTTTTTAAAATATTCTGATTTTTTAAAGTCTTCTTTTTAAAAAATATTCCGTTAAAAAATTCCAATTTTTAAAATATTCCTTGTTTCGGTCATTCTGTGAGTTGTCGTTCCGTGACATGTCTGTTCCGTGATTTGGAATTCCTCGAGTTAGCCCGTACCTAAATTAATTAACAAAAAAATGTTGCAGAAAAATGAATCAATTAGTAATGAAAAAACAAACATTCCTTTCTTTTTTACAAGCCGAAAAACAGAACGCCAAAAATAAAAAAATAATGCCAAAATAAAATTTTTTTTGAAATTAAACACAAAATTCCACGTGAAACTCCCGTGGGACGAAGTAGACAATAAAAAAAATGTGTAAAAAAGATTGATTAACCACAATTAAAAAATAGGACAGACCTCACTTTAAGGTATACAATTTGGGCCAAAAAAAACTTTTAAAACAGGCGAACCTCAAATCAAGGTGTATTTCATAGTAGAGATCGGGATTTTTGAAAAGCCTGTGCCTGTTCCTGGGTTTGATTTATTGACCTGGGCCGGATTCTGAGCCTTCAGTTCAGTAAAAACTCCAAGTCTCTAACCTTGGGCAGGTATCCAGGAAAACCCAGGAAGGGCAAAAAAATGCCTGGGCCTGGACTCTGAGTACAGGAAAAACCCAGGCCTCAGTCCACACTCAGCTCGATCACTACTTCATAGTGTATTTATGGGTGTATCAAGAATGACAAAAGTTGAAGAAAAAGTCGGAACAGAGGATTAGAAAAAGTATCGGGTTTCTGGTAACCCATAAAACATTCTGGATTTCTCAAAAATTATATTTATAACAATTCTAAAACAAATTAACACTGTCAAAAAATCCAAATTTAATTATACTCAACAGGAAGCGGTTTAATCTCCTGTCCCTTCATTCTTTCAATCAAAATACACGGTTGGACACGCACATCAAAGTTGTCTACATGTATCCATTGAACAAGAAACTTCACATTTGGATTGTGAATATTAGAAAGTTCATATTTAACGAAATTGAATCCATTAAATCTTTTCTTTTCAACATTCTCCGCTCTCTCACTCACAGTAAAATGACCCCAATCGAGGTAATGAAACTTGAATTTATCCACCATAAGATGAAAATCGGTTGAAGTTTCAATATGCTAAAATTTGAAATTTTTTAAAGAATCTTCCGCAGCGATGCACGAAACGTCATTTTCGTACACGAAAATAAATGCCTATAAGAAGGAAAATGACGGTGTATAGTAAGGGTTGCGGATAGTTGGAAATCTTCGGATATCCGGATCTGGTATTCGAACCGAAAATTTCAGTTATCCGGCCTTTTTTCGGATCCGGAGCCGTCAACCTTATTGTATAGTCCACCCATCCCCTTTCTAATTTCTCAGTTTTTCTTACAATGTATGCTTAATGGCAACAGAGAAATAAAGAAGGAATTGAGGAAGTTTCCTTATATTTTTAAGGAAAACTCTGAGACTCGAATTAGGGGGCGGGGCTATCCATAAAGTATCAAAAGGGATTTTTCTTTATGTTCCTTAAGGTATAGGTAAAGAAAAGTCCATTCATTTTTAAATAGTTAGAAAAGAGGGAGTCGGATTAAACGAAAAGTTAAACTTACATTCATAATTAACTTGTAAATTGTAGAATCCTCAGGATGTTCGAAAAAAACATAGGGAATTCTAGCAGTCAAAAATAGTTGAAAAACATCATTTTGCTCTAAATATCCACCTAAATGTATCTCAAGGCTTTCAAGAATTATCATATTGTTTTTGAAAAATTTTTTAAATAAAGGAACGGCATCAAATATAATTGCCCGTTTAGTCAGAAATTTTGTGAAAATTGTTTTGTCGTTGTCAAAAAGTAATTTAATCATTAAAGGATTGAATGTAGCCCATGTAAAGTCAACTTCTTCAAAACCACAACTAAATAGTTGAATTAACCAAAAACGAATAATTTTCATTTCTTCAATATTTTTTGGATACTGCGGCAATTGTAAGATTAAATGTCGAGATTCTAAGAAGAATTGAGGATTTTTTTTGCCTAAATCTGTAAAAATCAATACCCTCCGTTAAATGTAAAACATGATAATATTTCAGACGGTCCGGACGGCCTGAATATTCATACAAACAAATTTGTTTATCTATTGCAGACTGCCACTGAAAAGCGAAAAAAATTTATATGGCTAAGAAAAAATTTGACCTTCTCCAAAAGTTCATTATCCATCGGGGAATGAACAACATAACGTCCAAGCTCTTCAAGAGATACAATTTTGTAGTCAAGTTGTCCATTCTCTTTTTTGTGTTGTCTATAAAAACTAGAAAGTTGAATCTAAAGAAAGAGAAAAATTTGTTAATCAATGCCTAAAAAATTACCGGTCCCATATATTTAAAAAATTTGCAAGCCAATTCCCCCTCATATTTACCAATAAACCAAAGAAAGTAGCGATTATCTTTATATAAAAATATCTACCTTTTCATAAAAATTTTAAAAAATCTTTGGAAGGAGTTGTCGGATTTGCATAAAATTTTTTTTAAAAAAAAGGAATTACCCTGAGCCACAAAAAGTGTTCCCAAGACAAGTTTCGAAAAAGTTCGGAACCCGGATTTTTCGAAATTTCGAAAGTCGAAATTGAAGATTAATGACAAAAAACGAAGTCGGAGCGTTTCGTGTTTGGGAGAAGAAAAATTCTCCATTCAATTCTAAATCGATTAACCGAAGCGTTTTTTTAATTTGAACTTCCCTAACGGGAGTTATTCCCGGGAGAAAAAGGTACTACCCAAAATTTTGGGGTTTTTGCGAAATTTCGACATAAAGTCAAAATTTGAAAAATATGACTTATAGTACATTTGAATCGGCTTTCGTTTCTCTATCGAATGTCGAAAAAATTATGTAAAACCGATAAGCCGTTCAGGAGTTATGAAAGGCTAAAGTGCCAAATTTTGGCTAAACTTTTTATGTTTTTTGTTCCCCGCTAAAAAAAGTTAGATGTACCAAATAACTTTTTCAAGTTGACGCGGTTACCGAAGTTTTTTTTCAAAAAAATTTTTTTCATGTAGTGGGTGATCTAATGTAGTTTATGGGAAAAATCCGTTTTTTTTAAATTTCGATTTCGAAATGTCGAAAAAGTCGATTTTGGCGAAATGTGGAAATTGTTTTTTCGACTTTTCGACATGATCCCGAACCCGTACGAGTTCGACCCTTCCAGAAGGTTAAATGTCCGTTAAATTCTGCGTCGAATAAAAAAAATTTCACGCAAATCCGACTTTGCGTTCTGGAGTTACGCGTGACAGCGGATTTCGATATGGAAGGCGCGCTTTATAAAATTAGTGGAAATTTATGGGGGAAGTGGGACATTTCGTCAGCGCGACAAAAGGGAACATTTTGAATATTTAGAGAAAATTTTTAAACGTTATCCTATAATAGGTAATCGAATATGGGGAGTTCGAAAAAATTATTTTTAGGTGGGACACTTGAGTCTCAAAAAAGTTATTTGAGTCTGAATGTGAAAAAGTGGTGGAAATGAGTGGGAAATATGTTAGAACTTATCGGAACATCAAAAAAAATAATTTTTCGTCATATGACATTTGAGTCTCAAATTTTTTCTATCGAATGATGAAAAAATTATGGATGCAATGATTGCAGTAACGATACAAAATGCCTGCGAATTATGCGGAGCCCTCGGGCACCCTTAAAAATGTGGTTATTATTAAATAGACTGTTGAGTCTCATAAATTATTTTAAGCATGGACATTAATTTTTTTAAAAATTTATGTTAATGATTGTACTTGAGGGCCGAAGGCCCTCAAATAACAAACAAAATTTTGAGTCTTTAATTATGCGGGCCGAAGGCCCGCATAATTCAAAAATGTTATTTTACTGTTTTTTCTATAATTTCTAACTTTCCAAGTATTGTTCGCATAGACATGGTTGAGGTGGCATTCGATGGGGAATATTATGCGGAATTCAACAAAAATATTCTCAAAGGTGTCACTTGAGTCTGAGAATTGATATTTGAGTTTATAGGTGAAAATTAAGATTTTTTAAAATTTCAAACGAAATTTCGTATTTGCCAAAAACGCTAGAGACAGCAGTATTAAACGCACTCAAGTGGCATGCCCCGAACGCTAGTTGACTTGTTTAACAAAAAATAACTGATTAAAGTTTAGGCATTTGACAATATCCAAATGGACCTCATATGGAAGATGATAATACATTTTCTTAAAATTTTAAGCTGGAACTAAAAAATTTGAAGAAACATTAAATATATACAGATAATTAAAAATGATCGTAAACATACAAGTTGAGAAAAACAAGAAGCTTTTTAATTATATCATTTTATTCAGAATTACAACAACCAAAAAATTATACAAATACTACCTATATATAACAATTATACATACTACAAGACAAACACTAAAAGAAAAGCTTATTCAAATCATAATCAAGAAGCGATACAATTTCCTGTCCTTTAATTCTTTCAATCGCAAGATAAGCTTGTAGTATACCCATACCTTGTGCGTGTTCATTAATTGCTATTTCTGTATATATCCATTGAACAAGGAACTTAATCTTCGAATTGTGAAGATTGGCAAGCTCGTATTTGACATAATTGAATCTATCAACCATCCTCCTTTCAACATTTATTGCCCTTTCGCTTATAGTAAAAAGAGGCCAATTTTGATAATGAAACTCAGTTTTGTCCACATTAATTTGACAAGCAGTTGAATTTTCGATATGCTAAATTTTAAAGTTTAAGGGGAATTGAGAATGTTGTATAATCCCTATTTTATCCCATCTGACCATAGGTTTTAACACGCAGAACTGGGTACTTATAGTGTTACGTTGGAACCGCAAATTTGGCTGGGAGCGTAGCCGAAACTGGAATTTTGACCGGAACTTTACTTACAAACCAGAACCAAAAAATCCCAGAACTTCAGGCCTATCGGAATCGGAAATTCCGGCGCAACACTAGAAAACTTATCACCATAGATTTTGGGGGAAAATAGAGGTCAAACAAAGTTCACAATTCGTATTTCAGGATACTCCAGTATTTTTTTAAAGAAAATCCTGGCTTTCCCAAAAATATATTTATCAAAGCAAAAGTCAAACTTACATCCAAAATCAAGTTGCAAAGCGTAGGACGCATATCATGACCGTAAAAAACATAAGGAATTTTATTGAAAAATAGTGGTAACAAATCACGATAATCCAACACAGCAAGACTAGGACGTATTTTAAGACTTTCAAGAATTGTCAGATTGTTTTTGAAAATATTTTCTAATCCAAAAACATCATCACCTATCGTTGCCCGTTTAGTCAGAAATTTGGGAGAAATTGTTTTGTCGTTGTAAAAAAGTAATTTAATCATTGTAGCATTGAATGTAACATGCATAAAGCAAATTTCTTCAAAAAAACAATTAAACAGTTGAATTAAACAAAAACGAATAATTTGAAGCTGTTCAATATTCTTTGGAAACGTAGGCAATTGTAGAAGTAAATGACGAGATTCTAAAAAAGAATTGAAGCTTAACAATATTTATGGGATCAACCCAGAAGGTCGACCTCAGATAGTTGGGCTGATAAAGGGTATTCGTGCGGATTAGGAAGGATGTCTGAGAATTAATGTCTGGGGTGGACCCATATTTATTATAAGGGAGCAGGCCAGTGTATCGCGAGCCCAATGTACCGCCGAGCTATAACTTTGTTCAAAAATGTCGAATCCGTGGCGCTCAGGTATGGTTCGATTCAACTGTTCGAGCCGCATCGAACCATACCAGGGCGCCACGGATTCGACAATTTCGGACAAAGTTATAGCTCGGCGGTACATTGGGCTCGCGGTACATCGGGGTGTACCCTATTATAAAGTTAATTTACCATCCGTCAAATGTAAATAACAGCGAAACTCCGAACGGTCTAGAAATCCTGGATATGTATATAAACAACGCTGTTTATCTATTGCAAACTGCCACTGAAAAGAGAAAAAATATTTGAACAAAGTTTAGGCAAAAAATCTTCTTTTACCTTCTCCAAAAGTTCATTATCCACTGGGAAACGAACAACATAACGTCCAAGCTCTTCAAGAGATACAACTTTGTAGTCAAGTTGTCCATTCTCTTTTTTGTGTTGTCTATAAAAACCAGCAAGTCGAATCTAAAGAAAGGGGGATTTGTTAAGAAGATTAGGAAAAAATTACCGGTCCGATATGCTTAAAAAATTTGCGAGCCAATTCCCCCTCATATTTGCCAATAAACGAAAGAAAGTAACGATTGACTTGTTTTGCAGAAAATAGCTGATTAAAGTTGAGGCATTTAAAAGTGTCCAAATGAACTTCAATCGGAAGATGAACAAACATTTTTTAAAAGGCTGAAACTAGGCAATAAATATCAAATAAAAAGAGAACAGTAAAAAGTAAAGTCTGCAGCTTTTATACTACAACTATTTTTAAAAATTATTGGAATAATGTTCAAATTTTATTCAAAAGTCTTATTAAATTCAAAGACAAAATATGTATCCTAACTCAATTCTGAAGCAGGAATGTCACGAGTTGAGAAAAAAAGTCGGGTCGGATCTTCAAAATTTTCCTCGGATAGAGTTTCAGGTTGAAAGACAAGGTTCTGGGTATTCGGTAACCCGTGACATCCCTGGTCTAAAGTACTAAAAAATATTTATTATAACAATTCTAACACATTATCAAAAAATCCAATTTTAATTATACTCATCCAAAAACGATTTAATCTCCTGCCCTTTCATTCTTTCAATTAAAATACACGGCTGAACACGCACATCAAAGTTGTCTTTGTGTATCCATTGAATTTGAAACTTCACATTTGGATTGTGAATATTTGAAAGTTCATATTTAGTGAAGCCATATCCATTAAATCTTTTCTTTTCAACATTCTCCGCTCTTTCGCTCACAGTAAAAGGACGCCAATCGAGGTAATGAAACTTGAATTTATCCACCATAAGATGAAAATCGGTTGAAATTTCAATATGCTAAAATTTAAAAAATTTTTTTGGATCTTCCACAGAAGGAAAATAACGACGTATAGCCCACACCTCCCCTTACTAATTTCTGTTTTTCTTACACTGTATACCAAAGGCGTATCCAGGGGTCGGTTTAAGGGGGGCTATAGCTATAGGGGGCTAGTGGGGTTATAGCTATATAACCTGGGGGTATAGCCCCCCTATCCAGTGGGCTTTTTGGACTGACCGGTCAAAATACGAGTCGGAATAAACGAAAAGTTAAACTTACATTCATAATTAACTTGTAAAGAGTATCGTGCCTAGGATGATTGAGAAAGACATAGGGAATTCTAGCAGTCAAAAATAGATGAAATAAAACATCGTATTGCTCAAAATATCCACTTAATTGTATCTCAAGGCTTTCAAAAATTGTCAGGTTGTTTTTGAAAATAGTTCTTAATCTAGGAACACGGTCATGTATCATTGCCCTTTTAGTTAGAAATTTGGTAGAAATTGTTTTGTCGTCTTTAAAAAGTAATTTAATCATTTGATGATTGAATGTAGCAAAAGTAAAGTTAACTTCTTCAAATCCACAATTGAACAGTTGAATTAACCAGAAACGAATAATTTTCATTTCCTCAATATTCTCTGGATACTGAGGCAATTGCAAGATTAAATGACGAGATTCTAAAAAAATTGAAGATTAAACAATAATAATTTTAAAGTTAATACCCTCCGTTAAACGCAAAACATGGTAATATTTCAAACTGTCCCAACTGCATGGGTAAGCAAACAGACGAATTTGTTTATCTATTGCAGACTGCCACTGAAAAAACTTAAGGTTTGGGCGAATATTCAGGGCATGCGGACATATCGGAATGAACATATCGGAATAGAACATACACAATCCGGTATGGCCTCTCACAATCCGGTATGGCCGCTACCCAAATTCATTCAAAAAAATTTTTTAGGTTTGAATTTATTATATTAGAACCACTGTCTCTATCAGAACCACCCCGAATGAAGGGGTTGAAAAATAGAAGCACAGGTGGCTCTATTAGAACAAATGTATGTATATCGGAATATATTTTAGAATGTAGGGCATGCGGACACATATCGAAATACAGGGTGTTTCACCAGAAAAGCCCTTTTTGAAAAATCAATAACTTTTTTCAAAATTGATATATTTTAATGTTATTTTGTATTTTATATCTATAATATATAAGGTTTTTTTGACATAAAAATTATGTCTAAATTCGAACCCTAACCCGAGATAATTTCGTACTCTACCGTTCTGTTTTTCCCTTTTTCCGCACATGTTTTCTTACTTCCCTTTATTTGTTTTAAGGGGAGACAGACACTAGAGTAAACACTAGGCGATAGACACTAGATTTTCAATACAGTATCCACTCTTCGCCATACGCAGGAAAATAAATGAAGTAAGATAGCACACAATGAAAAGAGGGAAAAAAGAGAACGGTAGAGTACGGATTTGAAATACTGGGTTAGGGTTCGAATTTAGACATAAATTTTATGTCAAAAAAAACCTTATAAATTATAGGTATAATATACCAAATATCGTAAAAATCTATCCACGCAGTAAAAAGATATTAATTTTTCAAAAAGGGCTTTTCTGTTGAAACACCCTGTATTTCAAGATACTTACAGTTAATCTACTGATTACACGGGGACCAGCGACCATTGGGTCCTTATTGAGAAGTTTTTATGACATAAAATTATTTTTCTATTTTTCTTCCAGCAATCCGATATGTCCGCACTAAAGATCGCGATTTTTGAAAAGCCTGGACCAGTTCCTGGACTCTGGAGTTGATTTCTTGACCTGGACTGGATCCTGGGCTGTAGTCCAGGAAAAACCCAGGAAGGTCAAAAAATGCTTGGACCTGGACTCTGGGTACAGGAAAAACCTAAGCCTTGGTCCAGGTCCAGCTCGATCTCTAGTCCCCACACTAAATTTATTCAAAAAAAATTTTCACCTTCACCAAAAGTTCATTATCCACTGGAAAATTAACAGAATCAAGTCCAGGCTCCAAAACTTTATATTCAAAATTACACTCGGCGTGCATGATCTAAAAAAGGGAAAAATTTGCTATCAATGCTTAAAAAATTACCGGTCCCATATATTTAAAAAATTTGCGAGCCAATTCCCCCTTATATTTATCAATAAACGAAGAAAAGTAGCTATTGGTTTGTTTAACAGAAAATAACTGATTAAAGTTGAGGCATTTTAAAACATCCAAATGAACTTCAATCGGAAGATGATAATACATTTTCTTGAAATTTTAGGCTGAAATTAACAAACATTTAAAAAAACAACAAATATAAACAAATATTTAATAATGATTGTAAACTTGAAAAACAAAGAGCTTTTTAATTATAACACTATTTATTATAACAACACTAGAAGACAATCTAACAACACACTAAAAAAGCTTATTTAAATCAGAACCAGCCCATTCAGTTTGAAATTTAGTAAAAATTGTTTTGTCGTCTTCAAAAAGTAATTTAATCATAAAAGGATTGAATGATGCAAATTTAACGTTAACTTCTTCAAATCCACACTTAAACAGTTGGATTAAACAGAAACGAATAATTTGCAGTTCTTCGATATTCTTTGGAAACGGAGGCAATTTTAGAAGTAAATGATGAGATTCTTAAAAAGAATTGCAGATTAACAATATTAATTGTAAGGTTAATACCATCCGTTAAATGTAGGACATGATAAATTTTTGAACGGATCCAATTGCCTGGATATACATATAAACCAAATTGTCTATCTACTGCAAATTGCCACTGAAAAAAATAAGGTTTGGGCGATATTTAGGCAAAAAAAAGTTCGTACCATCTTCTTAAGTTCACTATCCAGTGGGAAATGAACAACATGACGTTCAAGCTCTTTAAGGTCTATAATTTTATAATGCTGTCCACGACCTACAATTTTGTAGTAATAAAAACCATCAAGTTCGATCTATAAAATAGGAAATTTGTTAAGAATGATTAGGAAAAATTACCGGACCAATATGCTTAAAAAATTTGCGAGCCAATTCCCCCTCATATTTATCAATAAACGAAGAAAAGTAGCTATTGACTTGTTTAACAGAAAATAACTGATTAAAGTTGAGGCATTTAAAAACATCCAAATGGACCTCGCTCGGAAGATGATAATACATTTTCTTGAAATTTTAGGCTGAAACTAAAAAATTTGAAGAAACATTAAATATATACAGATAATTAAAAATGATCGTAAACATACAAGTTGAGAAAAACAAGAAGCTTTAAATATACAGTGGTGGAAAAAAGTATGGAAGCAAGAGCTTAAAAAGTAAACTTCGTTAAATTCCTCGACGTACGAACCCTAAATCATTTTTTGTCTACTATAAATTTTAAAGTCCTATCGATTACCTCTAAAATGAGTATAAATAGAAACCACTTTTATCGAGTATTTATCTTTTTATAATTGGCTAAAGTAAACAATGTAAATTTTGCGCGGAAAAAAGTATGGAAGCAAAAAAATTTTACGTTCTAAAACAAGTCGAAAAAATTTTAAAAATTTTTTATAAACATTTCCATTGATATTGAATGGAATTATAGAAAAAAAGAAGTCTGTACTTGCTTTCTTCATCGAGATCTCAAATCTCAAAAATCACTGGGAAATCGGGGTACAGTACTTTAAAAATTATTTTAGCTCCCTGAGACTTGTATAAAAAATTTCTTTTAGACCTATCTGAAAGCCCTTAAAATCTGCTACAAAATATGGTTGGTTTCATATTTGTACAAAAATTTGTCTAGGAGATAAGGAGGGAAACATTTCATTATGAGCCGAAATCACTCAAAATACCCTATAAAATGCTTATTTTAAGTTTTAAGTATTTCGTCCCTCCTTATCTCCTAGACAAATTTTTGTACAAATATGAAACCAACCATATTTTGTAGCAGATTTTAAGGGCTTTCAGATAGGTCTAAAAGAAATTTTTTATACAAGTCTCAGGGAGCTAAAATAATTTTTAAAGTACTGTACCCCGATTTCCCAGTGATTTTTGAGATTTGAGATCTCGATGAAGAAAGCAAGTACAGACTTCTTTTTTTCTATAATTCCATTCAATATCAATGGAAATGTTTATAAAAAATTTTTAAAATTTTTTCGACTTGTTTTAGAACGTAAAATTTTTTTGCTTCCATACTTTTTTCCGCGCAAAATTTACATTGTTTACTTTAGCCAATTATAAAAAGATAAATACTCGATAAAAGTGGTTTCTATTTATACTCATTTTAGAGGTAATCGATAGGACTTTAAAATTTATAGTAGACAAAAAATGATTTAGGGTTCGTACGTCGAGGAATTTAACGAAGTTTACTTTTTAAGCTCTTGCTTCCATACTTTTTTCCACCACTGTATTATTTTATTCAGAATTACAACAACTAAAAATTACACAGATAATTACAGTTTACAATAATAATAATAGGAAGACTAACAAACATAATGGACTAACGAAAAAGCCTATTCAACTCATAATCAAGAAGCGATATAATATTCTGTCCTTTCATTCTTTCAATCGCAAGATAAGCTTGTAGATTTATATGATGTTGTAAAAACGCATCCATTACTGTTTCTGTATATATCCATTGAATAAGGAACTTAATATTCGGATTATGAATATTGGCAAGTTCGTATTTGACATAATTGAATCTATCAACGCTTTTCCTTTCAATGTTCTCTGCCCTTTTGCTCAAAGTAAAATGGGACCAATTCACGTAACGAAACTCAGTTTTATCCACCATAATTTGACAATCAGTTGAATTTTCAATATGCTAAATTTTAAAATTTTTTAAAAGATTTCTAGAGGAATTGTGAACTTTAATGACCCCTCTTTATTCCCTCATAGGTTTATTTTGGGAGAAATAAATATGGGCACAATTCCTATTTACAGATTTTCCATTAGGAAATCCTTGCTTGTCTAAATATATTTACTAGGTTGATCAAAGCGAAAGTTAAACTTACATCCAAAAGTATGTTGTAAAGTGTAGGATCATGATTGTAAAAAACGTAAGGAATTTTGTTGAAGAATAGTGGCAACAAAACACGATAATCCACCAAAGCCATACTAGATTTTATTTTAAGACTTTCCAAAATTGTCAGATTGTTTTTGAAAATATTTGTTAATCCAGGAACACAGTCTTGTATGGTTGCCCGTTTAGTCAAAAATTTGGTAGAAATTGTTTTGTCGTCTTCAAAAAGTAATTTAATCATTGCAGCATTGAATGTAACATACAAAAAAATGACTTCTTCAAATCCACAATTGAATAGTTGGATTAACCAGAAACGAATAATTTGAAGTTCTTCAATATTCTCTGGATACTGAGGCAATTGCAAGATGAAATGTCGAAATTCTAAAAATGAATTGAAAATTAAAAATATTAATAAAATTTAATTGTAAAGTTAATACCATCTGTTAAACGTAAACAGCAGTGAAAACCCAAACGGTCTAGAAATCCTGGATATACATATAAACAGATTTGTTTATCAAGTGCGGTTTGCCACTAAAAAGAAAAAAAATCGAACCAAAGTTTAGTCAAATCTTGGCACTTGTCCGCGTTTATATTATAAGTCCAGTTTAAGCGTCGTCCATATCCGACCATATATCCATATACTACGTCCAATCACATTTTATGCCCCCAATCATTTTTAAGTACCTGGTGCTGTGTTAAAACTTATGACCTATTATTATAACTCTGTGGGAGTAGAGCTTTCTATTTCCATAAATTTTATGGTGATTTAGTGTAGAATCGGATACTTAAAATAGTGATTGGACGCATAAAAACGTTTATACGCATAAATTTCACATTTGGACGCTTAAACTGGACAAGAGCCAAAATCTTTTACCTTCTTCAAAAGTTCATTATCCACCGGGGAATGAACAACATAACGTCCAAGCTCTTTACAGTCCAATACTTTGTAATCAAGCTGTCCATTCTCTCTTTTGTGTTGTTCATAAAAACCAGAAAGTTGAGTCTAAAGAATGCAAATTTATTACCAGATTATTTGAAAAAAAATACCTGTCCCATATGCTTAAAAAATTTTCGAGCCAATTCCCCCTCATATTTACCAATAAACCAAAGAAAGTAACGATTGACTTGTTTAACAGAAAATAACTGATTAAAGTTGAGACATTTGACAATATCCAAATGGACCTCACTCGGAAGATGATAATACATTTTCTTGAAATTTTAGGCTGGAACTAATAAGAGAATGTAAAGGAAAATTAAACTTATTGAATAAAGAATAGAATAAAAATAAAGGTTAACAGCTTTTATACGTGAAAATTTCTTTTAAAAATTTGTAGAATTCTGTCAAAATTTTTTTCGAAAAAATTATCCCAAATAATTTTTGATATTTTGTATTTCCTAACCTTAAAATATTACAAAATGTAAAATGTCAAAGTGTCAACTGTAAGAATGGTAAATAATTTAAAGCCCAAGTTAGTTTAAAAGTTTGACGATTTTTTGCATTCTTTTATCTCAAATTTAATGATCAGCGCCGCAGGCGAAAAATTTGAAAAACTTGGAAGGCCAAGGAACCAGAATTATTAGAAATTTGGAAGATCCTTAAGCCAAAAATCTTCGAGTATTACGAGTATGAGTATGAAGATCACGAGTTCCAAGCCCGTGTAAAGACTAAAAAACCCGAGCAATCGAGTTGAGTAACCCGTACTCGATCGACCTCGGACGTACTCTAGAACATAATACCCAAATTTAATGAAAAACAAAATTTTAAAGGAAAATAAATCCGTTTCTTTATAAGCAATCAAAAAATACTACAACTAAAATCATTAAAACAAACAACAAAACAGTTCGTTTCTCAACTCTTTTTCCCTCTCTTATATTTAAGATTGAATTGATCTCCCCAATAAGGTTGATGTCCCATACGTTGATGAGGATTGTATGGAGGTTTAGGCAAATCCGGTTGTGGATATTTTTTGAATAAAGTATTAATTTCTTTCAAAGACATTTTGTCTGCATGTTCCTTAACGTTGCTTCCTTCCGAGGCAATATGAAACTTGAGTTCTCCCTCACGATTTCGTTTAAGTTGTGCCTGGATGTGAACATGGTTTTCGGTAACACAGCGTTGCAAAGCTTCATTAAATTCTTTACAATGCAAATCGTCATATTCCCATTTCTTTAAACAGGCAAATAAATGCTGCATTTCATCCAAACATTTGCTTTAAAAAAATTAATTAATTTTATTTTGTGAGTACACCCACGCATGTAGGGTTAACTATACCTTTAGTCATTTCATTAATTCAATACCCACAAATATCTCGAAATATCAAAAAAAATCAGGGCCATAAGGGTAATCCACAGGTGAGGTCTGACTTCCAATAAAAGGCTTCCAAGGGTTGGGTGAGTTTTAAACGCCCAAAAAATTTTTAAAAATAAAAAACTTGTAAAATGTTTTTTATTTTAAAATGTTTCTAAGAAATATCTGAGTAAACCCTTAGACGAATCCGACATCCCCTTCCACTCCTCATACACCCAAATTTATTCAAAAATTACTTTTTAGATCTTGGCCTCTCCGTCGCATTCGGAACCAAATTTTTACCACAGAGCGGCTAAAAATAAAGCAAAAAATAAAATTTATATAATTAAAAACATACAATTAATTCCTTGTAAGTGTAAAATGGCGTCAAATTAGCTCGATTTAATAAAGAAGTTGGTTTCATATTTTCTAAAATCATTTAAAATAAATTAAAAAGCCAAAAGAAAAATAGAACATATTAAAAATTAATTTTAAAAAAATATTTTCAAAAAAAAAACTAATTAAATCTTCCAATCGCGTTTATGCCTGATAATTGAGGAAAATTGAAAGAGCGCATGGTGTATACAAAAGAAAAAAAATTAAAATATTTATTTATTGTAGAAACTTGGTCTAAATAAGTTTTAGGCTTATCAAGTTTTTCAAGCCTTTTATAAGGTGTTACGACAATTGCGGATACGCACGTGCGGATGCGACAATTGCGGATTAAAAATTTTTTTTTAATTTTAAAAATGATTGAAATGATGTTCTGTTTTTTAGTCCCGGCTGTCAGTTTCCGACTTCTGACGGTTTCCGAATCATTTTTAGACTGATGTGGCACTTTAAACTTTAAAAATCTTAAACTTTTTAAAAATTTTATATCCGCAATCGTCGCATCCGCACGTGCGTATCCGCAATTGTCGTACCGCCTTTTATAACTAACTTAAAGAAATAAAACTTGGACCTTTAGAATTTAAATAAACTTATTTGTAATAAGTTTCTCAAGTTTTCTACATTTACATCTAAAAAAAATAAAACTTGAATTAATTCAAGTTTTATTTTTTAATTTTCAAGTTTTTTTTTTCATTTCCAACTTATTTAAAAACTAAGCAATTTAAAATAAACTTGGTCAAGTTTACTAAAAAACTTGAAATTAAACTTGCAATCCTCAAATAAAAATAAACTTGGAATTAATTGAAAACTTGGTCAAGTTTTTAAAAATAAAACTTGAAGCTAAATAAATTAAACTTGGAATCAATTAATAAACTTAAAAACTTAACTAAATATTTAAACCCCAATTTCTTCAATAAATAAATAAAAAAAAAGTTTTTTAATTATTACAATAACATGAGTTTTAAATAAGAATAATATTACTTAAATAGGAAAAAATACAAAAAAATATTAACAATAATTGATTTGAATAGTGTATAATAATAAAAAACTTGAAGCAAGTAGAAGGAGCACAGCAAGATAAATAAAATAATTTTTTTAAATATTCGGTTTTGATATTTTTCTTTTAAGAAAATATGTTGACATAGAATTAGGGTTGAAAATAAATAAAAAAACAATTAAATATATTCATGAAGTTGTACTTAAATAAGGTTGAAGAGGGAAACTGAAACATTCGAGCTTTGTTGAAACGGAAAAATTTTTTTTTATTTTCAATAATCGTTGTAGTATAAAGAAGCTTAAAAGCCTCCTCATTCGATGCAAGCACCTCCCCAAGAAAGTTGTCACTTTGGTGTAGTGGGATAATTTTAAATTTAGTAGTTGGAGGTTGAGGGTTCGAACCCGTTCAGTGGGAAATAATTGAAAAATAATAATTCTGTCAATCTTTAATAATTTTCATAGATGTAAAGGTTTCAAAATTATTTAGAAAATTTTTTTGAAAGTTTTTAAGGAGTTTTTCAGTTAATTTTTGCACTAAAAATTAAAAAAAGCCTAAACATTTCAGTTTCTTCAAACCACACAAAATCTCAATAAATAAAAAAATTAATTTTCCTACTCCCAAAAATGACTAAAATTAAATATAAGCTACCATAGAGAAATACTTAAAATTCGAATAAAATATTAAACAAAAATTGCTTTGTGGTTTTAAGAAAGAAAAAACCTTAAGAAAAAACTTTTTCGAATTTTTTTTATTGCTCTGCAGATAATGTTGATGGTTGTTGTGGTTGTTTTTCAATTTCAACATCAATATTTACAATTTTATTACAAAATGAGGTTGATGATGATGATGTTGTTGTTGCTGTTGAAGAAGAAGAGGAGCATTTTAGACAACAATATGAAGAAATTAGTTGAGCTCCACGTACTGAAATGCCAACACAACAAAAGTGATACCTTTAAAAAATTTAAAATAAAGCAGAAAAAATTAAAAAAAAAACCATCGAGCGCAACCAGCTTCACATTGAATCCAACGTGTATATTCACCTAAAAAACATAATTTTTTAAATAATCAAAAAATATTTTGAAAAATAAACAGATGGGACCTCACTTTATTAAACATCCCTCCAAACTGAAAAAATCGATCTAATAAGGAGGGATATACTTAAATAGGTGAGGATTAGACAGCTCCCCTCCTAATGACTAACAAATCTTAAAAAACTTATTTTAAACCGAAGAGCAGTGCAGGGTATATGACACCGAAGCTCTGAGCCAGATTTTTTAAAGCTCGGAGCCAACAAATGTCCAGCACTGCTGAGGGTTAAGTACATTTATTGGTTGCAGGGGCGGGCCGAATTATCCAAAATCTTGTACCAAGACCTTTTATGACCCGAAAATCGACCCGACTTTTTTCCAACCCGGGCCTATCCATGATTGTTTAATTAGACTGCATTAAAAATGAATAAAAAATAAACTAACTATAAGGATTTAAACATAAATCAGCAGCACATCTTTCCAAATGATGATCTTTAAAAACTCTTTTAATCGATCCTGATTCATCATAATTACTTGAAGTTTCCTCATCCTCTTCTTCATTTTTCATTCCTCCATTAAAGTCGGCATCTAAAAAATCTTCTTCGCCTTTGAATACATTTTGACGAGAATTTGAAGAAGTTCTCCCTCCTCTCGAAGCTTTTCCTGAACTTCTTCGATTTCCTTTTGGTGTTGTTGTTGAATTTGTACTACGTCGTTTTATGCCAGAAATGCGTCGATTATTCGAATTTTGACGAGATGAATGTTCAATTAATATTGGAGATTTAAACAGAGAGAAGAGAACTGGACGAGGATTTGAATTTGGAACTCTTTCCTAAATTTAGAAAAATAAAAATTATTAAAATTTCTAAATTCTAGGATAAAAGATTAAACTACAATCTCAGTTGTAGGTACACCCTTGGAGTTGAGAAAAAAAATTTTATAATGTGGGGTAACTAATAAATAGGAGTATCGTTTAGACAAAAAAAGGTTACCCAAAGGTTAACCAAATTTAAAAACCTCATCCTAAATTAAGGTACATTCAGCAGAAATGGGTCGGATTACCTGAAACATGGTCTTTTCTCAAAAGAAACCCGACCCGAGAAATTTAACTTTTCCTTAACCCGGCCCGACTTTATCTTAACCCGGCTTATTCCTGATACCCACTACCAGCAGGGATTTAATATAACGATGTTCGACTGCTTTTCAAATTTCTTAAAAATTCCAAAAATATAAATAACAAACCTTAATTTTTTGTAATATAACAACATTGTTTTGTTCAATCGGAAAAATATCAAAAAAAGCAGAAGCACAAAGCATTTGATAAATTTGTACATCGACAACTTCTGTTGAAAGAGCCATGATAAGTGAATCAATTAATTTATTTTTTGTTTCATCTTCTATTGTAGACAAATCAACACCTTTAGGTATAAAATGGAGTTGATTATGAAGATTCTGGAAAATTCTAGTGCTGTGATCAATTAAATTTTTGACGAGCATCTGTTGAAAATAAGAGGAAAATAGGTTTAAAATAGGAACATAGGTTACTATGTACAAATTTTTTGGCTCTTGTCCAGTTTAAGCGTCCAAAAAAGAGCCTTTTTTGGTTTTCATTGGACTTATAAGGGCTTTTTATTGGACTTATATAGGTTTATTGGACGTATAAAGGAACGATTGGACGCTTAAACTAAACAAAAGCCAATTTTTTGCATATTTCTTGGTCCTATTCGATAGAGGAGCCCCGATTTACTATTGCGAAGTGATATCCGTTTACTGCAGTAACTTTGGGCCGAACTATGACCAGTTAAAGTATCAAATGTCTAACAAATTTTTGTTAAGAAATATAAAAATTTTGTACACGGTAACCGATGTTCCCTAGCAAAAATTTTTTAAAAAATCAAAACCTTTTCAAGACTGTTATCAGGCAAATAGGGTAAAGAACAAGCAGCTTCAACCTCTTCAATACATGGACGTCGGCTGCGTAGACAACGTTGACATAAATAAATTCCAGCTGGTAAACGTTCGAAGAAAAGGTCCCATTGAATACATGAAGCTTAAGAAAAAAATAAAAAAAAATCTTTAAAAATTTTCAAAAAAACCATGAAATCGAGCATTACAAACAAAACAATTTATCGTTTCATTTTGCAATCCATCCGAAGATTTTTTGGATTTTGATGGAGAATCACCACAATTTTTAGCACAAACACAAGTCTCTTTAAGCGGTCTTTTTGAATTGGCCGAACGAAGTGCATGAAGTAAAGTAGAGCGTTGATCATTGATAGCATTTAAATGGGAGATTAGTCCTTCGTTGGTGGTGAAATTTTGAAGTTGAATCCAACTAAAAATAAAACAAATTTTAAAGACCACTGAAAAAAAGTTAAAAACCAGAAGAGAAAAAAGGTGTGATTTAGTAAAGGAAAGCAAAAAGGAGATGACTGGGAAGGAATTCTCGTTAATTAAAAAAATGGTATACCAAAAATGTTCTAATAGAAGCCCCGAGCTTTCATTCTTCAAAGGGCCTCATTGAGTGGTCTTGTAATTGGGCAAGAGTTTCTATTGGAGATGGGCTTTTATTAGAACATTTATGGAAATTGAGTGAGGGAAGGTTAAAAAGAGAGACTGGACCAAGACGAGATCTCTATTCTCGTAAAAAAATTTTTGAGATTTAGCGAGAATTGAGGTTTTTCGATATCACAATTCTCGTATCACAAACCCACTCCGGTCTCTAGTTAAAATTAGGTACAGGAAAAATTAAAAAGATAAATTTAAAAGACGTGATCAGTCAAATTCAAAAAGAAAATTTTTTAAAAATACTTTTCAGCATAATCTGTCGACTCAAAAAGTGAAAGATGTAAAGGGTCGCCTTCGACTAGAGCTGGTAAATCACTGAAAAATTAAAAAAAAATTTTTAACCAATTAATTTAAAAAAAACCTTCTTCCCGCAATAATATCAAAAAGATTATAATAATTAAAATTCATTAGAAAAATTGTTTTAATTTTATCTACAAATTTATTCAAAACATCAACCATTTGAATAATTTTTGAATGTTTTTGGGAATTACGTTCAAAAATTGAATTTGAACAATTCTAAAAAACAAAGAAATATTTTCAATAAAAATTTTTTAGCTAACCTTGTTTAATTGTTCAAGTTTAGCTAATGTTAAAGTTCCATTAATAAGTGAAGCAAATTCGATGTTGATTTGTCGAGCAACCTTGTTGAAAATAAAAATATTAAATTAAGATGATTTTAGGGAAGGTATTTTTGATTTTAATAAAAAAAATTTTTTGAGACATGATAAAAATTATGTTGAAGCGACAACATCAAGTCAGGTTTTAAAGCAGTATGGGAAAGTTGCTTTTGCTTGTATTTCGTCCGTACACTATTTTTCTCGTGCAAGGTACAAATTTTGGTCCGACCGTTCCTAGTATATTGCTCTTGATTAATCCGCCGTTGATATTTTGCTCTCGGGCAGCAACACTCCGTGAGGCAGGAACACTGTTTCCGAGGTTGTGGAAGCCTCAGGAACACTGCTAGCTTTGAGGCAGCTCTAGATATCAACACTGCTCCCGGGGCAGTAGCTTGCTTTAAGGCAGCTTTTGAATAGAAACAGTTCTTAGGGCAGCAAACGATCCGTAAGTGTCTGGGCATACACGTTAGCCAAGCACTTATTAATAAATTATAAATGAATGCCTGGTAAACTACGAAAAAAAGACCCCCCATTTTAATAAATTTTTTTCACAATAAATCTCAAAAATAACCTCCAATTCATCTCGAAAAGTTTGCAAAGAATCCGACTAAAAATTAAAAAAAAATAATACTCCACTTTAAATTTTATTTTTAATAAACCTCAAGCCAATCAACAACAGACAAATTTTCATTCCAAAATTCTTCTGCTTTTTCAATTCCTCCAACATTACTAGAAGAATTCTCCAAAAAATCAGATGCCAATGTTTCTGTTCGAGTTCCCAAATCAAATTTTTCTTCCAATTGTTTTGTTAAATTTGCAACATTTTGACAACTTTGAAGCCATCTAGATGACTCAATTACCAATTTCTATGAAGAAAATATTTAAATTAAATTTATTAAAAAATAGGGGTGGACGAGACCGTTTAATTCGCAGTTTATTTTTCGCTGTGGCGGACTTTTCCCTTCTCGCTTCTATTTTTGACCAGCCACAAGTAAAAATAAACGAGGAATTAAACGGTCTCGTCCAACACTATTAAAAAACAAAAAAAAATACCCCAATATTTTGAAGACTCAAACGCTCATGTTTTTCTTCGTCTTCCTCTTCCATATTTTTTGTAATGCCATTTTGTTCATGGTCTTCATGTTTAATATTTACAAATTGATTAATTTGTTGCAGCAATTTTTCAGCTTTAATTATCCATTGATAACGTTCAAGAACCTGTGAAAATGTAAAATTTAGAAGGTAAAAAGCAGTGTTTTTCTGGTTCAACAAGCAAGGGACTGGAATCACGGAAAAGTTAAACTTTGGGAACTGCCAAGAACCGGAATGTAAAAAAATTGAAACCTTCAGAAACCTAATTTTCTTCGGATTTGGTTTCGTGTCGATAAAACCTGGGTATCGGATCGGGTTAATACTAGGGAATTTGGAAGATTAAGAAGAACATCATAAAATTTGGGAACATAAAATTAAAAAAAAATGCGGAGAAGATGTCGAGGGATCGTAAAAAATTTTAATAATAAAGCAAGGTTAATATCCACTATACTCCACCAAAATCTCTTAACAATTCACAATAACTCTTTAAGAAAAAAAAACTTACAGATCTCAATTCATCTAAACCCTCTGCATCCAAACGTATATTAAATTCATCTTCAGCCTCATTAATAAGTGAGTAGAGAGCATCTATTGAGCGAAAACCAGAATATTCGTCTGCTAAACATTTTTGAACTCGTTGTTTCCAATTATCAACTTTAGCACAAAGTTCCTTTAGAAAAATTAAATTTATTTAATCCTTTCAATTTTAAACCTTTAATCCAATTTCCAATTCATCATCATCAAAAATTGATTTTTCCAATTGATCACGTAAATTTAAAACCTAGAAAATTTAAAAAAGTCTAGATTTTTAAGAAATTAAATAAGGTTACTTCAGAATATTCACAGCGAGTATCCACCTTTTGACAGATTGTCTGATCTCTATAAATTTAAGAGGAAATTTGGAAAAATTAATAAGATTGGACCAAAGGTCTCATATGAATAAGTACAAAGATCCTACCGACAAATAAGCAAAATTACCGATTTCGGGAAATTGGGATTCACGATAAAAAAAATTGTCCTAGTTAAATTTATGATACTTATTTGTTGAATAAAAAAGTTAAAAGAAGGCCTTCGTTTTTAATAGGTGGATCGGCGCGCCCCAAGGGTGGGTTACCACTCTAAGGGCCCAACGCCGTCTAACCCCCTGAAGAAAGGGGTTAGGAAATATAAAAAAATAAATTTCCCTATTTCGGAAATTCCCGACCCTAACTATAAAAACGTCGGAAATTCCCGATTTCGCAAAATCGGGAATCCGGTCGGTAGGATCGCTGATATGTACCAGGGATTTCACGGGTTATCCGAAACCACACTTTTTCCCTCTTAATACTTAACTGACCCGACTCAATAATCGGACTTTTTTCGACCCAAAACCAACACCTTTTTTTCTTAACCCTTGGAATCCATCATTTTATCAATTGAGAGAAAACAAACCGAAGACGTATCTTCCTACAAAGTATTCTATTTAAACTTGTTGTTATTTTATCAAAATCAGACAAAATTTGATTGATTCGTTGAATTTCTGCACAATGTGGAAATCGAGAAGTTCGCCATTTATCAGCAAGTGTTCTCATTTTATTAACATCTTCAAAATTTTATTTTTTTTAGCTTTAAAAAATTATTTTTAAAAATTTAACCTAATTTTTGTTTTACAGAGTCTTCTCCTTCTCCATTTTGTTGAGAATTATAAACTTCTTCAATTAAATTATTGAATTGAGACAGACTCCTTTTCCATTCAAAATATGAAGTTGTACGGGCAGAAAGGCGTTTGACCATAGGAACTAAATCTTCTAGTGTATAGCGAAATCTGAAAAGACAAAAAAATTCTTTTATTAAAATATAGCAATGATGAAAAGCAGTTTTAGGAGAGTTTGACTATTTTTAGGGCTACACTAATTTTCCTACATCACGCAACAAGGACGAGTACAACCAATGGCATAACCAACGGGTCGATTTTAGGGGGAGAGTTAAAATGAGGTAAAAATAGGGTTTCCATTTAAAGCGCCACAGGCGAAAATTTTTTAAAAATTGAATGTTGAAAAATGAAGGTCGTAAGCAGAAAAATTTCATTTTTCCCATCATCTTCCTCACATTACAGGGTGCACCATAAGTAATTGGACACTTTTAAATTCCTTATAACTTTTTTTGTTGTCAATATTTTTAATCGATTTTATGCTTATTTTTTAGCTCATTCAATTCTCTATTATGGCTAATCAACGTGATTCTATAATTTCACTTTTTTTGAAAAAAAATTCAGTCCGCAAAATTTCACCTCTTTTGAATGTCCCAAAGAGCACTGTGCAATACACTTTCAAAAAATTCTGGTGAAAATTTTTTGGGAGAAAATTTTTTTGAAATTAATTTAGTAATGATGGCACAACTAAGAACTTACAAAAAAGTGGAAGACCGAGTACCGTCAGAACTTCCAAGAATATTAAAATGATCAAAAACTAGGTGCATCGCAATTCTCGACCCTCCATGAGAAAATTGGCTCGTGAAACCGGAATAAGTGAGATGACCGTCAGACGAATAGCTAAAAATAAACTAGGGTTAATACCCTACAAAATCCAAAAAGCACAACTCTTAACAGAAAAAACCAAAAAAGTTAGGCTTGAAGGATGCAAACTGCTCCCCCATTGGCACGCATGTCCGGACATTCTCTTCACAGACGAAAAAATTTTTACAATAAAAGCCGTTCACAACCATCAAAATTATAGAATCTGGACTACAGAATCTCCTCTTTCCGATGAGCTTATCACTCATTCCCAACATCCCCAATCTGTCATGGTTTGGGCCCGTATTAGCACGTCAGGCAAAAAACCCCTTATTTTCGTGGATCCTGGGGTAAAAGTCAACAAAGACTATTACTTGCGAGAAATTTTTCAGCGTGTTCTGAAGCCTCGGTTTAAGAGCCATTTTGGTCGCATGGTCCGGATTTTCCAACAGGACTCTGCTCCGGCACACAAGGCGAAAGAAGTTCAAGACTGTTGCAAGGCCAATTTTCCTGGGTTCATTAGCGCTCAGGAATAGCCGCCATACTCCCCGGATTTGAATCCGATGGTTATTCTTTTTGGTCTATTTTGGAGTCCAGGGTCTGTGCTAAGCCTCAAAAAAGTTTGGAGTCTCGGCGACACTCTCTCACCCGAGAGTGGGACTTAATTACACTTAAAGAGGTGCGTGCTATTTGCGAAAATTTTTCTTCGCGCCTTCGCCTCTGTATCAAAGCCAAGGGTGGGCATTTCGAAACTTCTTGATTATTATTGTTCCATATTTAATTCTCTATCATTTGATTGTATTTCGATTTTATTTGATTGTGTTTTAATAAAGTTATGAGAGAAAACATGTGTCCAATTACTTATGGTGCACCCTGTATTTTCCCTTTTTCCCATTTCAGGGGAAAGCTATGGCACCAAAAGCCCTTCCTAGCTGGCTACTCCCTTGAGTACAACTACTAGTTTTAATCAAAAAATAATTCAAAAAACCTCTTACTTTAGGCAAGAATCTCTTATAGTGCATTCATCGCATAGTCTATCAACATGTTGAGAGCAAACAATTCTTCCTTCATGTTTACAAACTAAACCAGAACAAAACAAAGTTGTTCGACAGACCGCACAAGCTCTTAAACAAATCAAATTTTTTAAAAAAAATTTGAAAAAGTAAACCTGTCATCATCCGAAAGATCTTCAAATTTACAAAATTGACTTTCACGCAAACCAGCTTCAGATAATTTTTTACGAAATTCTGTTTCTTTTGACACAATCCAACTTAATTCTTCAAGTGTTGCCAAACACATACTTATACTCATTTTCTTTGCATATCCAACCATTTTCATTAAAAGTTCTTCATGTGAAAAAACACAATTACGTTGAACTGAAGCATAATTTTCTAGGCATTGTCTTCCCATTCGAAGCTTAATAACAAAAAATTAAATTTAAAAATAACGAACGAATAAAGCAGAAATTTCCTTTTTACTTAATAAAATGATACATAAGGATCTCACTAAAAGATACACCCAATACTAAATACACCTCAATTTGATAACATTTCTTAAAATTTGGTTAGCTGGTCACTAGGGCCGGTATCATAAGAACGTGGTTGCTGGTTAGGTAGTAGTTGTTGTTCCTATTTAAGGCATCACCAACTGAAGACATACAAGAAGTGTCGTAACGACACATCTTAAATCTTAATAACTGAGTATTCGTTCAAGATTTCGTCTCAATCCGGTCTCTACTCCTGTCTTTCAGCCTCAAGGGAATCTATCAGAAACCTGGGACTTTATAAGTGAAATCTGTTGACTTATAAAAAAATTTTTTTACCCAATCAGGCGGAGCAAAATTGACAGCCTCCGCAAAATTCAATCCTTCATTGTAACCAGCATGATATGCTCTAGGAAAAGTCACAACAAATTCCCCAGCATTTTGATGGCAAGAATAAACTGGGACGCCCTTATCGATTAAAAATCGAGGGTTTAATGCTGTTGTCATATGATGTAATAAATCGTTTTGATCAGCAAACAATTCTGGGAAAGATTCTCGCATAACTTGATCAAAATGTTCAGCCTCATCGCCAGGTATGCCATACCAGATTTTACGTTCTCCCCAGTGATTGTAGTTGATCGAATAAGTCCAATGATCTTCAACATGCCTAAATAATAAAATTTGAATTTGAAATTATTTTTGAACAGTTACCAGCAAAAGGTTGAGAAACACATTCCGACGTAAACCCATGGAACCATCATACCTAAAAAATAATAAAAATAAAGTTAAACCTCAGTTTTATACACAAGACATATCCCCTAGACATATCCTTGGGGCAGAAAAATCGTAACTTATTAAAGTATAGGAATAAGGGGTACCATAAATTTGGAGGTATTGTTTTCAAAGTTCCCTTGACCAATGGCCAACCAACTTTCAAAAAATATTAATTAGCGTACTTAATTTTAAAAGTATCTAACAATATCCCAAATAGGAAAAGTAGGGAATTCTAGACGGTTTTTTGGCCGGGAACCTCAATTTCCTAATCGTTAATTTATTTTTTAATGTCAGCACATTCCTTAGTGCCCAATAATAGAGTCAATCTGTATAATCAAAAGTTTTTACCAGAAATATCAGTATGCATATGACAAAGAACACTTTCTTTTAGTTTTGGCAAATTATTCAAATCTTTAAAAAAATAAATTTAAAAACAATAATTAACCTTAAAATACTCACTCCAAGGATGATTAACATAATATTGCTTTTCTTTAAAATCAATTCCATTTAAAGAATCTTCACGTCGAGGAAATCCACTTCCTACTTTACTCGAAATTCTTAAAAATAAAATTTTAAAACAAAAATTTTTTTTATCGCTTACAAATCAGCTCCATATTTAACTTGAACAACACTGTCAATGTCAACTACATTACGCCAAAATTCTGCCTCAACCTTTTCACGAGGTACATTCTAAGAAAAATATTAAAGTCTTTAGGTTTAGAAAAGGAGTGAGGAAAGAAGGGTCAAAAGCCCCAATAGTAAAATAGATGCATCGCTAAGGTGGCTTGTTAGACTTGACCCATGGCATGTCGCAGAGCTCCAAATTGTCCAAAAATGCTCCAAATTGTCTGATAATTGAAATCGAACCGAAACTTTTCGGATATTCGGAACATAACCGAATAACCAAACCAAGAGCGTTTTTCTGTGGGGAATCATATCACACTTCAAGGCGCCTTTGTTGTTGATCACTCTCCCGTGTAAACCCAGGCATATGGATCCGAACATAAAACCCAAAAAGTTCGCTCGGTCGTTAAAAAATAGGAAAAACGACCAAATATCTTAAAGCTAAGAAATTGAAGATCAGAAAAAAATAAATTTTAATAAATTTACCGTCGGAATCTCTTTAAAATATTGTTGTTTAAAAGTATTTGCCCAATCACCAAAAGTATTCAAATTAAAAATTTGTTGAGAATCTACAAAACCAAAATCTGTCGAAACACTTTTGACTGCATTAGTAACACAAGTATGACATCTCCATTCGCCTTTTGGGACTTCCATAAGAGGTGGGTTAGCACAATAAATATGAAGAGAATTGTCACATGTTTCGCATAGTAGTAAACGAGCCTCATCATCTCCATGTCCACATTTTGCACAAATTACAAGTTCAATTGGAGTTCGATGATCAGATTTATCTAGAATTATTAGGATAAAGTTTAGCGAAGTGATTGGTTGGGGCCCCCAACCATAGAAGCGATAGAGCTCAGAGCCTGTTCCAGTTGCACTTAAAAAAAGACTCAAGTTCGAAGCCTGTCGGCAGGTGGTAGTCTGATCTAGTTTTACGGTATAACAGATAAAACAGTGGCAATCGCCTAGTCGGTTCAGGCAATAGAGTTCAGCTTTGCTTGTAAGATCTTGACAACCCAATACTAACAAGGTATAAAATGCCTAACAAACCACTTTACATGTAAGTGCATAATTTAGGCCTTGTTGATTTAAATAGAATACGTCAAAGATACCTTGCAAAGAACTCTTGTCCAATGAAGGAATCGGCTTTATCCGTCTCTTTTCGAGGCCAGCCATCATTCGACTTTGGCGGCGAGTTTGAGGTACATTTTTACATTCGTCTTTGGTATCTTCTGAGGTAGATGGTCCAGTGTCATCGTTACACTAAATTGAAAAAATGATTTATGGAAGATAGGATAAGACTAGTGAAAAAGCTTTGGGGAAAATCAAAAAATTTCCCAAGAGCAAAATCAAGAAAATAGTTGGGTAAGTAATAGGGTTGGGGTTTACGAGTCGGGCCAACGGACGAGTCATTTATTCCGGGCCGGCCCGACCGAGTCTTTTTCGGGTCAAAATTCAAGGCCCGACTCGATCTTTCGGACCGGGCCGGATCGGGCCTCCAGCCTAGTAAGCAACAATTTACAAGGGAAATATCCTAAAGGAAAGGTAGAAATAGAAACAAACATCTGAAAGGTGCAATTCAAAAGGTTGAATCCATTTGGTATAATGATATTTAAGTGATGGTCCAGCTGTTGGTTTAAATCCTAGACATTTGGCAATATGTGACCAACGTCTAGTTTCTGAAACTTTTCTCAATCCTCCATTTTCAGCGACCAACTAAAATTTTAGAAATTAAATTAGAGAACGTACGGAATTTTACGGGACACAGTGGCGGAATTCCAGTATGTAATTGACAAACGGGATTCCAAGGATTTACAAAAATAATCACAAAAGATCCAGTCCCTTATAGAGGCGGATTTATATTCATTTAAAACACAAAAACGACTATGGTTATGAACCAGGTTTTTCTTAACAGTTTCTGACCGTCAATTTAAATAGAAGGCAAAACTAGCCATATGATGAAAAAATGGAAAGACAATGTACAGTTCGTGGGCAGGGTAGCTTCAGTGATTTAAATGAAATCCGCCCTCTACTTATAAAATGTTTAAAACTCCGTTAAGTATCCCGGGACTGTGATACAAGCCAAATTTTAAAAAAAATTAAAAAAACCAAACCTTCTGCAAACGGTAAAGATCAATATATTTATTCTCTGCCCAAGGAATACGAAAATGTTGACCATGAATCTGCCAGAATTTTACAAGTTTATTTATAAAAATTATGCGAAGACGAAAAAGTGCATCAATTTCATTTAGTCGTTGTACTCTCGGCGTAAATTCAAATTTTTCTGGGTCAATACAAAATGGGGGGCGGAAACTCTAAAAAATGGGGAATTTATTAAAATAGTCAATAAATTAAAAAAACCTTTGGAGGTATAATTTTGACCAAACCATATTTTTCTGCGCTCGATTTTATTTTTGCTACGTATAAAATGGGGTCAGCAAAATCTGGAAAAATAAATTTAAAAATTCAAAAAAATTTACGACCCTGTCCCAAAAGAAGGGCGGAATTGTTTTTTTCATTACTCGAAAGGAAAGGAAAAATGGAGACGGATGGACAAAACACGGAACGGCTATCAATTTCCAAACCATTTCCGTCCGTGTTTTGTCTGTCCGAGTTCTGTTTGTCCGTGTCCATCCGTCTTCATTTTTCTCCATTTTTCCTTTCCTTTCAGGTAATCAAAAAAAACGATTCTGCCCTTGTTCTGGAATAGGGCCTAATTTTTCAAAAAAAACCTTCTTCTGTTGGATAAAATGTTGGAGCAACTGGAGGAGGTTCAAAATCAGTATAATAACGTTCCAAATCTCTTTCCATAAATATATTCTAGTTCCAATTACAAGAGAAATGAGTAGTTGTCCAGTAAGAACCTTTAAAATTTTTAAATAAAAGAAAAATATGAGAAAATTGCTATGACAACGAAAAAATAAAATTAAATAAAGTTTAAAACAAAATAAAAATACAAAAATTGCAAACGTTGCAAAAACAAATTAATTAATTAAATAGACTATGAGAAAACTAAAAGAGGTTTTACAACTTTTCTTCTTTTTATTTTACTCCCAGACAGATCGATTTTGCACTGTAATTCTGCCTTTTATACTTGAAACTGTCTTTCGCTTCGAAAAAAAAGAAAATTTTGATTTGGTAAATAATGAGGACATTACAAAACATCAACTAGTGAAAAACGACAAAATGGTACACTCAACAAATTTTTAGTTTTCGTCGAACGGCAAACCTATTTTATGGGACCTACTGATTTTCTAATCGATGATTTTCTAAATTAGGGAAAGGATAGAGCGTGTGATATTTTTTTCTTTTTTATGCTTGAGGGACGTGTGGTTTTTTAATTTTTTATGAGAAAAAAGAGAAAAAGGGGACGAGAATTGAAACAAATTAATGAAATTAGTAGTTGAAATGGGTACTTGTAGGGGTTGTGTGTCCAGCTAAAGATTGTCAAAAAAATTTTCTCCTTTATGGGCAAATTATTTATCACTCAAGAGAGCTCCTCGAGCTGAATTGATTGAGACTAAAATTAGCTAAATCTGACTTAATTGAACAAAGTTATGACCATTTTTGTGTTCCCCTCTACTTAGGTATCCTGCGGGAGTCTTGTCTTACGATGCCTCTCCCATCGGTAAGGGGCTGGATACACCTTTAAAAAATTTTTAGAATCATTTTATATAGGTAATCGACTATGCTGATCACGAATCTGATATCAGATTTTGTCAGATATGACATTTTATCTATGATTTTTTCTAGGCAAATCAAAGGTGTATCCCAGATTCTGCAGGATTGCCCTTCCTATCTTCATAAATCTTATAAAAAAACGAAATTCAAATTTTTTTCTTTGAAAGATCTAGACCTCAAAAACAAGATTTTGAAAAAGAGAGGTATTAAAATATTTATCAAGATATCAATTTTACATTTTTATGATAAAATAATAGCTCCAAGATTAAAATATAGCAGTGGTGAAGTTTTTTTTGTATATATTTGTTTAGAATCGATTATTGTTGTGATGGACTGGATTTTGTAGAGAGAAAATATATTTACATTGGAGGGAAAGCCATATTTATTAATATTTTTTCCCTCAGTTTCGAAGAGGGAAAAGATATGCCCGTTGAATAAAATTGACTTTTTAAAGCATTTTTCGGGCAAAAAATTTATTTTTCTAACCGTATTTTTTCAATGGAAAAAAAGTTTATAAAAATTATTTATAAAGTACTTACTCATTAAATTGAATTTTATAGAGTTAAAAATACGGTTTTTATTGGTAAATTACACAATTAAAAGCAAAATAAAGTTTAAACATGGCTTTTTTACATATTAAAAATGATTTGATATAATAGAATAAAGATTATTGGGTTTACTGGCCTCCTAGAAAAAATGGGCAAAGTTGGGAATATCTGCAAAAAAATTTTTTTTGAAAATTTGGGGACCTGTGTAGACATTCCGGTAATATTGAACGTGACAGACCCCCTTTTTTCCTCCCCAAGTTTTTCCCCTATATTTTTAAAGAATGGCCAGACTTTTTCCTTTCTCCCATCCTAATTGCCTTTCTATATTTAACAAAAAGGATTATTTAATTTTATACAAATGAAAGTATATGCAAAAAAAGTAAGAGGAGTATTAATTTTGTCTCAATTTATAAAAAAATGGAACAACTGTCATGTCCGATGTTTTCATGCTGTAGAAAAATTGTGGATGGGAGATGGAATTGAACCATCACGGAAAGAGCCCAAACCGAAAGCACAACCGACTGTGCCACCATCCAACCCAATGCTGGGTTATTTATTTGCATTTATATTCTTTCTGCAAGTGCGGACACAACAACAACTTTTGGCAATTGGGAAGGAATCAAGGAAAAACTGTTGTTTATGATTGATTGTAGGATTTGTAGAAAGGCAATTGGGAAGGGAGAAAGGAAAAAGTCTGACCATTTTGTGAAAATACAGGGTAAAACTTCGGGAGGAAAAAAGGGGGTCTGTCACGTTCAATATTACCGACATTCCTATAGAAACTTATGTTTGTACTTATGTTTGAACTAGAGACCGGACCGAGACGAGATCTCAATAGAAAATCTCAGTTATCGAGATCGATAATTTTTCGAGATCTTGGTTCTCGTAGGACTGGGAGTGTCATACGAGAACCAAGATCTCGAAAAATTCTCGATCTCGATAACCGAGATTTTTGATTGAGATCTCGTCTCGGTCCGGTCTCTAGTTCAAACATAAGTACAAACATTCAACATAAGAGGTGTGTCTCCCAAAATTCTCAAAAAAATTTTTTTTTCAATTTAATCGTTATGTGGTACTCAAGTTTGAAGCCTTTTCGATTTTTTCCTTAATCAATTTACCCCCTTTTTAGTTCAAATCATTTTAAAAATTACAAATTAATTTTCGAATTTTTAGAAGAAAATAGAGTTGAACGGAGCCTCCCCCAAAAAAATGGCTTAAAAATTAAGATTCAAAATTATTTTTATACATATTTTAACGGTAATACCGTTGTTTATTCCTTTTATTTCCTTATAAACTTCCATTTAATTATTCTTCCTCATCTCGAGCACTTTCACCGCCAAAAGCTGGCTGACTAGCATACACAATGTAAAGAAATCCATCCTCATCTTTTTCGTCATCATAAAGCTGTCCGATAGTCTGGGACATTGAAAAGACCGATTTGCCGTTGACAAGCCTGAAAAAAATTTTTTTTTTAATTTTCAAAAATTAAAAAAAAATACAAGTAAAAAGCTTGGTCAGGATGAAGTTGCAATCTGCGACGTATTATTTGCATTACGCCTCCAATTGTCAAATGACTTGGCACCAGATATTTGGCATGATTCATCAGAGGCAAAAAACCTTTAAAATGAATAAAGTTGAATGAAAAATAATTTTAAAAGACATACGCTCTTTGTCATATCGCTCAATTATCAAAGGCACCTGAAAAAATTGAGAATATTTTGGAATTCTTGTTTTGTGTTTAACAAAATTTAAAGGTTAGGGAGAGCGACAAGAAAAAATAACAGCAGCTAATTGGTATGGATTAGTAATTGGATTAATCTAATCCTAATTGGACTAGCCGAACGGGCTAGGCAACAGACTGAAGGGGAGGGTCCTGGGATTGAATGATGGCATCGAAAAACGGAAGCATCCAACCCAAATTTTTCTCAATAGCTTAATTATTAAAGAGATAGACTGTCACTAGGCTAATTCCCTTTGAAAATAAAAAAACTCATAAATTAAAACCTTGTCGTTATGTTGACGCATAATGTCTTGCACCATTCTTTGTCTTTCAGCTAAAAATGTGAATTATTAAAAATCATGTTTTTAAAATCATACGAAGGCCTTTGCGTTCTTTAAAAGTTATGCTGCCATTGGTTAAAGCATCAGAGCTTGAAGATGAATGCATTTTTAATAATTTAAAATAATTTAAAAATATTTAGTATCTGAAAAATTTAAAAAAATTAAGTTAAAATTGTCTTTAGGAGCAAGTTCTGGGGAAGACGCTCACCATCTCAAGGTGAGGCAACCCCTACAATTTTTTAAAAGGTATGGATTGACCTTAAAAAGTAAACTTTCCCCATATTTCTCATTAATATATACATACACCCATTCTGTCTCCAAAAAAAATAAAAATTGTAGTTTACGAGTGACCGAGGGGAAAATAACGAGTACATTGGGAAGAAAGGCAAGAAATAAGGGAAAAATCTAAAAGAAGAAATTCAAAAGAATGAGAAATTAAATAATTTGAAAAAAAGTCAATTTTAAATAAAGATAAGAATGATGCAAATTATACGCGTTGTAAAATAAAAATTCTCAAAAAATCTTCAAAAAATCTCAAAAAAATTCTCTTAAAGGTACACCCATTTAATAGCGATTTCTGCACAAAATATTAAAAAATCTAAACAGAATAAAATTTAGGTAAATTTTCAACGAAAAATGCACAGCGTCTATTTTGTGTAACAAATAGGCAACTTTTACACCCTTTTTATTGTTATCTTTTTGTAATATCAGTAGACAGACTAAAAACGAATAATAATTCTATTGATTCTCTCAAAAATATTTTCTATTTTATTGACTTTTAAATACACCCCCCAAAAATTTCCTCTTTCTTTTGATTACTCCTTCTCTCCGTTCCCTTTTAGAAAAAAAATGCATTAGACTGGCATGTGATTAATGAATGAAATTAACATGGCAAAAAGTCAAACATTGAATGCGTTACTGGAAGAAACTGCAAAAAGAAAGACTGATTAAAAATGACCAGAAAACACAAAAAAAAAGTAAAAGTCACATTCAATTTGGTCACGTTTTAGCAAAAAATGTGTTATTAGAGATTTTGAAAAATTTGGAGGGGAAAATTTCATTTTGGTAACTTTTATTTCGGTCAATTAATTTGGCCACTAATCAAGTGTATTTTGCTTAGAAAAGGCAAACGTACTAGAAAAAGACTCCGAAAAAGAATTCTCTAAAAAACAATTGACAATATAGGTGATAAAACTGACAACAAATTACAAGTGATAAAATAGCCAGGTAATAAAAATCTAGTGGAAAATAACCAACAAATTTTGGGCAAAAGTAAATTTTACTACATTTAGGTGTTTTGTATTTTACAAATGTTTTGGTGTTTTAAAATATCTACAATAGTTTACCACTTTGAAATTACAATTTAAAAAGAGTTTACATTTTGACATTCTCTTTTATCAAAAATGTCTTGTTGTCCCATTTTTATTGTCTGCGTCTCTCAAATTCCTGTAGTCTCTCATTTATTAATTACACATTTTTCTAATTTGACTGATCGCCTCATTAATTTTTATTTTAATCAGTTTATTTGTATTTTTTCACTTTATCCGATCGCGTTTATTTTTTCAAGTAATTTTATTTAATTTTTAAAGATTCCAATCATTGTTATTTAAAAAATATTTAATATAAACTTCAAAATATCTCAACATGTCTTGGCTTTTTGACTGGTTTTCTGGAGTTCTCAACTATTTGGGCCTTACAAAAAAGAGTGGAAAATTGGTATTTTTATTTAAAATTTTTTGTTGGGTAATTAATAATTTGGCTATAAACAGATTATTTTTGTTCAGACCTGGATTTTCACTAAAAATGCATAGTCCCTATATTCTGCCAAACCTATATTTTGGCCTATAAACATAAAAATCACAGCTTTTGCGAATGAGATTCTATCTTCAGTCTTTTTGTCTGAAGGCTGAAAAGGTTCTGTGGTTTGGTTTTGGTCTGGTTCTGTTTTTTCTGGTCAACGAGTTCTTTCGAATGATATATGATAAATTATGTATCAAACAAGAAAGCTCAAAATGGTCAGAAAAACGTTGAAAAAAGGGGGGGCGAATTCCAAACTATTACCAAATCACAGCTTTTGCGAATGAGATTCTATCCTCAGTCTTTTTGTTTCTGGTTCTTTGTACTAGAAAAACACTAAAAAATTTATCGTAGCCCAGATGACTAAAAAACTCGGTATAGCCCTCAGACTAGGGCTATTTCCTTTACCTTTTCTAATTCTCACTGAATTTCAAAAAATCTTTTTTAAAATTTTCTTTGTTAAATTACCTTAAAAATTTAAAAAGGTATTCCTTGGTCTTGATAACGCTGGAAAGACAACTTTACTTCACATGTTAAAAGATGACCGGATTGCACAGCATGTCCCAACACTTCATCCAACTTCTGAAGAATTATCGCTAGGTGGCATTCGCTTCACAACTTTTGATTTGGGAGGACACGTCCAGGCACGTAGAGTGTGGAAAAGCTATTTTCCAGCATTGGACGCTATTGTATTTCTTGTGGACGTTGCTGATTTGGAACGGATTCAAGAAGCTAGGGAAGAGCTTTGGAGCTTAATGCAAGACGAGCAAGTCTCTAGTGCACCAATATTGGTTTTGGGAAATAAAATTGACAAGGCGAATGCGTTGGGTGAGGACCAGCTTAAATATTATTTGGGAATTCAGCAATATTGCACAGGTTTGTTTTTTAATTAAAAAAATTTTTTTTTGAATTTTCGTTTTATTAAAAATGGGCGAAAATTTGTATTCCCATTCCAAAGGAAAAATAGGGTAACGAAGAGAAATTAGGAGAAGGTCCGCAAGGGTGTCTCTTGTCCGCAATTTTAGCCGCTTTTCTAGAGTTCATTTTATTTTTTATTTGTGTTTAAGCAATGCTTCTAATTGTAAACTTTTATGGCTTACCACAAATATAATTTTTTTCCTTAATTTTTGAGAATACTTTTTCCTGCCCCTTCGAGAATTCTTTTTCCTGCCCCTTCGAGAATTTTTTTTTGAAAATTTTTAAAAATTTAATTTTTTGGTAGCCATTAAATTTTATATTTTTTTTTAAATTTATCATTTTTAAAGGCAAAGGCAACGTTTCTCGTGCTGATTTGGCAACTCGACCTCTTGAAGTATTTATGTGTTCGGTGCTTCGTCGACAAGGATATGGTGAAGGTTTTCGTTGGTTATCCCAATACCTCGATTGATGCGGAAAAATTTATATATTTTGGAAAATAACAAACAAAAGTTTTTTTATTTAATGAAAAGTTTAAAAAAAATATTGTCGCTTTCACTCATATTTTTTTTGTCACCTTTTTGGCCCCCCAAAAAATTTTTTTTTGACTGACCGACAAAATTGGACAAAAAATTTATGTTAATGTATAATTTTTTAATAATTATTTTTTAAAATTAATTTTTTTTTAAATTTTTCCTTTTTTGGTTTTTAAGCCAAAAAAGGAAAAATTTTGAAGTAAAATTAACGTTAATTTCAAGGAAAAATTTTTTTTCAGACCATGGTATTTCCAGCAATTATATATAAATTTTTTCTCTTTTTTAATATGTGCTCATGTTGAAGAGAATTGAAGCCTATCATTTTAATGAATAAAATTTTTATGTATTGGAATTTTTGTTTTTATTAATTAATTTATTTGGATGACCAGAATTATTTTTTAAAATTATTTTTGATGACTTTTCAATTTTAATAATTAAACCCCTTTACATTAGTGAGCAAATTAAAAATTTTTGGCACCCAGCCAACAATCCGATTTTGGGTTATTTTTACTATATTCCTGACGGTTCCACCGAGATTTCGATTCGCTGTATATTTTTTACTCCACTTTAAATTTATTTTCGTGTTGTGGAAAATTTTATTAGATGGGATATAGAATAGATAGGGTCCCAAACCAACGCTAAAACCATTTTCAAAATCGAGTCGCTATCGACTGTGCCACCATCCAACCCGATTTTGGGTTATTTTTACCCTACCTCTGATGACGGGCAATCAACGTCTAGATTGTCTTTTTTGATGTTGATTAAAAAAATTTTTTGGAGAGTCACTCCATGATTGTAGAGTCGCCCCATAATTTCTCAATTTATTGTTGAGATTCTCCCTTTTAATTTTTTAAATAAATTTTTTTAGAAAATTTTTTAAAGCAAATGAACAATCTACAAAATTATTTTAATTTATATATTCGCCCTAATTTGGAAGCAAACCCTTTCTTCAAATATGTGATACTAGTTCAATTAATAGGTTTATTTTAATTTTTACTTAAATTTTATTTTTAAAGGTTTTTTCATTTCTTTATTCAAACCAATTTCTGATTTGTTGGTTCTCGTGCCTAGCACTCTTTTTTATCTTCATCTATGGCGGTTAATTACAAATTTGTTTGTGGAGAGGAATTTGATAGGTTTTTAAATTTGTTTAAATTTTTAGAAAATTTTTTTGAAATTTCTTTGAAATTTTTAAAGATTTATCGAAAAGTTGTGGAAAAGTTTTTCTTCAAAATTTTTTTCAAAAATTTTTTCTTTCCAGTACTTCTCTGGTCATCCTATTGTTTTTACCAATTTATTTTGTATATTCAACCAAATTGGTCTGTTAAAGAATCGCTCAAATTTATTGTGATTGTGCAGGTTTAATTTTCTATTTTTTCCACCTAGTAATTGGACCATCTCGCTTAATTTTCAACCAATTTTTTCTTCGTTTCCACTTCCATTTATCTGATATCTGTGCTTTATGTAGCTCATTTGGGGGTACCAGTTGTAGAGATTTTTCTGTTAACCGAAACCCAAATCAAAATTTTTGTTCCACGATTTTTCTATTTGTTAGTTTGGCTCATTTTTTCATCATGATTTTCTCATATTCCATATAATTTGAGGATTTTTTGAACCGAACCGACTGTGGATTTGTTTGGTTCATTTCCTTATTTCCAATGACTTTCCAAAAATGGACAACCCTAATTCCGATTTTATTATTTGGCTTGTTATTCTTTTCTGACTTCCCTCCCTTATCATGTTTTTTTGTTTAATTTATTTAAAATTAATTTTTTTACAGCTAACCTCAACATTTTTGCTTGTAATATTTTCTTTACTTTTGTTTATCTCAACAAGCGTAGTTTATACCTTTTATAAAATTGAAATTTTTGGAAGTTGTGCGTTAGCAATGGCTGCATTAATTGCTCTTAAACAAGTTTATTTTTTTAATTAAATTAAAAAAATTTTTTTTAAAGTTTTTACCAGACACAGTTCTTTTTACTACACCCTATGGAAGACTAAAAAATGGACATTTACCGATTTGTTCGTTCTTTGTGTTTTTGATATGTTGGATAATTGGGCTTGTTAGAGGGACTGTTATTTTTCAAATTATGTTTGTTTAGTTTTTTTTAAATATTTTAATTTTATAAAACACGCCGTCCAATTTACGTATTTTATTAGTTTAAAATTTGACTAAAAAATATTTTAAAATTATTTTTAGAGGTACTGGGCAGCAGAGGTGGGTCGGAATTGGGACTTCCAACGTTTTTTTCCTTCCTCCGAAAAAATTTTGATTTCCGAGTTCCTATTTTTGAGCCAGTTCCGATTTCCGGCTCTTCCAGTTTCCGACACCTCTAACTGTTCCGACCCACGTTTGCTGGGCAGTTTTGGGTATTTTGTGGCTTCGGCTCTGACCTTTTCAAATCGGTTTCGAACGTATTCGGTTCCGGAGCTAGCTTACGGGGTCATACCCAGTAATACTTATGTAGTAATCGATCACTGGAACCAGTCAAATCCGCTGCGAAATCCACTCCATCGTTGGGCTTTAACTTTGAGTCCTCCAACGGAGTCGAATTGCAGCGAATCGGGGTGTTCATTCTTTTCTTTAGTATCATTCTTTCCGTTAGAAATATTTAAAAAAATTGTTTTTTGTCATAAAATAATTTATTCAACATTAAGGTTATCTCTTCAAATCAGCTGGACATACTTACGATTTTTTCAAGAAAGAGGTGGTATGGGTGAACAAGTAGTTGGTGATCGAAGTGAACATTTTTGTTGGGCAAGGTTTTTTTCTCTTAAAAATTTTTCCCTTTAATTTTCATTTTTCAGTTTTTTCCCAAGAATTATTCAACCTTTTGCTACCTTAATTGGCCGTTTTACATTTCGTTCACTTCATCGTTTTGGATTGTTAAAACGAGTTATTGGGAAAGAACATTTGGATTATATGCAAGAGAACAGTCTTCAAATGGAAGCATTGGAATGTATTCAAGTTAAAAGTGTTGGGACTGCTGTGTTGGCACCGGAAGGTTGGGATTCGGAAAGGAAAAGGTTAATTTGGAAATTATTTTTTTAAAAATTGGGTAGACACTTGAATGCCCCCCCCCCCTCTCCCCGTATTTTGTCGAGTGTTAAAACACGTGACACGCAACGCTCGACATGGATCCAATGTGGGAGAGGCCTTAGGGCATGCCCCTTTAACCTTACAATTTTTAATCTTTATGTTTGATCCCTTTCTATTTTTTTTTATTAAATCCCCTGTCTTCAAAAATTAATTAAAATCGTTAATATTTTTGATTATGGTTGTTGGGCCTGCAAAAAATTTTTTTTAATTTGTCGGCAAATATTTTTGCGGACAAATTAAAAAATTTTTTTTCTTTCAATTTTTCTCTTTTTTCCAGACAAAAAGCTTTGAGAATGTTAAACGAACGATTAATGGCTAGCAATACAATTAATGCCTCCCCAGAAAACAACCAAAAACAGCTACATGAATCCCCTTCAAGTCCACAATTAACAAAAGGATTTGGGGGATTTGAAGAGGAGGAAAGGCCTTACAAATTTGCACAATTTCAACAAACTTTGCCTCCTAAAGATATTGAAGAAAATAATGAAGAATTGACAGCAATAAATATAATAGATGAATTAAATGAAAATGAGGAGAGGCGATGATTAAAGTGGGTGGGTAAGGGAAAAAAATTTTAAGCATAATATTTTGTATTAATTTTTAAAATCTAAAATTATAAATGCAATAAAAAGAAAGATTTTTTTTATTTTTGAAAATTAAAAACAAAAAAAAACATCAAGTTTTTAGCCCAAAAAATTTAATAAAGGTCCCAGAGAAATTCAAGACCAGAGAAATTCAATGCCCCCCCCCCATTCAATGCCTAGCGGTAGCGTAGGCTTTGTTTGGTTGATTTCAGGAATGTTATGGGTTGAGAAAAAAAGTTGGGTCTTGGAAATTTTTTTCAGTTCGGGTCGAAAAAGTCCGAATTGCGAGTAAACCGTGAAATCACGGATTAATATCAGGGATGGAAACAATCGACTATTGACAATTTGGTTAATCTTTCCAAACCACTTTCTGACTATTAGACGAGTTTATTCTGAAGTTGGGTCTGGTTTTAAAGCCCGGTTTAAAAAATTAAATTTATTTTTGAGAGACATTTGTGAAAAAATATTAATTTTTATTAAGAAAAATATTAAAAAATTTAAATATAAAAATAATTTTTTTTTTCTAAAAAATCTAAAAGGATTAGAAATTGTGAAAATTCTAAAAGATTAATTTGGGGGAGAGACTAAAAATAAAAAATATTTTAGAAAGGAATATATTTTTAAAAAATATTTTTGAGGTTTTTAGAGATCTTTTTCTCTTCAATTATTGTAAAAACTTGTGTTATTCAAAAACATCCCCATCACAAATTCCATCAGCAACAGGTTTTGTATGAGTATTTAGATGATTTTTGCCATCAGTTGTGCTTATTAAATCAACATCCGGTCGAAATAGCTTTTTGAATTTCTGAAAGAAAAAAATCATTTTTTGTCCGCAAATATTGTCCGCAAAAATTTTTTTTGGGAAGATCTGTCCGTAAATTCTGTCCGCAAATTTCCTTAAAATCTTGAGCCTTCTTAAGAAAATCTCTGTCCGCAAAAATGACTTTAAATTTGCGGACATATTTTATGAAAATCCTGTCCGCAAGTATTGTCCGCAAAAATCCCTAAAACTTGCGGATTTTTCTAAAATCTTGTCGGCGAAGGATAAATTAAAAAATAAACCTCAGAAACAGTTCCTTCTGTAACAATCCAAGCATAAATAGCATAAATGGGTATACAAAGCATTGAAGAAAGTGACAAAAACCAACCTTCAATAAAAATACTTTTTGTCAAATTAATTAAGTAAAAATACCAAAAATATGCCCCCAAAGTGGATAATCATAATTATAAGCAGCTATACGTAGAGGTTGGTATTTGAATAAACCAAAAATCATTACACCCTATAAATTATTTGAAATAAAAAATTTTTTTTTGTCCGCAAAAAGTTTTTTTTGATGTTTGATTTTTTTTGATGTCCATTTGGCCTAACTACAGTTTCCGTACCAGGCTCAGAATTGGATGATTTATATGTCATTCGAAAGAGCTCGTCGAGCTGAGTCGAACGACTCCAAAATTATTCAGCGGAAAAAATTCTGAGCCGAGATATAGGGCTCGAAATGGTCAAAAACCAAAGGGGGGACCAAGCACTTTTTGGGGGTAAAAAATTCGAATATGCAAACGATAGCTCATTCGAAAGAGCTTGTCGAGCTGAATCGAATGACACCAAAACCATCTTGATTGCACAAGTTTTGACAAAGTTACGATAGAAAAACTACTAACATAAACCTATGGAGCGTCGGCGAGGCGCTTGTGCAAAACCCCGCGCTTCGCGCGGGGTTTTGCGGCACGCGCCTCGCGGGGAGTCTACGGGCGCTGGGTCTGGGCTCGTAACATAAACCTATTCCTATCTCCCTTGTTCTGGACGTATTTGGGGCCTCCGTAGCAGCAAAAATCTCCACAGATGCTATAGGTAAGGAGCTACAACAAACGGTCATAACTTTGTCCAATCAAGTCAGATTTCGTTGATTTTGGTGTCATTCGACTCAGCTCGACGAGCTCTTTCGAATGAGCTATCATTTGCATATTCGAATTTTTTACCCGCAAAAAAGTGCTTGGTCCCCCCTTTGTTTTTTGAACTTTAGGGGTCTGTAACTCGGCTCAGAATTTTTTCCGCTGAATAATTTTGGTGTCGTTCGACTCAGCTCGACAAGCTCTTTCGAATGACGTATAAATTGTCCAATTCTGAGCCTGGTACGGAAACTGTAGTTTAGCCGTCCATTTTGATGTGGACAATACATTCTTATCTTCAAATATTATCCGCAAAAATAGCAGTAAATTTGCACTTTTTTAAGGAGTATTCTGTCCGCAAAAAAACAAGAAAATTAATTTACCATACAAACAGCAGGTGTAGTAAAAACCCAACAAAATTTCCACCATTTACTCGGATAATAACCAATCATCGAGTATAAATGGTCATACCAACGGTCAATTCCTACACTCCAAGAAATTGCTATACATTCAAAGAATAAAAGCCAAAGAAGCGCCCAACCAGAAGCAGCATAAAAATCGAATAATTGGAAGACGTAAAAGCCACCCTAAAATTTTAAGAGGTTCTGTTGGACATTTTGAGAAATTTCCTCCTTACTGGACGTTTAGGAAATTTTTTCACTAATGGACATTTTGAGACATATTTCTTTATGGACGTTTTGGAGAGAGAATTCCTCTCAATGAAAAAAATTTTCCTCTCTAAATTTCCTCTCAATGGACATTTTGAAAAAAAATTTCCCTACTGGACGTTTTGAAAAATTCTCCTTACTGGACGTTTTGACAACCCTTCCGTTAAAGGACATTTTGTAAAAATTTCCCCAAGTGGACGTTTTGAGAACCCTAAATTCCCCCCCCCCCCCCAAACAAACCTCAGTAACTGTAGACAACCCACAAATGTAGGAAATTACACAAATACTCAAAACAAAAATTTCCCTGCCATAACGTCTTCCTCTTATTAAATGGGGGAATTCATCAATTATTGCAGTAAAAAATCCTTCCATAGTACAAAATTGTGAATCAACCCCCAAAAATAGCACCATACAAAAAAATAAAATTGACCAAATATTTGTATAGGGTAATTGAAGTATTCCTTAAAAAATTATTTTATAAAAATAAAAAAAAATACACCTGAAGGATATGCCAAGAAAAGCAATCCTGGCCCGGATTGTGCTACCTCATCTACTGTTTTTCCTTGTTGATTAGCCATAAATCCAATAAAGGAGAATATAACAAAGCCTATAAATAATTAAATTAATTAATTAGTGATAAGAGCGGTCGTGGTGTAATGGTTAGGAGTTTAGGTTTTGGGGGTGGAGGAGTTGGGTTCGAACCCCTTGGGCTGGAAATCGATTTTTAAGGGTTATTTTTGTAAATTTTTGATCTACAATAAATTTTTAAGGTCTAGAAAAATTTTAAAATTTTTTCTAAATACTTAAAAATCTATTTTCGAATTTTAAAAATTATTTAAAGTTAATAAAAAAAATATTTTAAATAAAAAACCTGCAAATACACTAGTTCCACTATTTACACAACAAACAGTCAGTGCCTGTCTAAAATAATTTTTAAAAATAAAAAAAAATTTTTAACAAAAAAACAAACTTGTAAACATTATTGTGAAATTTATTGTAAGAGCCTAAAGCAACCAAAGCACCCAAACCTAGGCCATAAGAGAAAAATACTTGAGTGACTGCATCCACCCAAACTTTGCTTTCAAAAAGTTTGGAAAAGTCTGGTTTTAAATAAAATCTGTGGAAAATTTAAAAAAATTAGGGAAGAAAAAATATTTTTTAATTTCTTTTAAATTTTATTTAAAATTGAAAAATTAAATTTTTTATAATTTTTGCGGACAAAACTTGCGGACAAATTTTAACAGTTAATTTTTCATAGAACGCCTTATACTTTTACTGAAAAATTTCACGAAGAAAGCTTTGGAATAGTAATAGTTGACTTTGCTTTGTCCGCAAGAATTTTTGCGGATAAAAAATTTGTCCGCAAAAAAAGTCCGCAAAAATTTTCTGTCCGCAAAATTGAAAATTAATTTTTTAAATTTATTAAATTTTCCAAAAATATTTTCAACCCAATTTTATTTTTTTCAACTCACTCTAGGCCTAAACTAGCACCCTCTAACGACAATCCACGTATTAACAAACAAAAAAGCATCAAATAAGGGAAAGAAGCGGTTAAATAAACAACCTTTTTTAATTAAATAAAATTAAAAATAAATTTTTAAAAAACCTTTCCGGTCCATTTAACCCCTTTAAAAATACAAAAATAACAAATCATCCAACAAATCATTAAATACAAGGCTAAATCATGCCTTAAAGAGCCGACATGTTCAATTCCTGTGCTAATACCCAATACGCGACGGCTTGAAAAAATAAATTTTATTTTAAAAATGAATAAAAAAAAGATTGAAAATTGGCTAGAAATTTATTTAAAAATTTTTAAAAATTAAATTTTCCGAAATTTTGGCAAAATTTAGAAACCCTCGCTTATAAGAGAAAATATTTTAAATAAATACGCATTATATATATATGTATAATAAGAATAAATAATTAGTTAAAGTGCGCTGTGGTATAATGGTTAGCTCTTTGCCTTTTTTAAAATAGGGTGTGGGTTCGAGTCCGTTGGGGGCTAATTAATTTATTTTTGCAAAAAAGAACATCAAAACTTATTTGGCATAATTTAGAAATATTTAAAAAAATTTTTTTTTAATTTTTAAAAATTTTAAAAATCCTCAAAAAATTTTCAAAATAAAAAATTTATTTAAACTTAAAAATAAACTTACTCCCAAAATTCCTTGACGGGAGAGTGTACATTCATATCCGCTTCCGTACATATTGTAAAATTAACTTTAGGGCCAATAAAAAATTGTTTTTTGTATTCATTTAAATGATCGGCTGTTAATATCTTTAAAAAAAATTTTTTAATTAAAAAATTTTCAAAAAATTAACTTTAACGTTAAAATAATCAGCAATTGAACGATTATTTTCACAAGTTACTGGATCGTATTCTGACCGACATCGGTAGGTATTCCATCTAGAAAAAATTTTTTTTAGAAAAATTAGAGGGAAGAAAACTAGAAAATTTAAATTTCAAATTTTGAGCAATTTTTTTTATTTAAAAATGGCCAGTTGAGCGCGTGCAAGTGAGTGCCAACAAGCTTTGAACGGCTATAATTTTCTTAATCTTCCTCCAACAAGAATAAATTATATATCATTCAAAAGCCCTTGATAAGCAGAATATTTTTTCCAATTGGATGGATCAAGTCTGACCTCGCCTTAAAAAGTTATAACCTAAAAAACGTGAAAAACACCAAATAATTGTACTTATCGTGTTATAACTTTTTAATGAGTAATTAGACTTGATCAATCCAGTTGGGAAAAAGATACCGCTTTTCGATAGCTTTCGAATGATGTAAGATTCATTCAGTTTGAATTAGAGCTAAAAAAAGTTATGGTTCATGACACTCAACTTCCAGCACTGAACTGACCATTTAATTTAATTAAAAAATTCAAATTTATTTTTCTCTAACTAACGTGTTATTGCAAGTCCTCCAAGGGACATTAGAGTCTACCCGTAGAGAATGAACTAAAGCGTTTTAAAAATTTTTCTTAACGTTTTTTTTAATTTTTAGCTCACCTAGATAAGCCATAGCCCAGCTTAGCACCACAATATAATAAATGTTAAGCCTTAAAAAATTTTTTGAAAATTTTTTTGAAAATTTTTTGAAAATTTTTAATTTTTTGAAATTTTTTTTTAATTTTTGAAAAATTTTTGAAAATTTTTGAAAAATTTTTTTGAAAATTTTTTGAAAATTTTTTTTTAAAAATTTTTAAGAATTTTTTGAAAAATTTTTTTGAAAATTTTTTGAAAATTTTTTGAAAAATTTTTTTGAAAATTTTTTGAAAATTTTTTGAAATTTTTTTTTGAAATTTTTTGAAAAATTTTTTGAAAATTTCAAAGCCAAACCAAAAAGCCATAACAACAGCAGCAATTCCAACCCCTTTAAATATAGGGCATATTTTAAACATTCCAAGGCCTCCAACAGAAACTAACTGGCCCCAAGAAGTTTCCAAAATAAAAAGAGGAACACCACAAAGCAAAATTGTTATTATATAAGGGATTAGAAAAGCTCCTCCTCCGTTTTGATAGCACAAATAGGGGAAGCGCCAAACATTGCCTAGGCCGATTGCCTGGAAAAGGGGGGAAATTTTGGGACACGCCCGAGTAGGCGCGGGCCAAGTAGGCGCGACCGAGTAGGCGCGACCGAGTAGGCGCAGGCCAAGTAGGCGCAAGGCCAAGTAGGCGCACGGCCCAAGTAGGCGCAAATCTTTTAGCTTAAAATATTCAAATTAAAAAATAAGTCAGTATAAATATTTTTATGTTAATGAGTTAGAAGAAAGATTCTTGATAAAAATTAGAAGAAAGGTACCTATTTTAGAAGAAAGACACCTTAAATATCGATACCCTGTTAGTATACGTTCGTACTGTATGCATTAACTAGGCAGTTCAAAAGTGTATATTTATTTTTTAATCCATTAAAAGCTTTTAATCATCAAAAGACTCCTAACTGTAGCTGGACTTTTTTGTGAAACGCCTTGATAGTCGTATCTTGATTGTTAATTGTACCTTTGTATATACTTCATGTTCCCTTAAACTGGTTAGTTCCTAAAGGCTAACTAGTTAGTCTTTCTTAAACTAGTTGAACTAGTTAGAGTATTCATAACATTGGTAAGCCACAGGAATTATCAAAGCAGCATGGCTCTCACTAATTAACAAACTTAGCAAATAATCCATAACTTATCAGCAGCTAAGTATGGAGCTTTTATGAGAAAATATTAAAAGATTTTTTTTAATTTTATCAAAAAATAAAAACATCAACGAGCTTCACTTAATAAATTTTTTTCCCTAAGAAGGGCAGTTTTAGAAAAAGTCCAGTGTCCACATAAAGTTGCTTGATTATTCAGCCAACTAATTAACAAAATTAGTTGAAGATTAATAAAAAAAATTTTGGGTAAAAATTAAGAAATTTACCCTTGCGCCTACTTGGGCCGTGCGCCTACTTGGCCTTGCGCCTACTTGGCCTGCGCCTACTCGGTCGCGCCTACTCGGTCGCGCCTACTTGGCCCGCGCCTACTTGGGCCGTACCCGAAATTTTGAGGAGAGAATTTAAAAAAAATTAATTTAAAAAGGGTTGGCTACTAGGTGGTTACCTAACTTTGGGGGGGGGGGGTACCCTCTATTTAAGATACTCCCGTTATAAGAGACTTTTCAGCCCAGAGAGCGACCTATACTGAGGCCAGACTCTAATGGTCCGAAATTTACCATTATGAAATTTTGACATTTTGAAAAATGTGCGTTTTGAAAATTCGACATTTTGAAAATTTACCATTTTGAAAGAAAAATTTAAAATTTTAAAAAATTTCTCAAAAATCGGAGCAGTTCAACTGAGTCCCGGCTCAATTGAGTCCCGGCCCTGTAACTCAAGTACGGGTTAATAATTTTTAATGTTTTTGGTACCTTAGATAGAGCATCAGATGGACTACAATATACCAAAAAATCAAAATTTTCGATCGATTGGTAAAAAAGTTATAATCTAAAAACTAACTTTTTCAAAAAAATCGGATTTTTCGGCACTTTATCGATCTTAACTTTTTTACCAGTCGGTCAGGAAGTTTGATTTTTTGGTATATTGTAGCCCATTTAATGCTCTATCCAATGGTACCAAGAGCAGAAAAAAGTGACCATCCCTTCATAAGTTATAGGGTCCGGGACTCAGTTGAGTCGGGACTCAATTGAGGTGTACCGTCAAAAATTTATCCAACCCTTTTCACCGTCTATACAACTCACATATCCAACACAGGACATGATAAAATCTGCCCAGGAGGACCATTTATCCCGTTCAGGCGTCGAATGTTGAGTTGAACGTTTTCTCGAATTTGTTGTTTTTTCTGTCGATCCATTGGGTAAAACAGTCGAAGGAGAATTGTCCCCTAACCTTTGTTGTGGAATTATAGGCTCTAATTCCATTACTGTCTCCGCATTGTTGACTACCATTTAAATATTAATTTACCTTTAAAAAATTTTTTTAATCTGTGAGAAAAAATCAGATTACGGTCAAAACTCGTTTTTCTTGATGAAAACAAAATTTATGAAGAAAAACAAGCTTCAAAAAATTAACGGGCCCCGAGCGGGTTCGAACCCACGACCCCTTAAGATTATCAAAATATTTAAAAATGAGCGTATTTTATACAGTATTATTGCTTTAAAAATTCAGAATATGGTCAAAACTTATTTTTATTAACGAAAATAAAGTTTAGGATATAAAACAAGTTTTAAAAATTAACGGGCCCCGAGCGGGTTCGAACCCACGACCCCTTAAGATTTGATAATATTTTAAAATATATTTAAAAATGTACTTTCTACAGTGTTATTGCTTTAAAATTCAGAATACAGTCAAAACTCGTTTTTCACACCAAAAATAAAGTTTAATATATAAAACAAGCTTCAAAAAATTAACGGGGCCCGAGCGGGTTCGAACCCACGACCTATTAAATTTATCATTTCTGACGATATTAATGTAAAAAAATATTCTAAATTATCAAAACAATATAAAAAAATTTATTTTAAAATAAATTAAAAAAAATAAAATTAAAAAATCTATAAGAATAATTTTTAAATAATTTTTAACTTGCAAATTTACCGCCTATAATAGAGGAAAACTACTTGAAAAATTTTCAACAAATTATTAAATTAAAAATTATAAATGAAAAAAATTTTTTACACTAATTTTAAAATGTCAAATTAATTAACTAGAGTTGTGTTTGATTTTTAATTGCAAAAAAATTTTTAATTTATTCTTTGGTCCCTCTAATAAAATGAAATTAACGTTATTACTCGATTATCCATTTTTGGAAATATTAAAAAAACATTTTCTACAGTTTTTTCTTTTTAAAAAATTGGGAATACAGCCAAAACTTGTTTTTATTAACAAAAACAAAATTTATGACAAGAAACAAGTTTTAAAAAATTAAAGGGCACCGAGCGGGTTCGAACCCGCGACCCCTCAAGGCTATAAACATTATAAAAATTTTTTGTTGATATTAATTAAAAAAATATTCTAATCATATCAGAAAAAATTAAAAAATTTTTTTTAAATAAAATAATTAATTGTCTACATAAATTTGTTTCACTTTAAAATTCTAAAAGAATAGTAGACCAATTGTTGTGTGGGAGGAGAGAGATTAAAAATAAAAATATGAACTTTTAAACATTCCAAGCATTTTTTAAAAATTATTAAAAATATGAAAATGATCTGAAAAAATTTTTTCCAGCCCTCCGGAAATCGAAAATTTTTTTTTAGAAACGTACAAAATTGGTTTTGATCACCATCTTTTATTGGATTTAGGGGGTCGTGGGTTCGAACCCGCTCGGGGCCCCTTAATTTTGCAAGACTTTTTTTACGGCATAAATTTTGTTTTCGCTAAGAAAACAGTTTCGACTGCATTCTGAATTTTTTTAAAGAGAAAAAATGTAGAAAATAATTATTTTAATAAATTTAAGGGGTCGTGGGTTCGAACCCGCTCGGGGCCCCTTAATTTTTTTAAACTTGTTTTACGTCATAAATTTTGTTTTCGCTAAGAAAACAGTTTCTACTACATTCTGAATTTTTTTAAAGAGAAAAAATGTAGAAAATAATTTTTTAGTAGATTTAAGGGGTCGTGGGTTCGAACCCGCTCGGTGCCCCTTAATTTTTTTAAACTTGTTTTACGTCGGTTTTGGAAAATTTTCGATTTCGGATGTTTCAAAAATAAAATTGAATTTTTTATGAAGCAAAAAATATTTTTTCTAATTTATTTTTACAGTCAAATCAATCACAGAATTTAATTCAAAAACAAAAGTACTTAAAGTAAAATTATTAAATAAATATTCTGAGAAGGGATTTATGAATTATTATTAAAAAAGGGATTTTTTATTGCTGACAAAACAAAAAAAATTAAAAGTAAAAAAATTTTTGTGAGAAAGATCGGGTAAAAGCCAGCCAGCTGTGCTGCTTTGGAATAAAAGGGAAGAGAAAAATTAAACTAAAAAATATTTAACAACAACAACTGCTTCTAAAAAAATTTTTTTAATTGGCTAATGTCATGTTTTTATATAAAATATTAAATACTAAAAGGTAATTGATTATTGGACTAAAATTGAGAAGAATATTGTAAAGGAAGAAGGAAATAAAGCTCTAGCCCACTGATGTAAGGGTTGTAAACCACTTAACCACCGATTTTTTAAATTTTTATTCTAGTTGATAAGGCTGGGAGGGGATTTTTAAGGGGGAAAATTAAGGGGGAAGAATATTGTAAGGAAGAAGGAAATAAAGCTCTCGAGGCTTACCGGTACAAGGGTTTTAAACCACTTAACCACCGATTATTTTAATTTTTGTTCTAGTTGTTAGAGGCTGGGAGGGGATTTTGGGGAGGAAATTTATGGGGGGAAATATTGTAAGGAAGAAGGAAATAAAGCTCTCGAAGCTCACTGATGCAAGGGTTGTAAACCACTTAACCACCGATTATTTTAATTTTTGTTCTAGTTGTTAGAGGCTGGGAGGGAATTTTTTGGGGGAAATTAAGAGGGGAAAAAAATTAAAAAAAATCTGATTTTAAAGAAAAAACTCAAAAAAAATTTTTTTCTCAAGAATAAAATTTAATAATTCATTCATTTATTTAAAACAAACAAATTTTCATTTTATAAAAATATTGCAATCCTTTAGAAAAATATTTTTGTGCCAGAGGGGGAGAGGATTTATATTCAGTTTTTTACTATTTAATGGGCAAAAGGAAGTGTTGGAGAATTATTATTATTTTTTTAATATTTATTATTTAAGACACGAATGGGGTAAATAATGAAAAAAAAATAAAGTCTTCAATTTTTTTTAATATTTTTAAAGTGGAAAAAAAATTTTTCTAAAAAAAATAATAAAGGGAAAATAAAAAAAATATTTAAAATTTACTCAAGAGAAATATTCGTATCTGTACAAAAAACATATTTTTTGGGTCCGGTAATCCTACCGGATTCAAAATTACCGGATCCGAACTCTATAAATAATAATTGGTTTATACCAGAGGTGGGTCGGAATTCTTCATTTTGTCTTCATTTGTCTTCATTTTTCATTTTTTTAATCTTCATTTTTTTCATTTTTTTAATATTTTTAATAATAATACAGTCTTCATTTTTTTAATATTTTTAAAGTGGAAAAAAATTTTTTTTGAAAAAAAATAATAAAGGGAAAAATAGAAAAAAATTAAAATTTACATAAGAGAAATATTCGGGTCTGTACAAAAGACCGTAACGGGCAAAAAAATAAAACCGGACCGGTCTTTTAACCCCCTTTTGCCCGTTCCAAAAATACATAGAAGTCCCATATAGCTTCCAAAATCCTCTAGGTATACTCGTAAAACCCGAACCCCAGACATCTCTACCAATTAGGATTTCACCGGAAGTTGCGGTCAAAATTTCGATTCCGGTGAAACCCTACTACCAATCCTCACATACCCCTAGATTTCTCTGTTAATCCTATAATCAATTCTTCATTACTCCTACTCGCTCTAATACATTCATTAAGACCTAGAACCACAGGCAAAATTTTTGAGATTCTCTCTGATACTTTGATGGGGCGCATAAAAGCTCATGGGATGCATGCCTAAAGTAGAGCATATTTTTATTTTAGATACATAAATAATTTTCAAAATCTTTTTATCCGAGCAATTTCTAAATGGTTTTTTGTGAATAAAATAAATAAATATTTTTAAATAAATACATAGAGTTCGACATGGATCGGAAATTTTGACAGTATTCTTGCATTATCCGCCCCCATTTTTGGACAGATCAAGTTGACCGCAAATTAACCAGTGTAATTTAAAACGCTCACTAGGCGTGGTGTTTAGGATCTATTAAAAGAGAAGGTGAAAGCAGCGTCCCGGTAGCTGTTGGTAGAGCACCTGTACGTGGTGATGTCAACGTTCCAGTTCCAGAACTAGAACTACGGAACTAACGATTATCTGGAACTAGTTTGGAACTAGTTCCAGAGAAATTTTGGTACTTTGACATCACTGCCTGTACGTGGTGAGAGAAAGCGCCTAGCAATAACTGCCAAGAGGTCGCAGGATCGAAGCCTGCCCGTGATTAAACTTTTACCTCGTTCTTACTTTAGTTACAAGTCAATAAGTGCAAGAAATCGTTGTTTTTGACACGACAAAAAAAAGAAACTTTTTAATGGTCGATCTTACTTTATCGATTCAGTTGGAAATAGACAGCGCTTATCGGAGGCTTTCGAATGATATAAGATTCAATCGGATTAGATTAAGCACAAAAATGTTAGAGCCGATCAAATTTGGAAAAAAGGAAAATGGGGGCGGACAACACAAGAGCAGACCTGCCCATGGATACAGATAATATCAAAATGCCTGCGGATAACCGCCTGTATCCGCCGTAAATATGCGGATACGGATACCAAGATCAGTATCCGTGACCAGGTCTGCACAAGACAAGAGTACCATTCCTCCAATCCGGATTCAGGATTAACGGATCCAGATCCGGATCAATCTTTAGAAATAATAATCGGTATATACTAAACTCGGAATTCTTTTAAAAATGTTTCTTGCAAAAACATAACTTCATTCAGTGTCAGATTGCATGTCCTCAGGTTGGTCGTCTTCAGGTTTTTTGTCCTCAGGCTGTTTGCCCTTAAAGCTAAAGCTGGGTTGGTTGCCCTCCTTTTTGTCCTCCTTAAAGCTCAAGCTCTCCAACATCTTTTCCGTTTCTTTTCTTTCTTTAATTCCCCCTCTTAAATTTATTTTCATTTTTTGATTAAAAATTGCTTTTAAAACTAATATTTTAAAATTCTAATTCGGGCAAATTTAGTTATTTACTAATTTACTTTTCGTATTTTTAAAATTAAAGAATTAAAGAATAAAAGGAAACGCACGGCGGGCAAGCAGAAGAGAATATGGCGGATTTGAAATTTTGGTTAAGTGGGTAAGAGCGCTGACTCTTCAAAATAGCCTTAAAATAGGTCTCGGGTTCGAACCTTTTCATGGTTAATTAATATTTTCCAATTAAGTAAATAAAATAAAACATGAAATAAACATTTTAAATAATATTTTAGGCGAAAATAAGGATGGTGTTGAAATTTTTTATAATTTCAAGTGGATTTTTTAAAAAAAGGGAGAAAAAAGGGGGAGAAAATGGTGCAAGAAGGTCTGAAAAGGGGGAAAATTCTCCTGAGATAAAAGGGAGGGAAATCACCCCCCTTCTGGCTATCTACACACCAGAGGTGGGTCGGAACAGTCATAGGGGCCGGAAATCGGAACTGGCTCAAAAGTCGGAACTTGGAAATCGAAAGGGAAAAACGCCGGAAATCGTAAGTAGCGATTCCGACCCACCTCCGCTACACACCAAATAATACATGTTATAATTTAAGCGTTTACTTGACAACGCCAACAGCTCTTCCCCAGTTCTTAGCTGCAGCGGTATCTTTCTTACCTTTAATAATAAAATTATTGTTTAGGTTAAATTTATTAAGAAATTTCAAATAAATTTACATAATTTAAAAATACTTCCTTTAAAAAAAAAGGTACAAGTCAGTTTTGTGTTCCCCCTTTTTTTCTCTCATTTTTTCATCTTCCTAGAAGAAAGAAGTGCTTTTCGATATTCTAGAGGTTTCCAAATAGGCTTGGTAATGGACACGGATTTTTGCTATCCGTATCCACTTATATCCGTGCAACTTTCGAGTCACATCCATCCGTGGGGATCCGCGGATGGATCCGTTTTTCCCCAAAGTGGTCAACCTAACTAAAATTTCCAAAATGGAAAAACCGGACACAAAGTTGAGCTCAAAAGGCGTGTCAGTTTTTTAGTGTCTAATTTCTAAATTTAATTTGCCTGGTCCGGAACTGCGGGTCCGGTATCTCAACACAACTAATTACCTACTGACACCCCTCTAAAATATCGAAAAAAACTTCTTCCTTTTTAGGGAGTTGAAAAAATGAGAAAAATGGGAGGTAAACCGACTTTACACCAAATAAAATCAAAAATTAGTATGTTTATTAAATTATTTTTATATAAATTTTTCCAAATTTTCAAAGCAACTACTTACTTATAGGTGAAGAAGATCCACCCTTCTTGACGCCTAAAAGACCTTTTCCTTAATTTAATTATTTTTATTATCTCAAAACTGTATAATTTTAACACACCTTTCTTATCACCTTTATCCTCACTAACACCTTTATCATCACCACCAACTTCCTTGTTTTTATCCTTTCCACAATCACAAAGTTGTATATAAACAAAAACGACTATCAGTAGGAAACAAACGAATTTTGACATTTTTTGTTTGAGTTGTTGTAATTTTTGAATTTTTTAAAATTAAATGATAGCTGATTATGTGAAATCCGCTTTTATATGAGGGGGAGAGGAAGGGAGAAGGGAGGCGGGGAGGAGAGGGGATGTGGATGAGGGGAGGACAAGGTGGAGGGGGGAGGGGAGAATCAGAGGGGGAGAGGAGATGTCGATGTGGAGAGAGGGGGGATGAGGGGAGGGACTAGGGGAGGAGAGACGAGGGGGGAGAGGGGATGAGGAGTGGAGATGGAAGGGGATGAGGGGAGGAAGATGTGGAAAGGGGAGAGGAGAGAGGATGGGGGATAGGAAAGGGATGAGGGGAGGGAAGGGGATGAAGAGGGGGAGATGGAAGGGGATGAGGGGAGGAGAGGGGAAGAGGATGGGAGGACGTGGAAAGGGGAGGGGAGGGGAGAAAGATGTGGAAAGGGGAGAGGAAGAGGAGGGGGAGATGGAGGGAGAGGGGTTAAAATGAGTGTAGCTATGCCGGCGCAGGATGCCATGTCTACTTACCATGCGGTTGCACTTTTCATTTTCAAAGAATTAAATTGTAGTTTGTAATTTAAATAAATTTAATTGATTGGATTTCCATAAAAATAAAACAGCCACATTGCTATTCATTGACTTTACATCATGCGCATTTACACTCTGAGAAGGGCAGTAATTGATTTTTAAAATTTTTATAGAGGATGTTTATAGCTATTTAAATTTTTTAATTAAAAAAAATTTTTTTAAGTGTATGAAAATGATTGTTGTAGAACCCAACCCGTCCCTGCTTTAACTATTCTTGAGGGTTTAAAATTAATTTAATTAAAAAATAATAAAATATAAATTTAAATGACAACTATAGAAACAATAGGGTCCACACCCAGAAAGTCAAAAAACACAGAAGATAATTACGGGTTTGTATTTTTGGAGGTTTACCCCGTCCCCGTAAGTCGGGGAATTAAAGTTTTTTTAATTCGCCCCCCTCCCATGGCGCTGGCTCCCCTAAAATTTTCCCCGTGGCTCTCCACCCCGTTAGTAAACACCCTAGTAATTTTGCCACAGGAAGTCAAATTACCCAAACCGTCAAATCCAAATATTTAAGCGGTAAAGGTGACATAGGATCAAGAACATGTTTGCTTCCTTCCTTTTGCCTTATCCGACAGTTTGAATATCCGTCTTATGTCCCTTACTCCTCCTTAATCCAAACACATCCATCTTAATCCCCTCAAATCCTTCTTTAACCCTCAAATATTTGGATTTAAGACCTTCTGAGCCTTGGCCTTCTGGGTTGATCCCAAATAATTAATTAGACCTAAAAATACATAGAAATTTTTAAAAATTTATTTAAAATAAAAAAAATTTTCTTTGGCAATTTCAGCAAAATTTTCAAACAAAATTTTCAGAGCATTTTGCAGTGATAATTGAGGAAAACCAGAAAAACCTGTCAAAATTAAAATTGAAAATTTACTTTAGTTTTATATATAGTCATTTTAGACCAATGATCCGATATCGTACGGGTGTAACAAAACTCTGTGTGAGAAGATCTTTGGGTATTCCCCTTGATTTTATGGTACTATAATGAAGAACCGGGTACTTAAATAATGCGATTGGACGCAAAAAACTTTTCATTGGACGCGAAGCAAGAGCCCTGGGGTAAGCGCAAGGGGCAATCGCGAAAAACGCAAGTCCAAAAATCAACGCAAAACGCAAAAAATGCGCTAACCCCTGATGTGGACAAGAGCCCAGAAATTTTCCAGTTAGTTATAATTTTGGCGTCGTTATGGCCTCGCGCCCTTTGGGCTCCCCCAAAAAATTCAAAAAAAAATTTTAAAAAAATCCAAAAATTTCACCGTAAAAGCCCCAACAACCAAAGGAAGTACAACCAGTAAAAGAACCAAATTAGCCCCACGCCCTCTTCCCCCTCCTTGTTTATTTTGTTGTCTTTCCATCCACCTTCTCCTCGAGCTAGGTTCATTTTCCTCACTGTCCAAAATATTTTCCCCAATTCTAATATTGTTGTTGTTGGAATCCCTTCGAAGAATTGCTGTTTCTTTCCAACGAGTAAGGGCACTTGAATCTGCCTGGAAAATTTTTTTTAAAAATTGGAAAAATTAATTTCTAATCCATTTTTAGAGTCACTAAGTACAGTAAAAAGCAAGTTAAAAAATTTCTAACTCCGGGCAAGGTTAATCTTTAATATCCGCCTAATAATCTTCCTTCTTCCTTACAAAATTAATAAAATTAAGACAAAATATTTTTACATAATCTGAGGCAATTAATCTTTGTTGTTGTTGTTCTTCAGAATTTCCATCTATTTGTGAGCGTAAAAAGGCAAAAGTATTGCATAGGCTTTCATCACAGATACACACCTTTAAATTTAATTTTTCGTTTAAAATTTTTCTGATTTACAAAGGAACATTCCGAACTATCACCAAAAATTTTGATTTTTTTTTTGCACCAACGTGTAGAGCGGGGTCGATAACCTATAGCCAATTTTTGGCTTTTTTGGCCCTGACCCCAAAATCGAAAAGTTAGAAGGCTTAAAAAATCAAAAAATTCTCTTTGTTAGGGGTGGACTCCGACCCCCCCACCCCCCCAAACATTCCCCGACACGAAAGGTGGGTCGGAATTCCGATTTCCGAAAATTTAGGCTGATTTCCGACTTTTGAGCCAGTTCCAATTTCCGACAGTTCCGATTTCCGACACCTCCACCATTTCCGACCCACCTCTGCCTAACACCTGACCCCGAGGCCATTTTTAGTTAATAAAAATTTTCAAAAACCACCTCAGCCCATTTCTGCCATTCCTTCTCACACCCAACCTTTTTATTAGAATATATTTGTTCATCTACACAGTGTTGTTCTAATTTATTACCTCCAGAAACATCATCATTTCGAAGTCCAATAAGACAATATTTGCCTGCGCAGACTAGAGCACCTCCTCCACAAGTCTGAAAAAATAATTAAAATTTTAAAAAAATATAGAAATTTTTTAAAAAAATTTTTGAAAGTTTGTGAAAAATTATTTAAATTTCTTAAAATTATAAAAAAATCCTAAAAAATTTTTTTTTAATTTTTAAAAAATTTTCGAACCTGAAAATTTTTTTTAATTTTTAAAAAAATTTTTCAAACCTAAGAATTTTTAAATTTTAATTTTTAAAAAATTAAAAAATGTTCAAAAAGAATAATTTGTCAAGTAAAACCAAGACTTAACCCACTACACCACAGGCACCACATAGTGGAAGCTTAGTTAGACTACTTATATCTAATTAACCCACTTAACCACCGCTACTAAACACCCAAATTAATTTATTTTTAAAAATTAAAAAAAAATTATTTTCCACCTGTTTATCACAAAAACAACGGATTCCTGCTGTTTCTAAAAATAAAAAAAATTAATTTTAAAAAATAAAAAAAACCTTCTTCAGAATTAAAAATAATTGAATTAATTGAAAATGGCAAAAATAAAAATAAATTTAATAGGGGGAACAAGAAAATTATTTTTCTTCTCCTCATTTTTAAAAATTATTAATTTTCCATAAAATTCATTTTATTTATTTATTTGTTGTTTGGAGAAAAATAAATAAAAATAAATTTATCCTTCATTTTTCTAAAATAAATTTAATAAAAAATTAAAAATTTGAAAATGCCTGGGAAAATTTTAAAATCCTTCAAGAAAAATTTTTTTAATTCCAAAAAAATTTTTAAAAATTTCAAAAAATTTTTAAAAATTAAAAAACATTTTTTTGAATGTTTAAACCATTTTTTTAGACCAAAAACTTTAAAAAAATCGACTCTTGAGCAACCTTCTCCCAACAATCCAGGCACTAACCCACTACACCAACAACGCTCACTAACAAACTTAATTAAATAAGTAATGCTAAATTAAGCTTAAAGATGATTTTAATTTTTGTTCTAAATGTATTATTCTTAAACTAAAAATTAAAAAAATTTAAAAAAATTTTTTTTTGAGTTTAAAACATTTTTTGAGACCATAAAACTTTAAAAAAATAGACTACATTGAGTAAACTTTTTTAGTCAATGCAGAAATTAACCCACTACACCAACAAAGCTTACTGACAAATTAAATTTAATTTTTGTTCTAAAAATATTTTTTTCTTAAACTAAAAATTCCAAAAAAAAATTTTAAAAAATTTTTTTTTTAATTCTAGTAAATTTTTAAAATAGGTAAATTTTAAAAAGCGACAATCAAACAGAAAATGTATTGAACCAACAAAATTTTAAAATAAAAAAAGGTAAAAATATAAACATATGTATGTGCGTGCTTTGCTTAATTTTTCTGCTTTTTACTATGCGCCTTATAAAATAAAAAAAATTTTTTTTTATTTTACTTAAAGCATTGCTTTACTTTTTTTAAACAATTCTTTCCCTTTTTCTTTTGCGAATTCACACGCTTGACCCCCCAAAGAATTTTTTTTCTATTTTTTATTTCTCGCTTTATTAAGCATAGGAGAGCCTCATCCTTTTAAATAAGAGGAAATGGGGAAAAATGAAAAGAGAAAATAAATAAAAAGTAAAGATTTATAAAGTAAATGTTCATATGTTTAAGGACAATTTTTAAAAAAAATTTTTTATGTTTTTCGCCGAAAATTTTAAAAATTTATTCGATTCCCCTTATCAAGCTGGGTATGAAAACCCAAAAAAATGTTCTTTCTCTGGGGCTAAAAAAATTAAAAACCAGCTTGTTTAAGGTGCCAATTTATTTAACCAAGTTAAATAGTATATGTACATTAATAGAAATTTTAGGAGAAAGAGGAAGAGAAGGAGGTCCTTCTCGAAGAGAGTGATCTTGAGCAACCCCTCTCTCACACGGCGAAACTGCTCCTCCACCTCCTCAAACTCCTCACCTTATGCTTCTCAAAAGCAACTGACCCCAGCTTCAAAATAATTAAAAATTTTCTCAATTATAGTGCCAATAATTTTTTCCCTCTTTTATTTTCAAAGAAAAAAATATTCTCAGAAAAAAATATAGCGTGCCTCTTTAAATGTAACAAAATAAAAATTTATTTATTTAATATTATCAAAAAAATATTATTTATTTTTGAGAAAAAAACCTTTAAGAGGTATTTGGCACGTTCTCTGGAAAGAGGGGGAAAGAAGGACCTCTCTCCCTTTTTAAAAATAAAAATAAGGGAAAATGATAAAAAAAATGTCCTCATATTTTCCCTGAAAAAAACTCGAAAAAAGAGGGGGGAAAGGAGGGGGAAGAGGGCCCCCTTTCGTCTCGAAGAGGACCTCTTTTCCCTCTTCCCCCCTTCCTTTTTCTTCTTATTTTGTTTAAAAATGCTTTAAAAATGAGGGAAAAAACGTAGAAAAAGAATGGCACATAAATAATATTTATTTTATTTTTTTCTAGTCTGTTGTCCGCAATTAGAGAGCAGTTTTTTTTCTTTCTTTTAATAAAAAAATATGCTTTTCCCCTTATAATCTATTCTTCTCTCCTTTTTTAAAAAATTTTCTTAAAGAAAATATTCTAAAAGAAGGGAAAAAAGGGAGAAAAAATTATTTTAACAGGAGAACACGTCATGAAAAAAATTTTTTAAAGAGAGGAAGAGGCTAAGAGGGGGTTGGGAAGGGAGAAGGGGATTGGAGGGGAAGAGGGGGAAGGATTGGAGGGAAAAGGGAGGGTAAGGGAGAAGGGGATTGGGAGGGGAATTTTAGGGAAGAATGGAAGGAACAAGGGGTGGGGTAGTTGGTGAGAGGGGGAATATTAGGGAAGAAATCGGGGTGGTTGGGAAGAGGGGGAAATGAGGAAATCAGGGGCTGCAAGGGACTTATGTAGGGGCATATGGTTCGGAAGAAAAAAAAGAAAGGTCAAAATATGATTTGAAAATTTTTTTAATTTTTTAAATTAAAAAACAAAATTTTTAACAAAAAAACCTTAAATAAAAAAAACAATAATTTAAAAATTTTAAAAAAATTTTTCAATCATTTCACTAATTTTAAGTAAACGTAAATCTTCCAAATAGGGAGCAATTAATTGTATACCCAAGGGAAGTCCTCTAGAACATTTTGAATAGGGAATAGCAATTGATGGTAGACCTTTAATTTAAATTAAAAAAATAATTTTTTTAATGGAGGTTAACTAACAAAATAATAAAAGACTCAAATAGGTAAAAAAAATTCAAAAAAAATTTTAAATTTTAAAATTTTCAAAAATAAGGAAGGAAAATAAAAATATAAGGGAAAAATAGGTAGAAAAAATAAATATTAGGTGTAGTCTTCCCGTTACCACGGGGAGATATTTACGATAACCTTTTTTTCAGTTAAACGGAAATAATTAATAATGGGTTTGGTGAAGCGTCAAAAAAATTTTTTTTTAATTAAAAAAAAATAGAATTATTCAGGTAAATGGGCCAAAATTATAAAATAACTTTAAAAATTTCTAAAAAAATTTAAAAAAAAATTTGAAAATTGTTTTCTGAAAATTTCGAATTTTTTTGAAAATTCTAAGAACAAAAAATTTTCAGAAAATTTCCAAAAAATTTAATTATTCAGATAAATGGGCCAAAATTTCAAAAATTTCTCAAAATTAAAAAAAAATTTTTTTTTAATTTTCCAAAAACCAACCGCAAAGATTAGCCGGTGCCATAAAATAATCTTCCAACCTCTGTTCTTCTCTATTTCTCCTTTTAATTTGTGAAAATAAGGGGGCAGAATGTCTTGAGACTGGAGTTAAAATACAGTGAATATTTTGGTTAAAAATTGTTGAAAAATCTTTTTGAATTAATCTTTGAATTTTGGCGGCTTTGTTGACATATTTGTTGTAATTTCTGAAATTTAAGTTTATTAAAAAATTTTTTTCGGGGTTGGAAACCAAAGAAAAATGAAAATAAAAAAAAATTAAAGACCGGGAGGATAAACTTTGTACCTCGGAAAAATTACCGTAAATTGTAGTAATGTCCCTACTCCGCCTGTATTAAATACCCCCTCTAGCGAGAGAGTTTTTACAGTATTTATAAATTTGCCTTCTCCTATCCCATGGATTTTTAATTAAAAATTTTTTTAATCGAAAAAAATCCAAAAATATTTTTAAAATGCCCAAAAATTTGTATTTTTTCAGATCTGCAAAAATTTTGGATCTCAAAGGTCTTTGTTAGTATGGATCGATTCAGCCCGTCTCAATATCTATCGAAATTCCACCAAGAAATTTGGGATTCAAAATCTCAGAGTTACACATACTAGCGGACTCAAGGGGGACTTATTGTTAGTTCTTTCCCTCTCCTCCTAATCCATTAGATTTAACATATAAAATCAAATTTAAAGAAAAATTCTCACTCATTTAAAGAATAATAATTTCCAGCAAATATCCGCCTTTTAACTCCAGTTCCCAAAGAGTCACTTCTATTTCTTTTAATATAAGCAATAAATGAATCGTCATTAATTAATTGTTCTTTGTTAATACAATATCCATAACGTATTCCATCAAATCTAAATTTAAAAAAAAATTTAATTTTAATAATTGAAAAAATAAAGGGAAGAAAATTTGGCAAAAATGAGTTATATCACGACAAAAAATTTTAAAAAATTTTCTATCTTTGAAATTTTTTAACAGATTAGCCTAGGTTTTTTAATTTTTAGTTTACTGTTTTTACCAAAATTTTTCAAAAAATTTTCAAAATAATTATTTTCCAAAAAAACCTAATCAAATGAAAATTTACAAAGGATTTTTATGAATTAAAAAAATAAAACTTAATCTAAAAAGGGAACCGAGATTAACAAAAATTTAATCACACAGTGAGGGCTTCTAAAATTTATTTTATATGTTAGACGGTAAAATGTCCTTCAAAATTAAAAATTAAGGGCAAGTAGTGAAAATTTTTTGAAATAAAATCTTAAAAAATTCTAAAAAAAATTTTTTCCAACCCAAACCTTTAGAGTTATAAAAATACCCCAAAGATCCGGAAACAAAAATGTAAGTTAAAAATCTTGAAAAATTCTAAAAAAAATTTTTTTTCAAAAAAACCTGGCCATATTCGAAGCAATTTCAACATCCACAACAACACTATAACAATTAACAGCATATTCTAAATTTGGAAGTAAAACTTGTTTAATTACAACACCATTAGAAATTAATAAATTAATTATTTTTTGATATATTTCTTCTGCATCTTTTGAAAGTAAATCCGTTCTTTCATACTTAAAAAAAATTTTTTTTAGGAAAAAAAATTAAATTTTATTTAAAGGTCAAAAAGCTTTAAAATAAAACTATTTTTGGCCTAAAAAATTAAAAAAAAAGTTAGAAGGCCAAAAATAATTTTTAAAAAATCCAGGAAAAATTTTTTAAGGCCTATGTAAAAAAAATTTTTTTAAATAAAAAAATTTAATTAAAAAAGTAAAAAAATTTTTTAAGTCTTTAAATTAAAAAATTTTCTTCAAGTAAAAAAAATAAAAAATGCAAGAAAAAATTTTTTTAATGGCTAAAAATATTTTTTTTTATTTTTTGAATTTTTGAAAAATACAGAAAAAATTTTCTTAAAAAAAGAAAACAAACTTTAGGTATTCCAATTGTAAGTTCCTTCAAATTTTTTGGCATCGGTTGAACCCTTTGAGAATGCAAATTGTCTGGTAATGTAGTAATATCCATTGGGTCTTGGCCTTTTAATAATTCTGAAATAAAAAAATAAATTTTTAATAATTTTTAAAGAAAATTAGAAAGACTCAGAACATATCAAAAATCAACAAATAAATTTTGAAAAATAATTTTAATTCTAAAATTTTTCAAAAAGATTTAAAGCAGATATTCAAGAAAACATTGTCTGCCTGCGCAACCGGGATGGAGGCCCTACCGCATTTTACAGGGTTAGGGGCCCTACCGCGTTTTAAAAAACGACAGATGGAACGCGGAAACCAAAGAAAAAAATTTTGCGGAAGACGGAAGAGAGCCTCCCATTCCTGAAGCCAGTTAAAATAGACATTGTTGGTGTAGTGGGTTAATGCTTGCTATTTCGACAAAAAAGGGTCCCAGGTTCGAACCCTATAGGGGTAAATTGACTTGTTTTTGTTATTTAATTATTTAAAATTAGAAAATAATCTCTAATTTTGCCGATTCTAAGGATAAAAAAAATTTTTACAAATTTTAAACTAACCAAAATATCGTTTACAGTCAGAAATCGATTTTGTCATTATTGAGGGTGTATCCAAAGCATTGGCTAAAGGAACTAAACCATGCCTTGATAAATGTCCATAGGAAGGTTTAAAACCATAAACACCATTTAAAACAGCTGGATAACGTGCAGAACCGCCTGTATCACTCGCTAAGCCACACTTGAGAATTTGAAAAAATTTTTGAATTTTTTAAAATTTAAAGAATTGACCTAAGAATCCTTAAAAATGATAAAGGAGGGAGGAATGTGGGACGGGTTGGGAAAAATGTCGAACCGAGTGTTAGGTAACCCGTCTCATCCCTGATTAGCACCAGTGGAGAGCCCAAGTTTCACTTTTTAAATTCATCTTCCTCTCCCAACTCTTCCCTGAACGAGATCGAATTGACAAAAATCCCCACAAAATTAGATTAAAAAGGAAGACGTAAAAATGGCTTAAACCCCTCCCAAAATAATTTAAAAATCCCTCACATAAATTTTTAATTTAAATCTTTAAAAAAATACTTTAGCAACCCCCGTAGCCACAGCAACAGCACAACCACCAGAAGAACCCCCAGCGATTAAAAAATCATCATCTCCTTCCTTTTCGTCTTCAAAAGATTGATTAGTTGCATAAATTGAATGTTTAACAGGTCCAAAATATCCACTTGTACATGTTGAACCCATTGCTTTTTAAGAGAGAAAATTAAATAAAATTTTTAAAAAATTACCAAATTCATCCATATTTGATTTTCCAATTAAACATCCACCTTGAAAAATTAAAAAAAAATGTTTTCGAACCTAAATCGAATAAAAAACCTCCATCCACAAGTCGCTGTACACAAGTTGCTGTATATGGAGCAATAAAGTCTTTGAGCATTTTAGAAGCACAAGTCATCCTTACATCTTTAACACTGGAAGATTTTAAAAATTTTTAAAATTAATAAATAACCAAAAAAACTTTTAAACTGGCCCTTCCCCGGCGAAATAGGAAAAAGGAGTATACCACCGATGGGCACATCCCGGTGGTGGGGGCCCCTTGAGGTACAGCAACACAAACAATATCCCGCCCCCTTAGAAATTTTATACAATTTGGGACCCAGCTCATTTCCCGGCGAAATGGAAAAAAGGGTACACCATCCAGTGGGCACACCCCGGGAATGGGGCCCCTTGAGGTACATAAACACCCCTCTTAAAAATTTTATACAATTATGGAGCCACAACCCATTTCCCAAACCAATAAAAATAATAATTAAAAAAAAAACAAACGCATAATTATCCTTCACAACAAATTCAAAAGGTTGTTTTCCATTTTTAACAGCTTCTTCACATTGTTTTTCAGCCAAATCAAAAGTTTCAGTTATAAGAAAATTTAAATGTCGCAATTCGTTTACTTTGGAAATTGAAGTTTTGATTTGTTCTAATGCTGTATTCATTCAAAAAAACTTTTTTTAAAAAATTTAAAAAAATTTTTATCAAAAAACCTTTGTCCGCAACTTTTTTGCGGACAAAAAATTTTGTCCGCAACTTTTTTGCGGACAAATTTTTTTGCGGAAAAAAGTTGCGGACTTATTTATATATACTTAATAAGCTTAAATTAAATATTTATAATTAATTTTAAATAAATTTACATAATAAAAATCAGTTAAAAAAACAAAATATATTTTAACACACACCAAAAAAGTCGAAACATTTCAATTAAAAAAAAGAAAAATTTTGGTCATATTTAGGAGCAATTATTTAAGATTAAAATTGATAACACATAATATATTTATGTGAAGCAAAAAAATATTTCTTTTTAATTTAACAATTTTGAATTTTTAAAAATAAAATATTTTGTCCGCAAATTTTTTGCGGACAAAAAATTTTTGTCCGCAAGTTTTTTGCGGACACTTCAATTTTTCAACTTTTCTACCAAAAAATAAAAATCCAAAATTGTTAAAACAAAAAAAGGGTCAAAAGGATAAATTTGATTGATATATTAATTAATTTTGATATATAAAAACACACACAAATCACATCTTTTTAAATTAATTTTTTATATTAACGAGACAAAGTCAAGAGGCACAAACACAAAAAAAAGTCTCTTTTATTTTCCTTAAAAATATTAACCTCTCCTTTTTTCCCACTCCATTTTAATTTAGACTCATTTAACCTTGATTCTTCAATTGGTTACTCAACCAGTCCAAACCTTCATACAAACCATCTCCTGAAGTGGCACAAGTCGCCTGGATATACCAGTTACGATTTCTCAGCTTTAAAAATAAAAAAAATTTTTTTTTATTAGAATTTTGTTATGTGTGAAACATAATAGATTCTTCTCCTACATTCTCTTCCAAAAAATAAAAATACAAGGGAGTATTAAGACGCCGGACTTAAGGGAGGAAGGGCTAAAATGGGAGGCGCGATAAAAATTATGGCGCTTACCCATTAAAATTCAAAAAAGAAAAATTTTGGCCAAAAAAAGTAAAATATTCTAAAAAAATTTTATTCCGAAAAATAAATGAAAGTATGTTCGTTTCACCAAGTTAAGGACCCAGTTCAAGGAAAACTCGCAAAATTTTGAAGGCAAGAAATCGGGATCGTAAAATGACTTCGATTCATTCTAACAGGTAAACAACAAAAACAACCTATGTAAAAAAGCAGATAAGAATTATACCGTGTGAAGTCCAAGTTTGTCTGTAAGTTCAGCAGCGTTCATAGCATTCGGCAAGTCCTGAAAAAATATTTTTAATTTCAAAAAACTTTTTCCAAAAAAACCTGTTTGTTAGCAAACACGAGGAGTACAGAATCGCGAAGTTCGTCTTCAGACAACATACGCATCAATTCCTCACAAGCTTCAACAATACGCTCCTTGTCGTTACTGTCCACAACGAATATAAGACCTTCAAATTTGGAAAATTTAAACTAAAATTAGTGTGTAAATAAAACAAACCTTGAGTATTCTGGAAATAGTAACGCCATAGAGGACGGATTTTGTCTTGACCACCGACATCCCAAACAGTGAAGGACTGAAATGAAAAGAAAATTAGGAGGATTTAAATTAGAGCCAAAACACAAAAGTGTCTACGAGAATAATACGAGATATCTTGAAAAATTAAAAAAATTTTGTTCGAGATCTCGTCCCGGTCTTCAACATAAATTAATATTAAATCGTATTTTGATGACTCATAAAATTTATATTTACTTAAAATAGAGTATTTTACTCTATCCCTGAAAGTTTAAAAATTTACTTTTTTGAATATTCAATTCCATAGAAAAACAAAAAAATCCCCTTCATCATAAAGGTTTAAAGGTCTAAATTTGAATGTCCGCAAATCTAACAAAAAATGACCGCAAATACCTAACATAAAGAAAGGAAGAGCTTAAACAGTCGTTTACTCAATAGCGTCTTGCGACTAAAAAATAACATTCAAAAAGGGAGACACAAACGCTTCTAACCCTATTTGCTATTTTTGGTCGCACGACGCAGAAAATTTAACCCTTGTGAGGTCAATTCATATTTTCTCCCCAATTTTCTTCGAAACTAATCCTTTTTGCTTTAAATAGAATTGCTAAACAGGGAAACTTGGGACGAAAAAAAAACGTGACATACAAGTGTCCATAATTTTCCAAAGACGCAAAGCCGTAAACCCGTTTATGCTTAACAATTTACTTACAATGTTTCTGTACTCAACGGTCTCAACATTGAATCCTGAAAAAGAAAAAGTTAAAAAATTTTAAAATTTCTTTAAAAAACCAATAGTCGGAATTGTAGTAACAATTTCTCCCAATTTGAGCTTATAAAGAATTGTCGTTTTTCCAGCAGCATCCAAACCAACCATAAGAATTCTGACTTGTCTTTTGCCAAATAAACGACTGAAGAGACCAGAAAGTGTAAGACCCATTTTTCTTTTCTTTTTTAGATTTTTTTAACAAAAATTTTGTTTTCTAAAAATGTTTAAAGAATGATTGATAACTTTTTTTGTAAAATCCAACATGGCAAGACAAAAATGGAAAAAATTAACAGAACGCCAAAAAAAGGAAAAAGTAATGCCAAAAAAGGAGCGGAGATTTAAATTTGACAAAAAAGCCCAAAACGGCGCGCGACTATAACGGCGCAAAAGCATAACTTGCTGAAAAAGGCTTGGCCCTTGTCATTTTTTGTACCAATCTTCCTAACTCGTTGAGAAGAATCGTTTAAAATACTAAATTTCGTAAGATTAGGAAATTTGAAGCAGGTTGTGGCTTTGCGCCGTTATGACCGCGCGCCGTTTTGGGCGTGTCCTAGAGTTTCTCTTAAGCTCGAAAAAATTTCAAGAATTTTTTTAAAACATGCGGACCGAAAATTCCAGTCCCTCCCTCTTTTTTCTGCACTCGCAGGAATTAAATCCAACATCTCTTGTCATGTTGGGTTAGAAAATAAATAAAAAACATACAAAAATTAAAAAAAGAAAAATAAAATATAGTTACACGTCACAATAACTTTTTAACATAACACAATTAAAAAAAAATTTTTTTTCTTAAAGATTTTTTAAACTCTTTAAATATCAACAATAAGATTTTTAAAAAAAAATTAACAATATTAAAAAAATCATTTTTAAATTAATGCGCTTTTTGTAAACGATGTAATTGAAATATTTTGATCAAAAATTGGTTGAATCTCTTTTACTACATTTTTTTGAAGTTCTAGAAGCCTTTGTAAATTCTTCAAAAAAAATTTTAATTTTAAAAAATTGTATGATGCCGTAAATACGAAATGCCAAAATACCAAACCTCTAAAAGACATGCCAAAATACCCCAAAAAACGTTTTGTTAACTTCCTACATATTGATGGAGCAACCGTTTTCACCTTCACAGTGATTGGAACATACCTACATAGTAAGGGTGGGCCCTCCCGAATTTAAAATAACAGGAGACAGAGCGTTGGAAAATGGAAAAAAATAAGGAGCGGAAGACAGAAATCCAGTTTAGTAGTATTTTGGCAGTTTTAGGAGGTTTGGTATTTCGGCGCCCTCCCAAAAAAATTAAAAAAACCTTTAATAAAACATTTTGTTCTTCATCTTTTTCCAATTTTTCATCCACCGATAAATTTTCCTCTTCATCCTTTTTTCTTCTTCTTCCTCCTCCCTTTCTTCCCTTCCATAAATTTTCTCTATGAATATTTAAAAATGCTGCCATATAACTTTGAATTAAATCAAAATCTCTTCTAATTTCTAAAACAGCAATTAACATTGCAACAAATTGTCCAAGTTTTGCGCCGTTTAAAGCTCGAATTTGGAAATCTATTGAAGCTAAACTTTGAGTTTTTAATTGATCAAATACATGGAGAAGATCATTGTTGCTTCCTGCTCTGAAAAATAATAAAAAAATTTTAATAAAAGTCAAAAAGGGGTGTAAGCTTGAACCCTTTTGGACCCAAAAATGCCCCAAATTTATGAGCAACTATAAGAAGAAAATTTTTTTTATTGAAGCTAGGACATCATTGAGGATGTAAGGAAATGAAGATTCAGCTTGCTAGCATTTAAAACCCGTAGGCGAGGGGTTTAAAAGCTCGTGCCAGTCAGTACAACAAGTGTGGCACGGATCTAGCTAGCCGCTCGATTTCCGAAAAACGAGGATTTATTTCTTTTATATCAGCTAGATCCCCAGCCTGTACAAGGTGAGCAAAGCTCCCCTAACAATAATTGTCAGGGAAGTTGCAGACTAGATTCTGCCTCATAAAGCTAACGATAAGCTTTCGACGACTAAACCCTTCCCCACGAAAAAATATTTTTGCACAAACCTCAACAATTTTGATCCCCATTCTGTTTGAAATTCTTCCAATTGTCTTTTTGCAATTAACATTGTCCTCTTTCCATTTTGTTTTTCTACATTCTCTTCTTCGTCCTTTTTATTAAATAATTCTTCACTAAATACCACACCTTTTTCAGTTTCAATTGTTGGCAAAAAGAATGGTAATTCTTTTGCCTTCTTTGGTGGTTCTTTTGGTTTATTTCTTTCTTTAATTAATTCATAAATTGGCAAACTGGCCCAGCTACTTAAAAATTAAAAAAATTCTTTTGAAGATTTTTTAAAAAATTTTTGAAAATTTTTAAAATTCTTTTTGAAAATTTTTTGAAAATTTTTGAAAAATTTTTTTGGAAATTTTTAAAAATTTTTGGAAATTTTTTTTGAAAATTTCAAAAAAATTTTCAAAAAAAAATTTTTTGAAAAATTTTCGGAAATTTTCAAAAAAAAATTTTTTTGAAATTCAAAAAAAATTTTTCTTGAAAATTTTTTAAATTCATGTTGAAAATTAAAAAAAATTTTTTTGGGAATTTTTGAAAAAATTTTTGGAAATTTTTTTTGAAAATTTCAAAAAAAAATTTCAAAAAAATTTTTGAAAAAAATTTTTTTCCAAAATAAAAAAACCTTGTAGGTTGCCCTGAGAGAGTAAACAATTTTGCATCCAATTGTTTAGCCCTTCTATGTTCAAGTAAAGACAAAAATTTTAATTGATGTACATGACTAGAACCACCTCCACCAGCACCCGAACACGTTGCCCAATCTCCACTAGTTCCTTCTTCCCCAACTTCTTCATCCTCATCTTCCTCTTCATCAATCATAACTACACGTTCTTCTTGTGATGAATATATTGATGAAATTTCTCTTTCTTCTTCAACAACTTCATCCAAAAATTTTCCTTTTTGTTGTATTGAAGGTAATGATTGAGAAGTTACTGGAATATCTTCTTCTAATAACTAAAAAAAATTTTTTAATTTAAAGAAAATTGTCAGAAAAAAAATGTTTGGCTTTGGTATGCCGTTGTGGTAGTGATTAACACACCCGACTTGTATTTAATGTGATACTCAGGATCGATGCCTTGCGGCAGCAGTTGGTGCCACCTGCTTTAGTGTAGTCCCTGAATAACACTTAAATAGATGGCACCCCCCCCCCCCCACACAAGGAAGCAAACATGTTTGTAATTCCCAAGGCAGCAATTTTATCCCTTAAACATAGACTTATTGGACTTATAAAACCCAAATATTTTTATAAAAGAAATTTAAAGAAAACCTTGTTATTACGCTCTTCTACACAAATTCTAGTAGCTGAAGAATACAACAATTTATTAGCCCATAAATAAATTCCACGTTGACCTTCATGACATGTAGCGAGTAAATTACCTCTTGGATTAAAAGCCATAGCTATACACGGATTTGAGTGGTAAACAACATCAATTAAAAGACCAGAAGATAAATCCCAAACCTTTAAATTTAAAAAAAAAGTTCAGGGGGAAATTATTAAAAAATAAAAACCTTAACAAAGCCTTGATTGTCTGCAGACAAAAGCCACTTTCCATCACTTGAAAATTCTAAAGCTGTTAATGTACTTCCTTCAGGCCAGTCAGTGCATGATGAATGACTAAAGCGTCGAGCCAACTTTCTAAAAAAATTTTTTTTTATAATTTTACATGTCAATAAAGAAAATCATTTTATACCAGACAAAAAGCAGGGTTGAAACAGGAGATGGATCGGGAAACCTGACTCACATCTGGTCGGAACGACAGAATGTGTCGGAAATCGAAACATTCCGATACGAAATCGAAACATTCCGATACGACTCGAATAATAAAAAATAGAGACGCCAAAACCTGGAAAAAGTTCAGACCCGCCCATCAAGAAAAATATAAACTTGAAAAAAATTTCCGACCCGCCCATCAAGAGAAAAATATCTTGGTTAGGTCCGTCAAAATTAAAAAATGAAGCAAAGAGAAATCCTATGCAACTTACAAAAACAAAAAAAAACTAAAAAAAAATAAAAAACCTGCAAAGAATATCAACTATCCCAACTTCCCCATTCGCCAATCCAACAGCTAACAAAGAATTTAACAAATCCAAACGAAATAATTGAACACCAGAAGCAACTTTCATTATAGAACGTAAAATTGAAGGATTCCCAAATCTCCAAAAATAAATTTTTCCATCTGCAGAGCCAGTAACAACATTACGATTTAATATATCTAAAGCTATTCCAGCAACTAAAGAATCGTGTGCTCTTGTATTTTTGTTGCTATAATCATTTTTTATTGTTGCTGTTGTTGAATTTTCTTCTTCCAAAAATTTTTTCGATTCCAAAGAAAATTTATATTTTCCACTTTGCATATTAAAAACATCTACATGTCCAGAAGAATAACCAATTAAAACAAAATTTCCACAATTACTTATACAAATTGATGATGCAAAAGAATTTAATAAGTTTGGATCGGTACTAAAACGTTCATGATAGAGCTTTAAAATTTTTAAAAAGAGAAAATATTTTTAAAAAAATAAAAGTAAAAAAACCAAGTGAAGTCCACGCTTCTTTAGCCTTGTACTCCATGTTGAAACAAGTGGAGAATTTGAATGTCTATAGAAAAAGTAAATTAAAAATCGGTTAAAAATCGGAGATAAAATAAAAAAACCAAAATATTACGAAGAAAGATTTTCTCTATTTCTATAGTCAACTTTTTAAAACTTAAAAATGTTCACTTGAAAACTTAGAAAATACGTTCACTTAAAAATCGCGTGCGTCATGCGAAAGACGCCGCTCAGCGACACGATGCCGGCAATAAATGTGCTGTTGTGGGTGTGTTGTGATCAATGCCGAATTGCTATTTGTATATGAACACAAATTTAAATAGAAAACGTCTACCATCGGGCCTCTACGTAAGACTCACGCGATTTTCATGTGAACATAACTTAAGAAATCGTCCCAGAAAATTCATCAAAACACTTTAAAAATACAAACCTGCAAACAGCATTATCCCAAACAGCTTCTCTACCAAAACTTAACTCCATCTGTAAGATAGGTTCCAAAGTAACATCAATGAAACGATCCTTTCCAATATCTCCTCTTTAAAATTAAAAAAATTTCAAAATATTTTTTAAAAAATACCTACTTTCTAACTTCTCTAGCAAGACCAAAATCTTTACATAATGCAGTTCTTACAGAGTCGAATTGTCGAACATGCCCATCCTTGCTAGCAGAAACAATTAAATCGTCATCAAAAAATTTTAGAGTTGTTGCCTAAATTTTTAAAAATTTTTTGAAAATTTTAAAAATTCTTTACAGGTCCAGAATGTCCTTGAAGACAATTTTGTACTTCTGGAAGAGAATTTTCATTTCGAAAAACCCATTTAACAAGTTTATTGTCTTCTCCAGCACTCAACAAATAAGCTTGACCCAAAAGGAAATTTAGCCAAGTAATTGAAGATTGATGTGCTTGTGCTAATTGACCGATTAAAATACGCTCATTTAAATCCCAAATAGCTATAGAACCCTCTGAATTGGCACTGGCAAGTGTATCAACACCATCTGATCTGAAATGGAAAAGTATTAGCAATTTTATTTTTTAGAATTAAATACAGCGGACCTAGATTTTTAAGAATTAGAAGTATCGTTTAGGCTGTTCACCCATCAAGTGAACAACCAAATATGAAAAATGGACCTTACATTAAATTAAAGTGAACTGTGCCGAGAGTGGTGCCGAAAGTAGTTTTTGTGCCGAAAATGCTTTTAAAAAACGAAAGACACTAAGTACCGAAAAAAATAAAAATCGGCAAAGGCGAAAGACAAAAGGCAAAATTCCCTAATTTGAGATGTACAGTGGGGTGCAAAAGTAATGACTCATGGGTCGCACAAAGTAATTTAGTACTATAACTTTTCAGGAAATGGTCCAAATGAAACTCAAAATGATGAAAATATTCCCCAAATTGTCAGCTTCAAATTCATATAAAACTTGGCTAAAATTAATTTCAAATGTGAAAGTTAAAAATTTTCAAACGACACCACCTCAATTTTAGCTGGTGCAAAAGTAATGACTCAAAATTTTATCGAATCATATCTCTGACTAGTTGTAAAAAATTTTTTCACAAAAAATTCAATTAAACATATGCATATAGTGATACTATAAACAAAAAAAATTAGGCTCATATCTCTACTCAAAGTCGAGATACAGACACCTCGAAAAAGTCAAAAATCAACGTAAAACACGGGTAGGTCTCTTAGAAAAATATTTTCGACCCCTTACACGTAAAATAAAAATTTCATTCTAGGCTCATTCGAAAGCCCTTAAAATTTACTACAAGATAGCCGAATCGAATTTTTCAGAAAAAATTTCATAGAGAGTTACAGACCGCAAAACTCGCGAAGCAGCGAAATACGCTTAATTTACCCTATAAAATGGCCTTTTTGGCAGCTTCGCGAGTTTGGCGGTCTATATCTCTCTATGAAATTTTTTTGTGAAAAATTCGATTCGGCTATCTTGTAGCAAATTTCAAGGGCTTTCGAATGAGCCTAAATTTTTTTGACCCCTCATACTTAAGGGGTCTAAAATATTTTTCTAAGAGACATACCCGTGTTTTACGTTGATTTTTGACTTTTTCGAGGTGTCTGTATCTCGACTTTGAGTAGAGATATGAGCCTAATTTTTTTTGTTTATAGTATCACTATATGCATATGTTTAATTGAATTTTTTGTGAAAAAATTTTTTACAACTAGTCAGAGATATGATTCGATAAAATTTTGAGTCATTACTTTTGCACCAGCTAAAATTGAGGTGGTGTCGTTTGAAAATTTTTAACTTTCACATTTGAAATTAATTTTAGCCAAGTTTTATATAAATTTGAAGCTGACACTTTGGGGAATATTTTCATCCATTTTGAGTTTCATTTGGACCATTTCCTGAAAAGTTATAGTACTAAATTACTTTGCGCGACCCATGAGTCATTACTTTTGCACCCCACTGTAAGTAAACTTGAAATCCAACTTTTCTTAAATATTAGCGAATTCTTAATAAATATGATAATAAATGTGTTGATCTTTGTTATAATAAAAATAAAAAAAAAAATTTTAACCTAAAAGCCAACGCAGTAATTTCTCCAGTTTGACGGAATGAACATATTAAAGTATCAAATTTAATATTTTTCAAAATAATTTTCCCATTAGACATTCCAATTCCAACAACATCAATTACTGGTGATTGTTCTAATACATTAATCGCTGTTGTATCATCACCCAAAGAATCAAATTCATAAATTAATTTTCCACTTCTTAAATTCCAAATACGCATACGACCATCGGAAGAGCCTACCAAAATCTTAAAAAAAAATTTTTTTTAATTTTTGGAAAATTTTTTTTAAAGAAAAACCTTGTTTAAATAATTGTCCGGATGCAAAATTGAAGTAATATTAAAAGATGAAGAACTTTCGAGTTGAACGATTAAATGACCATCTTCTGTGTTATAAACGTTTATTGTGTTGCCCTTATCAACAACAACTAAAATATCGGTAAATGATAGAAGCATTTTTGGACCACCATTTCCGATAATTAAGCGACGTTCAATCTTTGAAAGGGAAAAAATTTATTTTTGAAAGATAAATTTGCAATTGTAGCCTGACCTAATTTTTAGGCAACCCTAAAATTAAGATACTCCTCCAATTTAGAACTAGAAACCGGATTGGGAGTGAAATAAGAGAATAAGAATCGATATCTCAAAAAATCGCCACCTCAATAACCGATAAATAAGTTTGCTAGAGATATTGTTTCGGTCCAAACTCGATTTAAAACAAATTTTGGATGGGTGAAAGAAAAAGGTCTGACCATTTTGCAAAAAGGTAGGGAAAATTGTGGAGGAAAAAAGGCCGGTTCAATATTAGCCAAATTTTTCATAAATTTGGTTAGCTACTGGGTGAAGAAGCTGACTAAACGACTCTGTCAATTATCCTCATTATAAGATATACATAGTATAAGGTAAAAAATATTATTTCCGAAGAATCAAAAATTAAGTCAAAAAAATCATTAGACGCCAACCCTAAAAATAGGTTAGGTCCTTGGACTTTATGAAATCAAAAATCACTAAATACCTTTGAAAAATGATTACTAATAATTGCCACACAAAAACCAAAAGCAACATAAGTTCTTTCCATATCAGCTGCAACCGCAGTAATTTCTGTATCAACAGGAGGGCATACTGAAGTAAAATGAAGATTCTTGCTTGAATAAAAAACGCATTGATTTTCTATGGCACAGGCAATATTTCCGTCAGTATCTTCTGCATTAGGGGTTGAATAGGTGAAGGCTGGGGGAACTTTAATAAAAAAAATTTAAAATTTATTTAAAAAATTAGAAACCTTTAGAACAGTAAAGGCCAATAGCTTGACAAGGTGTAAATAAATTGGTTTCACCACGAAGAGCCATAACTTCAAAAAAATTTTTTGCCTTCAATTTTTAAAACTTAAAAATAAATTTTGAATTTTTAAAATAAATAAAAGAGCCGATAAAACAGCAAGAAAAGAGTTCAAAAAATTTTTTCGAAGAATCCGAATAAAAATTGTTTATTATTAAAATATACAACAATATTTACTAAACAATTAAAAAAAATTGAAAATTAGAAAAATAAAATTAATAAAAAAATAATTTTTTTAAGATGTCGGATTCGTTATTGAAAATATTGGGGATGTAGCAATACTTGTAGCTGATGTTGCTGTTGTAACTATAACACGTTGTTGTTGGCCCGGTTGTTGTGAAGTTATAGCCATTGGAGATGAACAACCTTTAATGGGAGGCTATTTAAGAAGGGTTGCTTATGAAAGAGGATAGAAGTTAAACAATGCCCCAATAGTCCACAAAGGATAAAATACGCGGTGGACCAATCTTATTTTTCTGTATAGCTGGTATACCAAGCCATAACTCTCCTAGCAATAAATGACAGGAGTAGGGTTGACGGATCCTGAAATGAAAGAATCCGGATACCCGAATCCGCCAATCCTAGCCAAAAGGTCGAATGCAGTACACTTCCAGTGACTTAATTTTTTAACCTAACTTTCTTACTAACCTTTAGGTAAACCAATAATTTTAGCATTGTCATTACAATCATCTTCATCTTCTTCCATCATTCTATTACTACATGTTGTATTCGGATCTAATTTGTCTAATCCTTTTGCAGGCAATCTTCTTGTACGTTTATGACAACCACTTTGTTGTTTTAATATACTAGATTCAAACATTGTGTCCAAATTTTCATCTCTAGTGTCCAAAAAGAAAGGCTCTTGAAGTGTTTGATCTGCAGCAAATTGCATAACTTTTTCTAGTGCTGTCTTTAATAAATCATCGCCAGGTTTTAATGCTAATGCTTTATTTAATGCTTCAATACTGTTGTCAATATATTTGGAAAAACTGGTGCTTAAAATATATGAGGGAGTAGCGCCTCCAGTTTCATTCAATTTTGAAACCATTGATGCATAACAAATGCCAATACAAGCCCAAGCATCGACTTTGGAAGTTCCGAGAACAAGCGATTTTCTTTAAAAATAAAAATTGGCAAAATAACATTTATGGCACGCGGACATATTGAGACGGACATATCGGGATATTTCAATGTACGAACAGCTACCCTACTGATTTAGAGACCTACGGCCATAGGGGGAACAGAGTTTTTATGTTTTAGAACAAACGTAAACACGCAAGAAATTATTTTTGTCACCCCAATCCCGATATGTCCGTCCCGATATGTTCGCACACCAAATTTATAGTTAGAATTAGAGTATTTTGGCGACCGGTTAATTTTCGTTTATGGCGGCTCATTGTCAGATGAGGAACTTTAAGAACATTTGAGCCGTCACAGGCGAGAATTACCCGATCTCCAACAACTAGTTTAAAAAATCAAAAACCTGTGAACAGAAATAGCTTGTGAATATTTTCCCAACTTTCGTAAAGTATGGCCAAGATTGTTAAATAGAGGCTCCCAAAAATCGCTGATTTCATAATCCAATAAATCTTGTAAAGAATCAACATTATTTTTATTTGTTATTAGTCTCAATGCTTCCATAAAAATTTGTTCAGCTTCTAGAAAAAAATTTTTTAATAAAAATTTCAGAAAAAAAAACTTTTATAATTGTGTTCCACAAAGGCTGCAGTAGCCTGTTCATGTAATACAATAGCATTTGAACCAGCAACCATTTCTGCATCATGTAAAAAATCGTTGGCCAATTTAAAATTGTTTCCAAAACAATATTCTACAGCAATATACAAAAGTGGTTCAAAATGTCCTTCAAGAATTCGTGAAGCCTCAAAATTTCGGTAAAATTAAATAAAAATATCTCAAAAATAATTACCCGAAGATAGCTGTTCATAGCCTGTTCATGCTCGTCAATATAGAACAAAGTGTGTCCATAGGCTATCCATCCCTCTCCAAAACCTGAATTCATTGTTGTGCATTTGTCTAGAAAAAAATATATGACTAAACTTTTTTAATAACGAAAAAATCTTAGAAAATCGGAAACCGAAAGAATGTCGAAAATATCGAAATCGAAACAATTTTCTCAAAATCTTCAAAATAAAAAGTCGAAAATTCGACACAGCATTGGGTGTAACAAAGACAACTGTCGTTCTTCGATACCCCCAAAATTTAGACACTCAATAACGATAGTCTTTTAAAAATAATAGGCTGATAACTGAGTAAGCCCAAGATAAGCGAACCACCTATAAAATTCCCCATGATAAACTAAAAAAATCTTTCAGGACAACGGAGTATCTCAAAATGAGGTTCGTTCATATCATTAACTCACTCAAAAACTTTTTTGCAGTTGTATATTGTCCTGTAGCATAATAATAACAACCAACAGTGTACCAAGTAATTTCTCGTTCAGGTTGAAGTTTAACCATTGAATGTCCAAGTTGGTAAAGTTCACTAGTTTTGCTTAAATGGACCAAACAGCCAATATGAACGAGAAAACATTTCTTTAAAAAATTTTTTTTAAAGTTTGACGCTTGAAATTTACTCACGCTATAATAACCAAATTCATGCATAATTGTAGATGTTATGTTGTAAGCCTCACGAACATTTCCCTGACTGTAAAGGCGAAAAGAATTTGCTGATTGGAAAGAGAGATCATCGGAAAGTAATAAACCAAGACGTAAAGAATTGGCAGAAAATGAACTCGTTTCTCTCTGAAATGAAGAAAAATGCTTAAATTATTGACTAAAAATTTGTAAGATCAACAAACGTTAATATCATAAATTTCAAGCAAATGACAAATAATTTTACTCCCAGACGAATTAATTGCTGCAGAAGAAGAGCCTACAATTTCTTGAAGTTCGCAAGCTTTCAAAAGGCGTGAATCAATAGCAAGATGAAGAGCTTCACTGCAGTAAGGATTAGCCAAAAGGCAATGCCTTTGAATTTTCAAGTTATGAGAAATTAAAAAAATAAAAAAAAACCTTAAACAGCTTGAAGCTGCCGGACGGTTTTGAACCATTAAATAAGTTTTAGCAAGTAAAAACAAAAGGCGGGCATCATATTTATGTGTTTTGACCAGATCATCAAGTTTTGCACAAATCTCAGGATTTCGTGATATATCATTGTGAGCGAAAATATATGTTGCTGTATCGTGGGTTATAAAAGGGACTCCCTCCCAATGACACTAAAATTTTAAAATTTTGATTTAAAAAAAATTTAAAATAAACCAAATGTCCAATAGGAAGAGCGATTATTTCAGAAAACATTTCTTTATTGAATAGAGCATTTACATTGAAAAATGCAAAAACCAAATGTTTCGAAAAGAGGTCATGACGTTCGACTAGAGTAACAATTGTTTGCCATGCTCTTGCTGCTGTTAAAACCTGAAAAATTTTGAGAAAAATTATTTTTAGACAAATTCTGGAGTAGGGCTGAATGCAAACGCAATTGCGTGGAATTTTTTGATTTGTGAACAGCGGATTTTAAAATTAAAGCTGTGAAAAAATTTTATTTGCATCCAGCCGTGTTCTGAAGGGTTTTTAACGTCTTTTTAAGTCCCTTTCCTAAAAAATAGGCGAAAAATTTAAAATAAGGGGCCCAAAACACGAAACTCCAACCCCAAGGACCATAAAAACCCAAGGATCATAAAGCATTTACATTGAAAAAACCCCAAGGACGATAAAAACAAAAACCTCGCCAATTCCTCAAAATCCATAATTAAAAAACTCACAATTAAATAATTGGCAATCTGTGGTAGTCGTTCACTTAAAGAACGATCACCCTGTCTTCTACTTATTGCCAACAATTTTTCCGCCCAAAAAGCAGCAGTGTGACAATCATCACTTCTTAAATGTTGTTCTACCAACTGTTCAATTTCTTCTATATTTAACAAATTATTTGATATATTGCTTCCTCCTTCCATTGCCTCATCTTCTTCTTCTGGTTCCAGATCCTGAAGAATATTAAATTTACTTTTCATTTTTTGGAGTAACAAATCTGGAAAAGTGTCAATTAAAAAAGTGTAAATAAAATAAAAAAAAGATCATTTGGCTTACTACCATTAAGGGAAGGAAAAAGCCCAAACTTTATTTAAAAAATAAATTTATGAAAATTAAAAAAATAATAACAAAGATAAGTTACAAATCATTGACATTCAATACATGACAAAGGGAACGACATTAAAAAGAATCGCGAATTGGTTAGTTTGTAAAAATTGTTTGAGGTATCAATTTAATTTTTGTTTTACTTTAAGTTAACTAGGTCTTAATTTAAAATTATTTTAAAGTTAGTCTGCGATTTTTTTGTCATTGTGAAAATGAATGTAATGATTCTCAATTAGATACACTGCGGTGCATATGTTTATGCACACTAGTTTTTTGTTCATAATTTTATCCAATCTTATTCAAAAAATACGTTCTATATAGCAATCGAAAGCTCTATTTGTATCTCAGTTGACATGTTTCTGCATTTTCCATGAAAATGAAAATTCGCCGAGATAATCCGGATCTACCGGATATACCAAATCCCATATCCTCGGAAAAATTTTTCGGAAAAAATTTAACAAATCCATTTGATAAAGCATATTTTTGTGAGTATTTACCACAAAACCGCTTAGAAATATCTTTTTCCGGAACGGAGATATGATTTTTGAAAATCGAAAAAAACGCGATTTTTTGACGAAAAATGGCAAAAAATGGTATTTTTTCGATTTTCAAAAATTCATAACTCGGTCGAATCTCGACCGATTTGGATGATTTTTTTGTATTATATGTAGAATCTAGAGGAGAATCACATATATTTTTTACAGACCTCAAAAAAATTTCTTCGAAAAGTTGAAAATGTAGTACCTGTTAGACCGGTCGAAAAGTTTTCGAAAATATCAGAATTTCGAAAAATGCAGAAACATGTCAACTGAGATACAGATAGAGCTTTCGATTGCCATATAGAACATATTTTTTGAATAAGTGTGCATAAACTTATGAACAAAAAACTAGTGTGCATAAACATATGCACCGCAGTGTAGACAAATAAAAATCAAGCTAATACAATTGTGAGCCAGAAGACATCTTCTTAGGAGAAGTGCCCTTTGCCGTAACGGGAGGCGTGGAAGGAGAATTTGGTGGTGTAGAGACCTTTGGTGGTGTAGAAACCTTTGGTGGTGTTGTTGCCTTTTTTGGAGATGGAGAAGTTTTGTTTAGAGATTGAGAAACTTTCATATTCTTAGCCGGTGGCGTAGACGGGAGCAGCGGTTGGCGATTTTTGCAACATATCGAAACGGAAATCAGCCATGTTGCAAAAATCGCCAACCGCTGCTCCCGTCTACGCCACCGGCTAAGAATATGAAAGTTTCTCAATCTCTAAACAAAACTTCTCCATCTCCAAAAAAGGCAACAACACCACCAAAGGTTTCTACACCACCAAAGGTCTCTACACCACCAAATTCTCCTTCCACGCCTCCCGTTACGGCAAAGGGCACTTCTCCTAAGATGTCTTCTGGCTCACAATTGTATTAGCTTGATTTTTATTTGTCTATCTAATTGAGAATCATTACATTCATTTTCACAATGACAAAAAAATCGCAGACTAACTTTAAAATAATTTAAAATTAACACCTAGGTAACTTAAAGTAAAACAAAAATTAAATTGATACCTCGAACAACTTTTACAAACTAACCAATGCTCGTTTTTTCTACATTGTTCCCAAATCTCGGCATACATTTAACGTCAATGATTTGTAAAAATTCAACAAAATAATTAAAAAAATACTAAATTTCTTCTTTTTTGCCTAAACAAGCCAATTCCATTTCTTTTTGCGATTCTTTACTAAAATCTATTCTCATCAATTCCCTCAAAGCAATTGTTGCATAAGTTCCAGAGGGAAGCGTAAATTGAAGTTTTAATGCCTTAAAAACTTTTTCTTGCTTCTTTTCTTCATTTTGTTCTTCTTTTACTTCATTTTTTGGAATAAATTCACAAGTTTGAAGCTGTTCATCACGAAAGGAATATTCAAGTAATTGCCAAGAAACATCTTGAGGTTTTGAAATAAATGGGCGATAAACATTGCCGAGACCAAAATGGCTTAAAAAATATTTTTTCTTTTAATTTCAGACTTTTCCAAGGATGCCACGGGTTACCAGAAACCCAATATCCAAACTTTTTCTCATGATACATCCCCAATCACCCAGTACTGACCAAAAATCTAATGAAATCCTCAAACAAAAAGCCATGTATTGACTTCACCTGGACCTTTTTTGAATCGGAACCCAGAATTTTACCTAATACACTTGTTAATCCCGCAAATCCTCCGGTAATGATTCGGCCAGATATCATAACCTTTTTCGACCTGAACCCAGACTTTTTCCCATCCTAAGTCATTCCCAGTTACTCTCACAAAATTAAACCTTTCAATTTTCTTGAAGGATTCATAATCAATTTCGTCATCTTTTGCAATTTGTTTATACCATTCTCCAACTGGAATTACAAAAATAATTTTAAAAAATACTATTGAAAAACTTTCATTTTCGGGCAATTTATTTTCAAAAGATGGAAGAGGAAGGCAAACATTTTCAATTTTACAAGTTTCATCAGTTAATATATTTCCTAGTACATCCAAATCACCAGGTAAACATGCAAGTCCAAACGATTTTTTGCGCCTAAAAAATTTGTTAATTTTTAAAGGATTAAATCTCAACAAAAAACCTTGAAAGAATATGATTGAAAACAGCACTTTGATAGGCGTGGACATACCTGAAATGTATTTTTAATTTTAAAAAATGTGTGCCGAAAAAGCATTAGTAAATTACATGAGAATACGGACAAGGCGATGAATCCACCTTCTCACAGATTGGGGAAAAATAAAAAAATCTTAAGATGAGGTTGATAAAAGGCAAATTTCCGCTTTCAAAATTTTCGGTTACGATTTTTCTCAACACTTTCCTTCCACCCATTTCCTCGGCGGAGGATTCAAAATAATTCTAAAAATTCACATTGTTCGTACATTCCTTGGCAATGCTAACAATGCTCCTTTATAACCATTTGGATAGTTTGACAAAAAACGAAGTAATGAGATTTCAATACTGCTGAATCGGTCAGGATATCTAAGTAGTTGAAGTGCTTCTTTTGCACTGCCAGAATCGGTATAGTGTTTTAGACATTCGTTTACTGAAATTAAAGGAAACATTAAAGCAGCCTGAACAGAGAATTTGAACAAAATTCAGATAAAAAGTTAAGCAAAAAGTTGCAGACAAAGAATAAAAAAATGTCCGCAAAAAAGTTGCGGACAAAAAATGCGGACTTTAATACAAAGACTAGAATCAAGAAAACTCCCAAAAATCAAACTGCCAACAAACTTTTAGTCGAAGAAGAATCACTCCTAGGTTTAAGCAAAGCTTTCACTGCCTCTTCCCATTTTTGGTTTAAAATTAAACGTCCAATTTCAGCAGTTTGTACACCACAAGCACCAAAACGTTGAGAACCAAAATAATTGAGAAAACCATTTGTCTTCCATTGTTGTACCCGTTTGTCGAATTCTTCAAGGTTGAAATTGTTGTCAACATCTCTAAATTAAATTTAAAAATTTTTTTTTGGAATTTATAGAAAAAGAAAACCTTAAAATTATCGAAAAATAATTTCCAGTTGCGTCGCCCAATTCCAATTTTGTTTTAAAATAGCCAAAATCAGACAGCCATAGACCACGAAAATTTTGTCTGCAAAGACGACGCTTCTCAATTCGATAGGCAGAGACTCTTTGGACTGTGATAGCACGGCGATCTTTTGTTCCGGAAACAGAGAAGAGTGAGGGTTTCAAACTAGAAAAAACGGAAGAAATTAAAAACTAAAAATGAGATAGAGCTAGAATTAGCCAAGGGAACGTCTCGTTCCGATCTCTAAAAATCAGAAATTTCCGTGTTTCACGGGTCGGAAATGTCTATTCCCAAAAGCGGGAATTGATTTACTAAGCCGGCACGTTGATGGCCTGACCAAGGGCAACATACTTTCTTTGCCCAAAGCTAGACTAATGGATTTGAAAATTAATTCAGGCACCTAAAAATCAAAATCTCTAATAAACAAAAAAAACGATAAATTTTAAAGCAACTAATAAATTCAAAGTCTAACTGAAATCCAAAAATCTGCTCATTAAAAACATTCAAAACCTAACAAAAAATAATCATACTTTAATCTATTTGCAATTAGATCAATACAAGTATTTGTGTCCATATTCTCTTTTGTTATTGTAAAATGTAGATAGTCTCCTCTATCATTTGGCCAAAATTTGCGTTTTCTATTATCATTCCTAAAGAAATAATTGAATAAAAATTTGGCCTTGGATCGGTTAAAAATGTCCTGGAAGTAGAGAACGGCCTGGAAAAGGACACTTCCTGGACTCAGAGTCAAGATCATGGCATTTTTTTATTGTACGTTGATTTTTCCTCGACATGAGGTGAAGTATCTGGTCAAGGTCCTCAATCAAAATCAAGGTCAACGTGTTTCAAAATTTCCTATCTCCAATAAAAATTATAATCAAAGAGACTCGCCTATGACTTTTTGAGGTTAAAAATATTAAAACACAAACCATTTTGCCTTTTCAACAGTCAAAATTCCATCTTTACAGCTCGTATGTAATTGATCTTTAAAATTGTTTCTGATAAAATCATAAAGTTGTTTACGCACATCTTTAGAAAATTCCTACAAAATTATTAAAATAACACAAAAAATCATCCAAAAAACCTTCAAATCAACAACACAGTCTTCAATTTCGCCTTCTACAATCTGCGAAAATTTAGAAATTTGTTCAGATATGCATTCCAATTCTTTCGGTAATTCTCCAGAATTTGTTTTGTTTTCTCCATTATCTTCTTCCTTATCCTCATTCTCCTCTTCATTATTGTTATAATTTGGTTTTAAAATGTTTCCATCTTTTGGAATTTCAATTACTACAAAATCGCTGTAAAGTCGTTTAAGAATGCATCTCAATTCTGGCCAATCCTCCTCTGACACATATTCTGTGATATTGTTTGAGAACATTTAATGAAACACGAAGGAAAAATAGACAAAAATTTCAGTTAATCGGATTAAAGAATATTTACCGAATTTTAAGTTGACACTTTGAAATTTTACATTTTGTAATATTTTATATCCGAAAATACAAAATATCTAAAATTATTTGGCATAAATTTTTTTGAATAAAATTTTCAACAGTATCTCGAGAATTTTTGAATATTTTTCTGCTATAAAAGCTGATAACTTTGGTTTCTACTCTTTCTTTTATCAGGCAATATATCCTTTGTTTATTCTTTACATTTTTTATTACTTTTAGTAGCTAAAATGCAATTAAATCTTCCGATTGAAGTTCATTTGGATATTGTCAAATGTCTCAACTTTAATCAGTTATTTTCTGTTAAACAAACCAATCGCTACTTTTCTTCGTTTATTGGCAAATATGAGGAGGAATTGGCTCGCAAATTTTTCAAACATATGGAACCGGTAATTTCCTAAAATCATTCCTTTAAACACATTCCCTTTCTTTAGATCGAACTTGAGTACTTTTATAAACAACACAAAAGAGAGAATGGTCAGCTTGATTACAAAATTGTATCTCTTCAAGAGCTTGGACGTTATGTTGTTCGTTTTCCGTTGGATAAATGGCTTAAGGAGAGGGTAAGAATTTTTTGTCTAGATTTCGCCTAGAAATTTTCTTTTTTAGTGGGAAACCGCAATTGATATAGAGACTCGTACGTATTGCTATACAGGTCGTTGGGACCGTCTGAAATATTACCATTATTTGCGTTTAACGGATGGTATTAACTTTACAATTAATATTGTTAATCTTCAATTATTTCTAGAATCTCGTCATTTAATCTTGCAATTGCCTCCGTTTCCAGAGTATATTGAAGAACTGCAAATTATGCGTTTTTGGTTACTCCAACTGTTCAATTGTGCTTTTGAAGAAGTTCAGTTTACATCTGCTACATTCAATCCTTCAATGATTAAATTACTTTTTGACACCGACAAAACTATTTCTACCAAATTTCTGACTAGACGGGCAACGATAGCTGACTCCGTTCCAAGATTAAGAAATATTTTCAAAAACAATCTGACAATTCTTGAAAGTCTTGAGATAATGCCTAGTATTGCTGTGGAGGATTATCGTGTTTTGTTGCCACTATTCTTCAATAAAATTCCTTATGTTTTTTACGGTCATGATCCCTCACTCTGCACCATAATTTTGGATGTAAGTTTAACTTTTGCTTAGATCGTCCCAGTAAATATATTTCGAGACCAGCCAGGATTTTCTAAAAAAATATCTGAAGAATTTTAAAATAGGAGTTGGGAACTGTGTCTCCCAAAATATGTGGTGATAATTACCTTTTAGAACCTATGAGAAAACAAAGAGGGGTCATCAAAGTTCCCAATTCCCCTAAAAATCTTTTAAAAAAATTTTAAATTTAGCATATTGAAAATTCAACCGATTGTCAAATTAATGTGGATAGAACTGAGTTTAATTACGTGAGTTGGCCCCATTTTACTATAAGCGCAAAAGCAATAAATCTTGAGAAGAGGATGGTTGATAGATTCAATTATGTCAAATACGAACTTGCCAATATCCATAATCCGAAGATTAAGTTCCTTGTTCAATGGCTTTACACAGAAACAGCATTGGATGCGCAATTACAAAATATAGGCATACAAGCTTATCTTTCGATTGAAAGAATGAAGGGACAGAACATTAAATCGCTTCTTGATTGTGATTTAAATAAATACTTCCATTAGGATATTATTTGTTTGTCTTGTAGTATATTGTTATAGTTAGGTAGTATCTGTATAATTTTTGGTTGTTGTAATCCTGAATAAAATGATAAAATTAAAAATCTTTGTTTTGCAAATTTTATGTTTACTATCATTTTTAAATATCTGTATATATTTAATGTTTAATTAATATTTTTCGTTAGTTTCAGTCTTTTAAAAAATGTTTGTTCATCTTCCGATTGAAGTTCATTTGGACACTTTAAAATGTCTCAACTTTAATCAGTTATTTTTTGTTAAACAAGTCAATCGCTACTTTCTTTGGTTTATTGGTAAATATGAAGAGCAATTGGCTCGCAAGTTTTTCAAATATATGGAACCGGTAATTTTTAAAATCATTTTTTAAACAAATTTCCCTTTCTTTAGATCGAACTTAGAGGTTTTTATTATCAACACAAAAAAGAGAATGGACAGCTTGATTACAAAATTGTATCTCCTGAAGAGCTTGGACGTTATGTTGTTCGTTTTCCGTTGGATAATGAACTTTTGGAGAAGGTAAAAATTTTTTGATGAATGAATTTGGGTGGCGGACATACCGGATTTATCAATTATTTGTTAACAATTCGTTTATATATGAGAACTAAAACAAAGGCAATGTCTATCCAATACTCATTGGTCGTAGGTCCCGTAACAAATAGGGTAACCGTTCGCACCTTGAAATATCTCGATATGTCCATTCTGATATGTCCGCATGCCCTGAATTCTCGCTCAAACCTTAAATATTTTTTCAGTGGCAATCTGCACTTGATAAACAAATTCGTTTGTATGCCTTTTCAACTTGTTGGGGCCGTTCGAAATATTACCATGTTTTGCGTTTAACGGATGGTATTATATTTGAAATTAATATTGGTAATCTTAAATTCTTTAGAATCTCGACATTTACTCTTACAATTGCCTCTGTTTCCAAAGAATATTGAGGAAATGCAAATTATTCGTTTTTGGTTAATTCAACTGTTTAAATGTTTTTTTGAGCAAGCTAAATTGACACGTGCTTCAATCAATCCTTCAATGATTAAATTACTTTTCGACAACGACAAAACAATTTTTACCAAATTTCAAACTGAACGGGCAATGACAACTTCGGACATTCCTTTTTTAACGGATTTTTTTAAAAACAATATGACAATTCTTGGAAGCCTTGAGATACAGTGTGATCATCATTCATTTGCGCAATACGATGTTTTATTTCATCTATTTACGACTGTTAGAATTCCCTGTGTTTTTCTCAATCATGCTATGGATTTTACAATTGCCGACGTATCTCTTTATAAGTCAATTATAAAGGTACGACTTGTTTGCAAAATATATTTTAAGACCAAGAGGATTTTTAAAAAAATAAAGATCGCGAAAACTTCTTTTTCGACCATTCCCTTTTATCGTTTAAAATAGAATTTGACCCCGACTTGAACCCCGCCCCGAAACAATTCGAAAACCCCGTACCCCGACATACCCGCCCCCGAACGTTCGGGGTCAAACCCTAGTTTAAAAAGTCTTGCACATGGAAGGGATTCTCTTGCATTGAGAGGTCAATAACATAGGCATCCTGAATATTTGACAGATAGAATTTGGCCGTCTGACCATCTGACTGTTATCTTTATGTATCCATCCATATACAAGTCTAATTTAAAAGATATATTTTTTCTCGATCCCTTATAGAACGTAAAGAAAAATTCCTTTGTACTTCTGAAGATCCAAATAATTTTATAAATTTTAGTATATTGAAACTTCAACCGATTTTCTTCTTATGGTGGATAAATTCAAGTTTCATTACCTCACCTGGCGTGATTTTACTATGAGCGAAAGGGCAGTGAACATTGAAAAGAAAAGAGTTAATGGATTCAATTTCGTTAAATATGAACTTTCAAATATTCACAATCCAAATGTGAAGTTTCTTGTTCAATGGTTACACAAAGACAACTTTGATGTACGTGTTCACCCTTGTATTTTGGTTGAAAGAATGAAGGGACAGGAGATTAAATCGCTTTTGGATGAGTATAATTTAAATTAGGATTTTTTTGATAGTGTGTTAATTTGTTTGTCATAGAATTGTTATAGTAAATATAATTAATGAGTAGTTCAGAACAGGGATGTCTCTAGTTTTTTTTACCTGAAACCCGATACTTTTTTCGACCCGGAACCCGGCCCGGAGAAAATTTTGAAAACCCAAACTGACTTTTTTCTCTATCTATGACATCCCTGCTTCGGACTGGAGCTAGAATACAAAGTTTATTTTTGAAATTGTATGGTTACAAAATATTTAAATAAGGCTTACGAATAAAATTTAAACGTATGCCAAGAATTTTTAAAATAGTATATAAAGGCTGCATATTTTATACTGTTTTTATTCAAGCTTTAATTTTTTATTAGTTTCAGCCTTTTAAAAATGTTTTATCATCTTACGAGTGTTGTCCATTTTGATGTTTTCAAATATCTCAACTTTAATCAATTATTTTCTGTTAAACAAGTCAATCGCTACTTTCTTTCGTTCATTGAACGTTATGAGGGGGGATTGGCTCGCAAATTTTTTGGTTATATGGGACCGGTAATTTTTTTAAATTATTTTAAACACATTCTTTTCTTTAGGTCGAACTCGAAGGTTTTTATATGCATCTCAAATGGATAGAGCGTGAACAGTTTGATTACAAAGTATTGGACCGTGAGGAGCTTGGACGTTATGTTGTTCATTCACCTGTGGATAATGAGCTTTTGGAGAAGGTAAAAAGAATTTTTTTGAATGAATTTGGGTGGCGAACATACGGGATTGTGGGACAATAAAAACAAGGGAAATGTACTATCCAAGACTCATTGGTCGTAGGTCCCGAAATCAAGGTAACTGTCCGTACCTTGAAATGTTCGGATATGTCCATTCCGATATGTCCGCATGCCCTGAATTTTCGCTTAACCCTTAAATATTTTTTTCAGTGGCAATCCGCAATTAATAAACAAATTCGTTTGTATGCGTCTTCAGGCCGTTGGGATCGTTTGAAATATTACCATGTTTTGCGTTTAACGGAGGGTAATAACTTTATACTCAATGCCTTGATTCCCAATATTTTCTAGAATCTCGTCATTTACTCTTGCAATTGCCTCCGTATCCAAAGAATATCGAGGAATTGCAAATTATTCGTTTTTGGTTAATTCAACTGTTTAAGTGTGGTTTTGGAGAAATTAACTTAGCTCATGCTTCAATCAATCCTTTTTTGATTAAATTACTTTTCGACAACGACAAAACAATTTGTACCAAATTTCAAACTAAACAATTAATGACAACTGATGCCTTTCCTTTATCAACAATTATTTTCAAAAACATTATTGTAATTCTTGAAAGCCTTAAGATAAGTCTTGGTGGACATTATGAGCAACAGCAACACGATGTTTTATTTCATCTATTTTTGAATCTTAGAATTCCCTTTGTTTTTATCGATCATCCTATGAATAATACTCTGTACAAGTTAATTATGAATGTAAGTTTAACTCGGATATAGTACACAGAAAAATTTTAAAATTTTAGCATATTGAAACTTCAACCGATTTTCATCTTATGGTGGATAAATTCAAGTTTCATTACCTCAATTGGCGTCCTTTTACTGTGAGCGAAAGAGCGGAGAATGTTGAAAAGAAAAGATTTAATGGATATGGGTTTACTAAATATGAACTTTCAAATATTCACAATCCAAATGTGAAGTTTCTTGTTCAATGGATTCATATCGACAACTTTGATGTGCGTGTTCAACCTTGTATTTTAATTGAAAGAATGAAGGGACAGGAGATTAAATCGCTTCTTGATGAGTATAATTTAAATTGAATTTTTTGATAGTGTGTTAATTTTTTTGTCTTTTAATTGTTGTAATAAGTATAGTTATTAAGTACTCCAGACCAGGGATGTCACGAGTTACACGATACCCAGAACCTTGTCTTTCAACCTGAAACCCTATCCGAGGTAAATTTTGAAGATCCGACCCGACTTTTTTTCTCAACTCGTGACGTCCCTGCTTCAGAATGGAGTTAGGATACATATTTTGTCTTTGAATTGATAAGACCTTTAAATAAAATTTTAATATTATTCCAATAATTATTAAAAATAGTTGTAGTATAAAAGCTGCAGACTTTACTTTTTCTGTTCTCTTTTTATTCTTTTCTATATTGTCTAGTTTCAGTCTAAAAATGTATCATCTTCCGATTGAAGTTCATTTGGATATTTTTAGATATCTCAACTTTAATCAATTATTTTTTGTTAAACAAGTCAATCGCTACTTTCTTTCGTTTATTGGCAAATATGAGGGAGAATTGGCTCGAAAGTTTTTCAAATATATGGAACTGGTAATTTCTTTTTAAAATCATTTTTTAAACACACTTCCCTTTAGGTCGAACTTAAAGGTTTTTATTATCAACACAAAAGAGAGAATGGACAGCTTGATTACAAAGTATTGGACTGTAAAGAGCTTGGACGTTATGTTGTTCATTCCCCTGTGGATAATGAACTTTTGGAGAAGGTAGAAATTTTTTTGCCTAAATTTCGCTCAAACCTTAAATATTTTTTCAGTGGAAATCCGCACTTGATAAACAAATTCGTTTGTTTGTATATATAGGCACTATGATTCGTCCGAAAATGTATCATGTTCTACGTCTAACGGATGGTAATTAACTTTGAAATTATTAGAGAGCGGGCAGGATCTGGATCCAGAACTTGATTTTTCCTCGACTCAGAGTCCAGATCAAGGCATTTTTCAGCGTTCCTTGATTTTTCCTTGACTCAAGGTCAAGAATCTGGTCAAAGTACCCGACCAAAATCGTAAGGATGATTCACCCAGCAGCATTTAAAACGCTTAGGCGGGGGTTAAACGATCTAAAAAGGAAAAAGAGAAAGCATTAGTCGATGCCCCGGTAGCTCAGAGGTAGAGCTCCTGCATATAGTGAGCGAAAGCGCCTAGCAACAACTAGCAGGTGGTCGTAGGTTCGAATCCTGTCTGGTGGCTAGCTAAACTTTTGCAAACTTTCTAAATCAAGGTCTAGGTTTTTTTTGCAAACCTCGCTCTCTAGAAATTATTATGGTTAATCTTCAATTTTTTTAGAATCTCGACATTTACTCTTGCAATTGCCTCCGAGTCCAAAGAATATTGAAGAACTGCAAATTATTCGTTTCTGGTTACTCCAACTGTTTAAATGTTTTTTCGAGCAAGTTCAGTTTACATCTGCTATATTCCATCCTCAAATGATTAAATTACTTTTTGACAACGACAAAACAATTTCTACCAAATTTCAAACTGAACGGGCAATGACACGTGATTTCTTTGCTTTAGTACCGGATATTTTTAAAAACAATTTAATTATTCTTGAAAGCCTTGGGATACGTACTGGTGGACATTTTGAGCAACAGACACACGATGCTTTATTTCATCTATTTTTGAATGTTGGAATTCCCTATGTTTTTCTCCGTCATCCTATGCATGATACTCTGTACAAATTAATTATGGCGGTAGGTTTAACTTTTTAGTCCGACTTTTTTTTTACAAAAATAAAGGAGATCAAAGTTGCTCGAAATCTCGTTTTCTTGCATTCCCCTAAATCGTTTAAAAGACTTGTACATGGACACAGATTAAAAAAAATTAAAAATGATTAAAAAAAATTTTTTTTGATGCCTTAAGGGACACAGGAAAAATTTTTTCCTTTTTTTATTTACGTGTACGCAAACGAAATTTTGTTTATCTCTTTGGAGATCCAAAAAAATCTTTTAAAATTTTAGCATATTGAAACTTCAACCGATTTTCATCTTATGGTGGATAAATTCAAGTTTCATTACCTCAATTGGCGTCCTTTTACTGTGAGCGAGAGAGCGGAGAATGTTGAAAAGAAAAGATTTAATGGATATGGGTTTACTAAATATGAACTTTCAAATATTCACAATCCAAATGTGAAGTTTCTTGTTCAATGGGTACACAAAGACAACTTTGATGTGCGTGTTAAGCCTTGTATTTTGATTGAAAGAATGAAGGGGCAGGAGATTAAATCGCTTCTGGATGAGTATAATTAAAATTGAATTGTGTTAAGTAAAATTGGATGGTGTTATTTTTTGCCTATCTAAGTGTCTGTATAATTTTTCGGTTTTAGTAATTCAGAATAAAATGATATAAATAAAGCTATAGTTTTTGAAGTTTTATGTTTGCAATAAATTTTTATAAATATATATTTCTTGGTTATTTACAATTTTTTTATTCCAGCCAAAAATAACTAGAATATATCTTCATATTTTTAAATGTCTCAACTTTAACCAGTCTTAATCGAATGCATGCACACCCCTTTATCTTTACACAATTTTACGATTACAGCCCTTTCTAAATCAGGGTTAAGTGTGTGTTTAATTTCTTTCTCTCCAGCATTTTTTAAATCATTTTTAATTGTTTTCTCCATTTTAGCTCACAGCTCAGCGCGTCTAAATATTAAATTTTTTTTTAAATTTTCTCTTCAACATAAAACTAGATTAGTCTACTAGTACTTACAAGGCTATAGCCATTTGATAATTTATCCACGTCTTGAAATCCTTAACGCGGAGAAAAAGACTAGTGTTGTTTTTCTCGTCATGTCCATCATAAATTCCTCCTATCACATTCCTTAGGTGCTCCTTCCAAATAACAGCTCCACCGGAGTCTCCTAGGTTTCCTGAAGTAGCGAACAAATGGGGCCAGTGTCCAATTGCTCCCTTCACGACGATTGTTGTTTTTTGAAGCGTTGTTGGTAGTTGTACAGAGTTTAGGAAACCATTGATACCGAAGCCTAAAAATTGTTTAAATGTGCTATAGACTCTATATATTATATTAGAGTTTGACCCCGACCCCGTACCCAGAACCAAACCCAGGACATATTTTGACATTAAAACCCCGTACCCTGACATACCCGCCCCCGAGCGTTCGGGGTCAAACCCTACTATATATTAGAAAATATGTATTACCAAAGAAGGTTCCTATCTCCCCGGGTCTCTCTGCTCTAGACGACAGACCAATTCTGGTTCCACTTTCAATATCGTCTTCCGTTAAAAGCAGTGCCAAATCTTCTGAATTATGTGTGATTATTTTCTTGATTCCAATGTGGCCGCCTTTTCCTAACTTGGTTGTCCCGATTCTGATTTTAATTTTTTGTAGCGAGTCTTCTTTATTAAAACAATGTGAGGAAGAAACAATAAAACGTTCGGCGATTGCTGCGCCACCACAAATCTGAAAATAGAATTGATTTTTGTTAAACAGAGTAAAGCAGCTGGGCTATAGCTATTTCTCTCCTTTAGCTAGTGTAAAAGGTTAATCGGCGGCTGGGAGTGAACCAGAATCTTCAATAGATCGGATTGATGTGTTATCCATTACAACACCCGCCTACTGGACAGTCTTAGGAATTAAATAGCTACAGGCTTTACAATAGAATACCGTATTTACTCGATTAATTCCCCTGGGGAATTATTTTTTCAACCCATCCGTGGCATGGGGAATTATTCGAGAGAGGTGAATTAATCGAGGGAGGGGAATTAATCGAGTAAATATAATAAACTTACAGTGTATGAACCATCCTTATTAAAGTTGAATATTTGGCAGAAATATAAGGCCTCCGATAACACCGCATCTGTGCCATCCATCACTCTAACGTCCGTTATGTTCCTTCTCTTTAGACCTATAAATTATGAAAAATTATAAGCCTCCTTGTAACGTTCCTAGCAGAGGTGGGTCGGAATTCCGATTTCCGGCTCTTCCGATTTCCGACACCTCTGACTGTTCCGAACACCTCTGGTTACTAGCGATTTTTTTATTAAAATCACCTTTCAAGTATGAGTCCATAATTAAATTCTCTTCAATATCCCGGTCAAATTCTTTTTTTATTTTCGCAAATTGTTCCGCTAAAAATATGGCTTATTTACTTTGGGTAGTACCAAAAATTAAAAACCTGAAAGATTTAGTTTTAAGGGCATCGTGGGCTTGTAATCCACATCGTAAACCTTAAAATGTAAAAATAATGATATTCAACACTTTTAACAGGTGACCCCGACCGGAAACAGTTTAGTCCAGTTTTAAAGAAAAGCAGTCCCAAGAAGCAGTCCTAAGCTCTTTAGAATCAAATTTTTTAATACCTTTTTTCCATCTACGGTATAATCAAACCACCATAATAAAGAAAATAGAATTAAGCCTCGCATTTCAAATAATTTTTGCTCTAAATAGGAATAAAATCAGAATTAATGCTTTTTAGTAAAGGCCACTTTTCCATTTTTAAGACAGAAAGCAAAATGAATCGCGTTTGACCTATTCTCATTCAGCAATTGGTAAAAAATAATGCTTTGTAACCTTTTGTGCTTAGCACAGCATAAGGTGTCTTATTCACTTTATAAAAGATATTGAAGATATATTTTGTGTGTAGGGGCAAAACACCGTCCGAACATTGCCATTTTTTGCCCCATTCTTGAGAATTGAGAAGCCATGCCCCTTTTTGGTCATTCGGAAAGGGCTGCCCTACTTTTTAGACCCTATATATAGGTCATGGTTGTTACTATACTTATCTGCCTAAAATTTTGGGTTAAAATTTGTTAACGCCAAATTTTATATCAAATTTAATAATCTTTATATGTACATATATAATTTAAATCTTAAAATTTTATAGAATTTAAAAACAAAATTTAAAAAAATATTTGGGAATACTAAAAAAATTATTTTTATATCATTAGAGCATTAAAAATTAAATTTTTGGAATTAATTCATCTCAAAAAAAATATTTTATTTTACATCACAATTTCTTTAACAAGTTGAGTTAATGGGGTAGATGCTGAATTTGTTCTTAAAAATTTTAATTTTTCTTCTTTTCCTTTCTTCTTTTTACTATAACAACAACAGGCAAATCTCTCATTTTTGTCAAACAAAACTTTGAAAGGTTGTCTCAACGACTTTGTAAAATTATTCCTTAAAATTAATGCTTGTGCTGTGCATAAAGCCCCTCCAACGAGATAACGGACAAAATGATCCCCAATCATCGCTCCTATAGCGAAAAGAGAAGAGTCGTTGGATGAACAATAATTTGTTGAGGAAAATTGGTCTAAGTTGTCTATAGCTACTCCTTTCAGTAATGGAAATTCTGTCTGCCTTCCGATACAAATGGATAGACATAGAAATTGTTCCTGAAAATATAAATATTTCCGGAAAGTTTTATATTATATTTGTATAAAAATTTCGGAAAGTTTTAAGTATATTCTTTCCGGAAAGTTTATTTAATTTTATAGGAAGATTATATTTATATTCCAGTAAAGTTTTATATTAAATAAACTTTCCGGAAAAAATGTACTTACAACCTTCCGGAATTTTTATACAAATGATTTATATATTCCGGAAAGTTTGATATATTCTATTTCCGTTAACTATTAAATTCCGGAAGGTTGTAAGTATATTTTTTCCGGAAGGTTTTATATATTTCCATCAGGCTTTACGGAAAGTTTTATATTTTAAATTTACGGAAAGTTGTAAGTATTCTATTCCGTAAAGTTTTTAATAATCTTTCCAAACCTTTTTATATTACATTTCCGGAAAGTTTGATAATTTTAACAATTTTTCCGGAAAGTTTTAATAAAAATTAATCAACATTTTCTAACTTTTATAATTCCGCCTGGAGTATTCAGTTCAATTACGTTTCCGGAAACACTGCGTATAGTAGTTTCAGTAAGTTTTGAATAATTTTCTTCTATTCTCTGCCCACTCATAAGTTGATAGACTCTAACATATTCCGGATAGACGAGAGGTGACAGACGCGAAATCATTACATCTTTAAAAAATTTTTTAAATTTTTCTAGATTTTCCCCAAACTTTTTAATTGTCTATCATTCCTTCTAATTAAATGTAAAACTTGACAATTTCTCTCCAAAGCGCAAATAACTGCATCTGCAGCTGAAATACCATCACCAACAATAATTACTGGATGATTTTTTGATAAATTTTTTGTGTTTGAAATACAGTTTTTGAGGGAATTTAGATCGTAAACAATTGAAGTTGAGTTGGAGTCAAACTGGAAAAATAGGGGGAAAATATTCGTTCGTTTTTAAGTGTTTTAAGTACGATTTCCGAAAAAAAAATTTGATTTCCGATTTCCAAGTTCCGACTTTTGAGCCAGTTCCGATTTCCGGCTCTTCCGATTTCAGACACCTCTGACTGTTCCGATCCACCTCTGCTTACGAGGATAAGAAGGAGATTAGAAGGAGCAATTATAAGGAGAACGGAGATTGAGGGGAATTCGAGCTGCTGGTACGGAGAACAAGGGGATCCTCACCCGGGACCAAGAGTGCCCCAATGCCCCCTTCAGAATTTCCCTTGAATTTAAAATAAAAATAATTCTTAAATACCTCCAGCCTTCTCTGTTTATTCTTTCCACAAGCTAAAACCACATTTCTACATCGAATAATAAAAATTTTATTTGTAAGTGTATCAACACCATTCACTTTCCAATAACTACCAGTAATTTTATTGTATAATTTCTAGAAGGAAAGAAATTTTTTGGGAAAATTTTGGAAAAAATCTTCAAAAATTTTTTTCGAAAATTTTTTAAAATTTTCAAAAAAATTTTTTTCGAAAATTTCAAAATTTTTCTAAAATTTTCAAAAATTAAATTAATTCCTTACCTTAATCTGTAAAACTTTTGTATTCGGCCTAAAATTCTTCAAAATACCCATAACATTGCAATAAGCAGTTAAATAATTTCGGAATGTTTTGGCTGTTGGGCGTTGATTATTTAAACTTGGATCCCCTAAAAAGTCTTCAGCAAGTGAATACCCCGGCAAATCCATCCAATTGCTTATACTTACAGCTTTTATCTTTAAATTAAAATTTAGAAATAAAAAAAATTTTTTAAATAAATTATAGTAATTAATGCAGTTTCCCTCCCATAGACCTCTCATTTTCCTTAAATTTAAATATTTAGTTAGGTAATTCTAAAAAATATTTTTAATTGAATTTCTCCCCTTCAAAGAACCTCATTTTCAATTGTAAAAATTTAGAAATTGAAAAAATTTTTTTTAAATAAATTATAGTAATTAGTGCACTTTCCCTCCCATGGACCCTTATTTTTTCCTTGGAAAAATTTTGAATTTTTTGGTTCCGAAAATTCCAAAGATTAATTAATCTACTCCAATTTATCCTAAAATACAGATGCTTCGATGCTCTTTCAAGTGTACATATTTCTCCAAAAATATGTTCTGTATTTATGTGAAGGATTGGACAGATCCAGTCCAAGACTTCAACCCAGCCAGACCCTGGGAAAATCATTTGGATTCGGAACCGGTATCCGAAACGGGAATTATAAGTAATATGTGTATTTTTAAATTTTATGAGTCAAAAAAATTTTTGTTAGATCCTTTAAAGACTTCGGAACAAGAAGTTATAAGAGGCTATATTCTTAGAAATTTTCTTCCCTTTGCAATTTTCTAGGTAGTATTTAAAAATTAAAATTCCATAAGAAAATAAATTTTCTCTCTCTCTCTCCCTCCTTTCCCCCCATTTTTAAAAATTATCTAAATTTTCTTTTAAATTTTTTTCAAATAAAACACACACACCTCATCTTCAAATCCAGTCCAAGACCCACCAATTTGTGTATCCCCCAATACAATATGCGGAACAGAATTATTTGGAATTTGTCTCCACAAAATTGAAGATTTATTTAAATTATTTTCATTTTCAGTTTGTAAATCATTAAAAAATGAGGGCCGAACGAGGGAATCATAAAGACAACCAAAAGGGGTTAAATTGGAAGTTGAGTGTTCTGAAGAAGTTAAAAGGGTGGCGGCGGAAGTTAAATCCTTTAAAATTAAAAATTAAAGAAGAAATGAGGAAAGAGTGGGGATTTTAGTGGGGAAACGATACTAAAAATTTCTGAAAATTTTTTTTAATTTTTTGAAAAATTAAGAATTTTTCTAAAAAAAATTTTAGGAAATATTTTAGAGATAAGAAAATTTTTATTTAAAAATTTTCTAAAATTTTCTAAAAAAATTTTCAGAATTTTTTTTAATTTTTCCAAAATTTTTTTAAAATAAAAAAATTTTTTTTTGAAAAATTAAAAAATTAAAAAATTTTAAAAATTTTTTTAAAAAATTTTTAGGAAATATTTTGAAAAGAAAAAACATTTTTTAACAAAAATTTTTTAGAAAATTTCTAAAAAATTTTCTACTTGAAAAAGAAGAGATTGATTTTCAGTTGAAGTAAATTGTGCGTGAATTTGAGGATTTGGGTGGGGGTTGGAATTGTTATAGAATGGATGCCATCCTGCAAGCATTGCAGAAAGGGAAATTCCTGCTGGGCCATTTCCTGGAAAAAAATTTTTCTTTTATTTTTAAATATTTTTTTTCAATTCTTGGAATGAAAAAGTGGAACGAAAAATTTTTTAAATTAGCCTAAAAAATTTTAAAAAATTTTACCCACCTACAATAACCGTATCAGTATCAATTTCCACATCAAAATTAACAGAATTTGATTTTTGCTAAAATAGAGAAATTGTAAAAAATAATTGAAAAATTATTCAAAAAAAATTTTTTTTAATTTTTTAATAAAAAATTTTTTCTAATTAAATCCTCCCCCATCAAAAATAATTTTTTAAAAAACCAAAAAAATTTTTTTTGGTTTTTGACCCCTTCAAAAAAAATTTTTTTAAACAAAGTAATTAATCACCTCATCATCTTTTACTTCAATTTTCTCGTTTGAACTAATTTCACAAAGATCGCTTGAATCATAAAATGGAAAGTGCATCTTGTCTTTTTTAATGATAAAATTCTGATTAATCAAGGACAAGGACAAGAGCAGCAGAGACAACCACAAATAATTGCCTCAATTTTAATGGTGGGAATATTGTTGAAATTAAAAATCATAAGGTTGCTTAATTTATTAATTCTGAAAATTAAAAGAGAAAAAATACAAATTTAGAAAAATGTATTTTAATTTTAATATAAAATGAGAAAATACATAAAAGGAAAACACAATTAATTGAAAGACATAAAATAAGAATAAATTCTGAATAAAATAGTAATAAAGAATAAAAATCAGAATTAAATTTAATAAAAGGGAAAATACAAATCAGAACAAATAAAATACAAAATCTGAATAAATAAAATACAAGAAATCAGAACATCACGAGAGGAAAACACAAAATCATAATAACCAAAAAATAAAAATCAGAATATCAAAGATATTGAAAAAAATACAACAATCAGAAACAAAAATACAGAAACCAGAAACACCAAATAAAATCAAAGATATTACAAAAATCAGAATAAATAAAAATACAAAAATCAGAACTAAAGAGAACCTATTTGAAACACACAAAAATCAGAATAAATAAAAATTCTAAAAAGAAATACATATTTAAAATCAGAATTAAAAATACAAAAAACATAATAAATCAAAAATACAAAATTAATAAATTAAAAATACAAAAATCAGAATAAATCAAAAATACAAAAAATCAGAATTTATAAAAATTCACAGCCTACATTTAGTTAAAAATAATCAAATAAATTTATTTTTCGTTTAAAAATCTTAAAAATTTAAAATAAAAATGAACAATTTTAATAAATATAAAAATTTCTGTAAAAAATTTTTTTGTTAAAATTAAAAATATTTTTATTGTTGTAATTTTATTTTTGTTGGCAGTTTAACATGTGTTTATTGTGTGTTTATTGTTTTTTAAACAGGAAAATACAAAAAAAATTTTTATTTAAATAAAATTTGTTTAAAAACAAATAAAAAAAGAATGACAAATACAAGCCAATTTACCCCAAAATTTAAAATTTTATGATTAATGATACACAAAAAATAATTTTATTATTAAATTAATTTATTTATGACTTTGTTTTGAAGAGGAAAATGAAAGAAAAAAAGTAATTTTTTTATTAAATTATTTTTTAAAGATAAAAACAATTATTATTTTTAAAAAACCCCAATTTTATCTTTAAAAAGTGTTTTGTACAAAAATTATGTATTGCAAACAGAATTTAATAAAATACGAAAAGTCGGAAAATACAAGGATCAGAAACATTAGAAAATACAAGGAAAAATACAAAAAATACAAAAATCAGAAATACCAAATAAAATGAAGAATATTCCGGAAAATACAAAAAAAATACAAAATTTATCGGAAAATCAGAATAAATAAAAATAAAAATCAGAACCGGAAAATACATAAATCAGAACAAATAAAAACACAAAAATCAGAACAAATAAAAACACAAAAATCAGAACAAATAAAAACACAAAAATCAGAACAAACAAAAACACAAAAATCAGAACAAATAAAACACAAATTCACTACTGAAATTCGAAAATACAGAATAAATAAAAACACAAAATCAGAACATCAAATATAAATTCGGAAAATACAAAAATCAGAACAAATAAAAACACAAACATTTAAAATATTCTGAAAATTGTTATACAGATTTTATCTCTCCGAATTGTGTACTATTTCATTTAATTAATGTGTTTCATAATTTGAAAATTATAAAATGTGTATAATAAAAAGACGAACATTACGAAAGAAATCTCAAACATTAATTAAAATTTTGTTTAATAAAAGTTTAGAAAAATACAACAAAATACATTGTAGTCTACATTATTTATAGTGTGAATAAATTTTTAATAAATCTTTTTTTTTTGATTAATTATTAAATTTTTTTTTGATTTTCTCGTTTAATAATTAAAATTAAAAATTATTTTTAAATAAAAATTTATTTTTGAAATTACGTGGAAATAATTTTTAAATTATCGAGTATATTCTCATAGATGAGAAAATTATTTAAATTTTAAAAAAATTTTAAAAATTCGAAAAAAATTTTTTTCCGTTTAAACAACCAAAAATCAACAAAATATAAGGAAGATCAAAAATTAGTTAGGGAGAGGGTTGTTCTCTAAAATTAGTGATGTCATAAAATTCTCTCAACAATATGCCTACAAAAAATAATTTTTTTTTAATTTTTATTTTTAAATAGAATTGTGTTTTTATTTAATTTTATGAGTCAAAAAAGGAAAAGTAAAAAATATTTATTTAACAAAAGAAAAATGAAAAAAGAATGCTAAAAATATTTTTTGAAGGGGGCTTTTAAACAAAAAAATAAAAGAGGTTTCGCAATAAGCTAAACAAGTATTTATTTTATCCAGATTAAGCAAAAATAAATAATAAAATAAATTTATTTGGAGCAAATAAACACTTAGGAAGGGGAAAAGAGCAAAAGGCTAATTAATTAATTAATTCTGTTGGAAAAATACAAAAAAATACATAGATTTGTTTTGTATTTTTATAGAGAAATACAAACTTTATTTGATTTATTTATTAGCAGCTTAAATAGGTTAGACAATAAAAACAAGTTGGACAAACAAGTTGGGAAAAGGTTGGGAAAAGGTTGCAAGAAAAAGTTTGGAAAAGGTTGGAAAAAAAGTTGAAAGAAAAAGTTGGGAAAATAATGTATTAAGGTTGGAGACAAGTTGGAAAAATAAACTTGGAAAAATAGGTTGGAAAAGATTATAAAAAAGTTGGGGGAAAATAGATGAGTTGGGAAAAAAGTTTAAAAAACACGTTGGAAATGGTTGCAAGAAAAAGTTTCTAAAAACAAGTTGGGAAAAAGGTTAGAAAAAAAGTTGGAAAAACAAGTTGGAAAAAAGTTGGAAACAAAAGGTTGAAAAAAAGGTTTGAAAGAAAGTTGGAAAATAAGTTTCTATTAAATAATAAAAAGCAAAAATGCTGCTTTTTGTTTTCAAGTTTTGATGGATTAGTGTGTAGGTTAGAGAGTATAAATTGAAAATAGAGAGAATATATAAAACTTGCGAAATAGATGGATATATTCTCTAATTTATTGTTTTTAGAGAAAAATAAATATAAGAGAATATTTCGCAAACAAAGCTTTAAAAATATTTTTTTTGTCAAAAGTTGGTGACTAATTTGTAAGTGAAAATTTAAAAATTTTTTTTTAATTTTTAAAAATCAATTTTAAAATTAAAAAAAATTTTCCGTTTTAGAATAACCCAAACATAAAATTTTTTTATAACCCAACACAAACATAAAATTTTAGACTATTTAATGTTTGGGTTGGAAAAAAGGACGGAGACACGACATTTATTTAAATGAATGGAAAAAAATTAAAAATTAATAGAAAAATTAATTATTGAAAATTCAAAGACTTTATTTTTTAATAAATTTTTAAAAGTATTTTTTTGGAAGAAAAACATTTTTTTAATTAGAAGCATAAGAGAAGCATTTTGTGTTACTAGAACATAGCAGGGAACGAGCCGACAAGAAAACAAAATTCCCGATTTAGTGAAATCGGGATTTCTGATCCAAAAAACGTCTGGAATTTCCGATTTTCGGGAATCGGGACGGCTCGTTCCCTAGTACACAGCAGATGATTACTACATAGTCGGCTTGTGATAGTATAAAATCCAGCATCAGCCTAATTAGATCATACTAGCCCGGCTAGTCTCTTCTGATCTTCCTTTAATGCCATCACAATTCATCCTCGCCTAATTGTACTTTCTTTTGGATAAACTGTTGTTATTGTGCTCGTCGACTTTGTTAAACCTCGAACAACCCTCGGGGACATATCAAATAAAAAAATAATTTTTTGACAGTCTGGCTTAATTTAAAAGTAAGAGTAAAAAAATTTAATATTTTAAAAGGTAAAAATTTCTTAATAAACTAAAAAAATTTTCTTTTTTTTCTCGAATGGTTAAAAGAATAAACACACAAAAATTTAAAAACCTAAACGCAACGAATGAATGAAAAAAGAATGAAAAATGTGTGAAAAGAGGAGAAAGGAAGACCGAAAAAAAATATTTATTGGGGGGAAACGTCCGCTAAAATTATTTACTAGCGCGATACATTCCCCTCCCCTCCCCTTCAATTCCCTCCCCATTCATTCCCAACCATTCTAGCTTTGTCCAAAAATTATTTTTTTTCGTTCTCGACTCTGTGTTGACGTGCTCTTGAGGGGAGAGCAAAAATAAATAAAAAAAGGAGAAAAGGAGAAAAAACGGACCATAGCAACCGAAGATTGGACATAAAACAAGAAGAATTGAAATGGAAAAATGCATAGGTATTCAATTAAATGACCAAAATTTAAAAATTAAAAAAAAAAGATTAATTAAAAATGTAAATTTAATTCTTTGAATTTTGTTGAAAAATAAAAAAAAAATTTTTTTCAATAAAGCAACAAAAAAAAATTTTTTTTTATTTGCAACAAATTCAAAGAATTAAATTTACATTTTTAATTAATTAATTTTTTTTTAATTTTTAAAATTTGGTCATTTAATTGAATAATTTTTTTTTTGTTCCTTTATTGAAAAAAAATTATTTTTGTTACCTTTTTTGTGTCTTGGAGTGGGTAAAATATATTTTTTTAAATATTTTTATTTAATAATTTTTAAACAATAAGCTACATGTATGCTTTTTAATAGGAGCTAATCAAATAAATACAAACTATATTATAGAGTACATAAAATAAATTTAATTTTTAATTGTATTAAATTTAAAAATTTGAACAAATAATAAATAGAAAATTTTTTAAATGAGGAGAAAAAAAAATAAAAATCAAAGGAAAACGCAACCTAGAAATAATTAAACTTTATTACTTGTTAAATGCGCCTCTTTTAGCTGAATCGAATGACACCAAAATTAAAAAGATTGGACAATTCTGGATAAAGTTATGGGCGATTATATAAAGCGAAACACAAAATTATATTAAAAGTAAGCATTTCTGCGCATTTTGGCGTCCTGTTTTTTTTAATTTTATTTTTGGCGTTTTGTTTATAAGCGTTAATTTGAATATTTTCTCTTTTAAAAATCGATGAGGAGACGTGTTTTGTGTTTTTTTGTATTTGTTGAGTAATTTTTAATTTCTGGTTTCTGAATGTTGTGTTTTCCGGAAAAGTTTAGTGTTTTTAATTCGTGTTTCTTTTATATTTTTAAAAACCAGAATTTATTTGTATTTTATTTTTAAATGTATTTTCTTAAAATCAGAATTAATGTATTTTTTGTATTTTCTATTTATTTTGTATTCTTATCAGAATTTATCTATTCTGGTTTATTTAAATAATTTGTGTTTTGTGTTTTCTTTTGTATTTTTAAAAACCAGAATTTATTTGTATTTTTTAAGTGTTTTATTTTTAAATGTATTTTTTTAAAATCAGAATTTATGTGTTTTTTTTTTTTGTATTTTCTATCAGAATTAATGTATTTTTCTGTTGTATTTTCTATCAGAATTTATGTATTTTTCTTTTCTATTTTCTATCAGAATTTTTGTATTTGTTTTTTGTATTTTCTATCAGAATTTTTGTATTTTTTGTATTTTCTATCAGAATTTATGTGTTTTTTTTTGTATTTTTTATCAGAATTAATGTATTTTTCTTTTGTATTTTTAATAAATTAAAATTTGTGTTTTTTTTAATTTTTCAGAATATTTCAGAATTAAATTAAAAAATATGTTCCACAATATTGCCCCAATCGCTATGCCTTCATTGCCAACTTCCAAAGACAAATATGAACAACAAAATAAAATCGAAAGTGCCATTCTTTCTTCAATAAATGAAATTGTCCAAACAACAAAAAATTCTTTGGATCAAAAAATAATTTTAAATATGTCAAATTCTGATATTTTAAGTCTTGTGAAATCTTTGGATGGATTTTTTGCTCACGGGTATTTTTAAAATTTTTTGAAAATTTTTTTGAATTTTTAGTTTAATTAAAATGGATAAATGTTATTGGTCTTTTGTTAGAGAATTAATTCCGAGTGAGGAAAGAATTGATTTGAAACAAAAATGGAATTGTTCTAATAGAAGAGAATTGTCGTTAGCGTGGCTGAAGGATTCGTTGAATAGGTTGGAATTTAAATTATAATTTTTTAAAAATTTTTTTTGTTGCTTTTTAATGTTAGCATAGTATAGCTAGGGTGTTTGGGATTTAAATCTAACAATAAGCTCGGACCTAGGCATTTTTGAGTTTCCTAGATTTTGCCTTGACTAACCTTCCTGGGCGCACGGGCGTATCTAGGGGGCTGGGGGCCCAAAACCGACCCTCTGGATACGCCCTTGCTGGGCCGGATCCTGGACTAGATTTTGGGAAGAGGACCATGATTTGGCCAAGGATCCGGCCAGCTCAATTTATTCGAATTTTCAAGCCTTTATTCTAGCCAAGCCAGCTTTAAAATGATTATTTACTTTTAGACGTACTTTACAATTCCAAATGTTTGGTTTTATTGCCTGTAATGATTCACTTAAAAAATTACATTATGAAAGGAATTCTTGTTTACGAAATTTAATTTTGCTTAAACGTGTTTGTCTATATTTGGACGATATTGCTGAATTTGAATTTTGTATTGAGGTTTTTAAATTTTTTTTAAAATTTTTTAATGCTTATTGTTAAATTAGAAGGGGTTTTACTCGAATGGTTCTTGATTTTCAAAAATATTTTTGGAATTTGATTTGTTATTTTTTGGATTTTTAATAATTATTTTTTTTCGAACTTTCATAATTCATCCAAAATCTGGGCCGTAACCATGATTTTTTGGGGGAAGCTAAGTAGGGAAATTCTTCAGCACCGAATTTTCGGCGCAAAATTTTGAGAATTTTAGAAGGCCGTAGACCAAAAAATTCACTTTTTTTGCCCAATCCCTCCCAAAATTTTTTATTTTTTCCATTTCGAGGGAGGGATTTCCCCTATCGCCTGGCTACGGGCCTGCAAAATCTATGTTTTTGTGGACTGCTTACTTAATTTTGATTAGGATCTATGTACCTAACGGCATTCTTTCTATGTCCCTTCAAGATTAACGCTTCTTCGGTATATCCACTCTCTAGTCGTCTCAAGGTTTTAAGCAAGTGATTCATGTTTTGTTAGGATGATTGGCCAAGAGAATAAATTTAAAGTCTGATTATAAGTTGTGAATTTACCTTTAAAAATTTTCCTTACCTTTTTAGCCTCCCTATGTTTTCCGTATAGAAGATACACCAATTGCTGTACCCCTAATCTCCTCCCCTATAGACGGGACAATGTCGCCAGTTCAATCTACAATAAGTGATTCTCCAATATTTAAAGGAATTAATTTAAATAATAATTCGATTGCAATGAATATACACAGAAAAAGACGTGAAAGTGCTGCTAAAATATCTACAAGTTTTTTTTGAATTTGGGGAATTTTTTGGTTTAAAAATTTTTTAGACGGCTCTTTTTGTGAAATTTCTCGTAATTCTTATTTGGAAGGTTTAGTAGATGATTTACCCGAAGTTGATATTACTAAATTAACTGCTGGGGAAACTTCTGTTCAGAGTGCGAAAGAGCAGGTTTTCTTTTTTATTTTTTTGTGTCAATATTTATGTGGGTTTTAAGTGGCGATTGACATAACTAGTTATTACCCAGTACGTCGTGGCTATCACCGGTTTTGACTCTTGGTTCCGGTTTGATTAACCGGTTTTGTGTCAAATTCTGGTTTTAAATAACGAAATATAAGACTAAAAATATTAAGACTAAAAAAGAAAGGGGCAAGCACCGGAAATGAAAAGGAAAAACCAAATTAGGAAGGCGGCAGTTAATGACTAATGGAGTAATTGACTTAAAAGTGGAGTTGGACACAAGCTGCTAACTCCGAACCGAAACTGACCGGAGTCTAAAACCAGTGTAATCGATGACCGAAACCGGCCGGTTTTACAATCAATTTTGAAAATTCACCCCTCAAGATTTTAAAATTTAATTTTTCTAAAAAATTTTTCAAAAAAAAATTTTTTCCTGCGAAAAATTAAATTTCGAGGCCCAAAGGGAAAAGGAATCAATTTTTATTTTAAAGAGTTATATTTTGGATCAAATGCTTCGAAATAAACGAAAAGGTTTTGCTTCATACAATACCAATCCAAATTTTATTCTTGATGATGATGAAGAAGAGGAAGAGGAGGAAGAAAAAGTTGAAGAAGCTGGGGAATGTTCAAATTCTTTAATTCCTGAGGATCCGTGTACAAGTACAAAAAATTGGATTGAAAGGAAAGCAGAAGAAGAAAATGGAAGCAAAGAGGAAAAAAATGGTAAAAAATAATTTTAATAAAATGAGTTGATTTTTTTATTTTTCAGTAAGAAAATTTGAATTGTATCAGGCTGAGTATCAAAAAAATCAGGCTGGGTATCAAAGAAATACTCAACAAAGACAATCAAATTTTGTAGCAGATGATTCAATTTCGTCTACTACTACACGTGAAGATGATGAATTGAGTCAATTAAATGAAAACGAAACTTTGTTGGAAGGAGAAATATTGTGAGGATTTTAAAAACACTTGTCTGTTGATTGTAAGATTTGAATGCTGGACGTGGGTATAGAGCCTTGATTTTTTAAAAGTAATTGATCCGATCTCTTCTTGACTTCTTTTATCATTTACGGAGGGAAATGTTAAAACTTTACCTTTCTGAATTTTAATTTTCTTTCTTTACCCATTTCTGTTACATGCAGTGGTGTCTGCAAATGAGAAAAAAATTTTCCGCAGTCCGCAATTCTTATTTTTAAATCCGCAGTCTGCAAGTCCAAAAAACCACGCAATCCGCAATTGCGGACACTCCTAGTTTCCATACCTGGTTGGGGGGTTTATATTTAGAAACCGAACTCGATAGAGATCGTTCAATGTTATCTCAACTCGTTCCTTTACCTTATACAGAGCTTTTTCATTTTTTTTCATACTTTTAGTAACTTTTTTTTAATTAAATTATTTTTTTGCAGCCTCGATTCTGGTGAAATTATTCAACTTCAACTAGAATTGTGTATAAAAGATGGAGAACGAATCCAACGTTTATTTCAAGTATTTACTGGACATGCTACAGGCTCATCAACATTTAAATATTTATTAATAACTGATCAATATATTTATTTATTGGCTCCAAAAGATGAAGAAAATGTTAAAGAAAAGTTTGGGAATAAAGGTTTTGAAAATATTAAAAATGTTGTGACTGGAACAACAAATGCAGAATTGGGTATATCTCCAGCAAGTGTAGTTATTGAAGAATTGGCAGTTGAAGCTTTTGAAAGAAATAATAATAGATTGGTTAATGGAGAACCTCCTGTTAAATTTGAAATTTTGGTAAGAGTTTTTTTGGAGTATTTTTTGGGGGTTTTTTGGGGCTTAACGACATTTGCGGACAGACACTTGCGGTTAAAACTGAATTCTATTGAAAGGAACAAGCAATTACAATTGACAGTTAATTAGCATTATTGAGGATATGTGTACAGAATTTCATTTAGTTTCATCAAATAGTGGTTCAATAAATAGGTTCCCAAACCAGGGAACGAGCCGACAAAAAAAAAACAAAATTCGGGAATTCGGTAATCGGGAATTCCCTAGAGAAAATAAATTCCTGATTTCGGGAATTTGGGATTCCAGACCCAAAAAATGATGGGAATTCCCTATCTTCGGTGATGAAAATTTAATTCCCTCTTTCGTGAAAAACGGATTCTCGATCCAAAAAATGTTGAGAATTCTCGATTTTCGGGAATCGGGACGGCTCGTTCCCTGCCCCAAAACATGGCTTGCACCAGAAAATCAAAAAAAATTCTCAAATTTTTTCCTCTAATTTTCTATTTTTTTAGATAGCCTTACCTCTAACAGATTTAGAACATTTAACAGCAAGTATCGATGCCCAAGTTTTATGTTTTCATTCAAAAAATGTCAACTTTGTAATTTCTCCTCAAGCTTCTACAGGACATCAATTAAAAACTTTTTTGGTTGAAACTTGTTCAAAAATTCTTGGAAAAACAATCGTTTTTGCATTAAAAAGAACAATAACAAATAAAATAGCTTTGGAAGGAATTTATTTAAATTCAAAAAGTTCGTCTTCAAATTCTGAAGAAAAGAAGGAAAAAGAAAATGAGAATAATAAACTTAAACCGTTAACGGTTACAGCTTCACATTCTTCACATTTGGCTGTTGTTATAAAAAGATTTTTGTCTAATGAATTTGGACCGGTTTGTTTGATTGAAATTTTTTTATATAATTTTTTAAAGAGAGAGATTTTTAAAAAACCTTGATCTTGATTTCGGTTGGGTACCTTGACCAGATCCTTGCTTTTGTGTCAAGGAAAAATCAATGAACTCTGAAAAATGCCTTGATCTGGACTCTGTATCCAGGAAAAATCAAGGTCTGGATTCAGATCCAGCTCACATTTTTTAATAAACGAGGGCTTCGAAATTTTTTTCTCACTTTTTTGAGGCCTTTTTATTTGAATTTTTACGGATTTGTTTTTGCGGACACTTTTTGCGGACTTTGGGCTTTTTCTTTCGGACTATTTTTGGGAAATTTTTCATGTGACTTCTTTTTGTGGGTTTTTTACTGACCCTTTTTGGCGGACTTTTTTGCAGATTTTTTTGCGGACTTTTCTTGCGGACGCGGTGATTTTATTGTGGACTTTTTCTTTTCGATTATTTTTGCGGATTATTCTTGCGGATTTAAAAAAATCTTAAAAATAAAAAAAAAGCTTAAAAAATTTTATTTTTCTTAGAGAGAGCACGATATTCTTTTCATGTCACTAATTTATTGGCAACAAAATTTACATCAATACCAAAAATCTTTAGATTCAACTTCTTCACTTGATGGTTATATGTATATTCGAGAAATTTATCAAAAAAGTTGGAATAGAAAAACGATTACAGAATGGAAACAATCTTATTTAGTTTTGAGGTTTTTTTTTTATTTTTCTTTAAAAAATTATTAAAAAATGTTTTTTAGAGGTGCAATGTTCTACCAATTTGCGGATTCTTCTTTTCAATATGCACAGCATTCGTTAAATTTAAGGTTAAAAAATAATATTTTTTTGAAATTTGAGAGGATTTTTAATTAAAAAATTTAATTCTTTTCTTTTTTTTATGTGTCTTTTAAATTGAGGATTTCAAATGGGTTTTTTAACGAAAAAAATTTTTTCTGTCTGTTTACGTTAATACCCATGAAGGGGTCTTATTATATAATAAGTATGGTTGCCAGCTCGCTCGACCTGAAACTCGAGAGTTCGAGCGAGCCTAGGCTTTCTAGCTCGAAAACGAACCGAATCGAAAAAAACCAAGCTCGAAAAATATGCACCAAACGTCGGCTCGAACCGAAAACGACAACATTATATTAAATTTCCAGCGTTGTGACTGTGTGGTTGAGTGGTAGTGTTTTGAGTTCCTTTACCTATGGGTTCGAATCCTTTTGAGTCCTGGCATTTTTTTATTGTGTTTAATCAAATTTTAGCTTAAATTTTATTGATTAAATTATTTTAAAAAATATTTTTTCTATTTTTAGAGATATAATGGAAGAAATTTGCCGTATAGATTTAACAAATGATGAAAAATATGTCTTTCAAATAACATTTTCAACAGATACCTCTGCTGCTGGTAATGGTAATAGTTTATGTGCCTTACAAATTAGTTGTCCAAACGAGGAAATTTTACAGCGTTGGATTAGTGCAATTTCTATGGCTTTGTATGTCTCGGTTTGCCTTTTTAATTTTTTCTTTTAATTAAAAATTTTTTTTGTAGGCTGACAACCCTCCCCCAGTTGCTTGTATGGCTATTTTAACATCTACCCATTTAGTTTTTGCACAGGAGGGAGTTAATTGTGCTGTTGATGGATTTATGAGATGCCTTTGTTCTATAAGCCGTGAAGAATTTAATGATATAAAAATGTTAGGTTTTTTAAGAATTTTAAAATTAAAATTTAGTGTCGAATTTCATTAATAAGAGGCCCTATTTGTGTTGAAATTGTTGTATTTTTGAATAAGGTGTACTTAATTCTGGATTATCATTTAGGAGGTTTACCATCTGTGTCCAACTAAATTTGTATTTAACTGGAAATATCTATCTTGGCAGGCCGAAACTTGCGGACCCGAAGAAATTCTCAAAACATAGCTCATTCGAAAGAGCTCGACGAGCTGAGTTGAATGATATAAAATCAACGAAATCTGACTTGATTTGACAAAGTTACGATAGAAAAACAAAAACCTAAACCTATGGTCCGCAAAAGTCGGTCCGCAAGTTTCGCACTACCTCTATCTTATAGCGTCGTTTGACTGTTTACTACAGAGTTGGGTCGGGTTTTCGAATATTTCTTGGCTCGAAGAAGGTTCTGGGTTTGGGTATTTGACTTGTCTCTGGTTCACTTTACAAATTCCTTCTCACTTTACAGCTGCTAGGTTGAAAAACAAATTAATTTTTAAAATTGATAACCTTTATTTTTTTTGTTTTTTTTGACTCTATTTTCTGACTTTACTTCCCTTTAAAAATTAAAAAAAAATTTGTGACACTAGGACAGTTCACCAACAGAATACATACTTATTCGGGACACGCCCAAGTAGGCGCACGGCCAGGTAGGCGCAAGGCCATAACTAGCTGGAAAATTTCTGGACTTCAACAATTCTGGTACCAATCTCTTTAGCTTGATGAGAGGAATCGTTTAATATCAAATTTGGTAATATTAGGATATCTTGAAGCAAGTTATGGCTTTCGCCTACCTGGCCGCGCGCCTACTTGGGCTGTACCCATATTCATTCATCTTATACCAGAAAATATCTCTATTTATTTTTATTTAGATATGCAGTCCACACAGAATTTAATACAGGATTAACAATTCGTCGAGATGATGGTTCATCAGAAGATTGGCTTTTATTTCGTGAACGTTCAGAACTTGACCGTATAGTTGATTGTTTACGTGAAAAATGGGATTTAAAAGTTAATTTTTGTTGTGATTTTGTGGTGGAAAAATGTAAAGAATTATATTCTTGTGGAGAAGATTTGGATTTGGATGATAATTTGAGGAAAGATTTTTTTAAAAAATTGGTTTTGGAATGCTCCCAAATGACTAATTTGTGGCGTGTAATGCCTATTGAATCTGTTGATGAATCGAGGCATTTTTAAAAGGAAAGGGAAGGTTTTTTTATTTTTAAGCTTATTTTTTTTCTATATAAATTAGAGATCGGATTGGGAGAATTGGGGGGGGGGATTTCTCCATTTTAGGATGTATTTTTACAATTTTCAGTTTAATGGTTTTTATGTAATTAAAGTCCGTCGTCTGATATTATTAAAAAAGGGGGAAAAAGAAAAAAAATGGGAAACCCCCCCCCCCTTCCTGTGAAATTGGGGAAAAAACGAAAAATATTGTTATACCCCGTTTTATACCCCGTTTTAGCACCCCCCCCCCTAAAATCGACATCCTGGCTATGCCCTTGATATAAATTAGAGATTGGATTGGGAGGGTCATACGGCGAGATATTTTGAAAAATATAGATCGAAACTTAAAAAATTGATTAAGATCTCGCCTTGGTCCAATCTCTAATATAAATTATATTGTGTATTTTTAATTTAAATTTGCCTGCCTTTGAAGAAGAAAAAAAATTTCCTATTATTTTTATTGTAACATTAAAAAATTAACATTTTTAAGGCAGAAACAATATTTGAAATCAAAATAAATTTTTTTTTCATAAATTGAGAGTTTATTTATTTTTAAGGATTATTAGTTTATATTTTTTTTTAAATTATTTTTTTAAAGTTTTTGCCTTAATTTTTAAAATTTTTCTGTTTTTAACAATCGCCTAAATCAAATTATAAATTAAAATTCATGAGAGCTTTGTTTGTCCTTCTACATATAATTAAAAAATTTTTTTTATTTTTTTTCTAAAATTATTTTTTTATTTATATCTTCCCGTTGCTCATTTAATCCAAGCTTATGTTAGCTGTTTCTTCACTTATCTAAAATTAAAAAAAAAATTTTTTTTTCGTTTATTTTTTTTGTGAATTTTCTTATTTAAACGATAAATATTTAATTTTTTTGTAAAATAATTTTTTGAATCAAAGTTTTTTTAAACTTTAAAAATTTTACTTTATGTTTTTTTAAGAACGTTTTCATATTTTATTTTTACAAGAATTTATGCTTTCCAGTTCCAGACTAAAAACTGGACGAATAATTAATTTGGCTGTCTGCACGGTTTATTAAATTTTATTTTTTAAAAATTATTTTTGAATTTTAGGTTAATCAATGGGCACTTGATTTTACTGGAAATAAGGAGAGAATATTGAAAAGTATATTTTTTTTTAATTTTTATTCTTTGTTTTATTGGGTATGTGTAAGGGGCTTTTTGGATTTTTTTATTTTTTCGATTCTAAGGGGATTTGGTTTATGTTCTTTGCCTTTTTCTGTCTCCATAAATTTCTTGTTTTACTATAGTTTCTGTTGGTTTATGAGGGTGGATTTATCGATAAATTTATTTAGGGATTTGGTGAGTGAAACAAGGGTGGTCGATTCGGACCGAAAAACCTAAGGGTTTTTTCGATTCGGTCTTAATATCCGGAAAATTTTCTCAAGAGCTGACAACCCTAAATGGAATCACCTCTTTTTTAGTTCCATTTACTGTAAGATTTGCGCATTTTTCTTTCCTTTTTTAATTTTTAAAATTTTCATTTCGTTTTTTAGCCTGTCGAGATGCTTACGAAAAAGGTTCAAAAATTCGTCTTGGACCAGAATTGGAAATACCTGGATATAATTGTCTTGATCATTTTCATGAACTTGACACTGAACTACATTCGTGGGAAATTTTGAAAGAAATTGTTGATGAATCGATTAAAGTTTGGAATTTTTTTGAAAAATTTTTTTTTAAATTTTTTAAACTCTTTTTATAATTTTTTTTGAAATTTTTAAAGATGCCGGACTTATTAATTATCACGGGAATGCCCATTCGTTATAGATTAGGGCTTTACAATTGTATGGTTTCTTTGGCAAATGGACGCCTTATTTTTGTTTATCCAAAAACTGTTTTGGCAAATGATGATATTTATAGAGAAGGAAGGTTTGGAATTTGTTTTTATGATAAATATTTTGGCACAAAAGAAACCCCTCTGTCTAAAAATTTTTTGTAACAATTTTTGGCAGATTTTCTTACTGGCAGAGGAGTCTCTCATTTTTGTAAAAATTTGTTGTCCTATCGTTTAAGGATTGGTTGGTAACCTATTATCTATTTTCGGCTTTTTTGGCGCGAGTCTCATGATCTCGAGGACTAGCATGTTCAAAATTTCGGTACTTGGGAGATAGTCATATCCAATGTCTCTTAACTAAGGAAAAAATTTTTTGGCATGTTCTTCTATTGAAAATTTTTGTTCTCAAAATATTTTGACTAAAATTGTCTAAAATTTTTGACCATTTTTAATTTTTATTTTTTTTCAGGTGGTTCGTTTCCTGGGTGCATAAAAACAAAATTGTTGATTTAAAATTAAATCCAGATTTTGGATTTTCTCAGGTTTTTTAAAAAATATTTTCCTTTAAAAATTCTTTTAAAGGAAACTGTTCCCTTCGGAAATGGCTTTATTGAATCAAAAGATGGTGTTAAAATAGGTTTTGAAATGTGTGAAGAAATGTGGACTGCTCGTTCTCCAAGTAATGATTTGGCATTACAAGGAGTTGAAATTATTTGTAATTCTAGTGGAAGTCATCATGTACTTGGAAAGTCTTATAAAAGAATTAAACAATTAGTTTTGGGAATTACTTCAAAGGTTTTTTTATTTAAATTTATTTTTGGAGTTTGAGGAGAAATTGGGAAACCTTGCTTTCTTTTTAGAAAGTTCAAATGGGTCAAATCAATATGGTCATAATTCTATTTTTTTTATTTGTTTAAGACTTTTTATTTAAGATTGCTGGTTCTTTGAAAATTTTCGGGTTTTAGGAACTGAATCGAAAATTCTCGGTTGAACCGACAAATCTAATCTCGTTCATATATACTAGAGATCGAGATTTTTGAAAAGCCTGGATTTTTTCCTGGGTTCAGGGTTTGATTTATCGTCCTGGGCTGTATTCTATGCATGTAGTCCATGAAAAACCCAGGCCCATGAAAAACCCAGGAAGGTCAAAAAAATGTCAGAGCCTGGACTCTGGGTACAGGAAAAACCCCAGACCTTGGTCCAGACCCAGCTCGATCTCTAATATATACTCTCACTTGCTTTATCTTCTCTTCGATAGTTTATAAATTGGAGATCATGTTCCTCCTCTCTATTATCTTTTTTTTTATAATTTTTAACAAATTTAGTTAGGAGGTGTTTATATGTATTCAAATCATCGTGGAATGGATGGTGAACGAGTTTATTTTGATGGAATGTCTTCAATTGCACAAAACAACGATCTTTATGCCCATATACCTCAATTTGATTTGGAAGATACTTGCACTAGAAATTGTTTATTAAATTTGGATAAAACGACTGTTTATCGTGGAAATATTGCTAGTACCTGTCAAGAGGTTTAAATTAATTTTTTGAAGAATGCCCGCGAGTTTTGTCCGCAATTCTGGATTTTTGCGGATTTTCATTTTTTTTAATTTTTATGAGCCTTCTTGGGTGTCCGCAAGTTTTGTCCGCAATTTTTTATTTATGCGGACGTAATATGCGGACTTTAATTTTCTTTTGATTTTTTTAATAATTTTCAAGTCAAGTCGTTCCGGAGATATGCCTATAGTTAATTTTGATGCGATCCTTTTAAATTTGAACACAATAAATCAGCAACTTTCACTTCCAATAGAAGTTAAACCTTTAAGTGATGTAGAGGAACTTTGTCATGCTCCAGCTGCGTTAGTATATTTTTTGAAAGTTTTTTTTAATTTTTGAATCATTTTTTAAGATGGATGTGGCATTATTTGAGGAGAAGCAAACAGGTTATTTTTAAATTTATTTTTGTTTATGACTTGGGAAGAGTCCGCATTTTTTGTCCGCAAAATAAAAAATGTCCGCAATTTTTTTTTTTGGGAATCATGAAAAATAAGAAAAGATAGTAAAGAAATCACCTCTTCGGTCTTTCATTTTCCTTGCTTTTCAGAGTGGTTTTTTCCTTCCTCTATCTGGTGGTCAAGACAGTTCTTCCGTTGCATTAATGGTTAGATTAATGTGTGAAAAAATTTGTGAAGCTGTTAAATTAAATCCAGGTTTATTTTTATTTTAAAGGAGGGATTTAAAAGATTTTCTTTTAAAGATTCCAACGATCCTGCCTATTTTTTGGAAGGCAAAAAAGTTAATTCTGACCCTTCTTTGTTGTGTAAACAAATTCTTTTTACTTGTTATATGGGCTCGAGAAATTCTTCACAAATGACGAGAGATTTGGCTGCTGGTTTGGCAAAAGATATTAATGCAAACCATTCGAAGTAATTATTTTTTATTTTAAGAGGCTTTATTATGACTAGGGATCGGATTTATATTTAAATAAATCACTGAAGCGGCCCTGCCCGCGAACTGACCACTGTCTCTTTATTTTTTTTATTACATCTATCACTGGTTATTTCTGTCTTTCTTAAATATAATTCAACGGTCAGACACTGGTCAGTCAAGGCTTGTTCATGACCAGGGTCGTTTTTGTGCCTTATTTAAATATAAATCCGATCCCTAATTATTACCTTTGTTGGAATTAATTAAGACCATTTTAATTGGCTTTTTGGCTGAGTAAGTGTGGTGTAGTTGGTAGTGTTCTCGATTTTTGGGGTAGAACATGTTTTTCGAATCCGTTTGGGTTTTTAATTTGCTTTACTCAGATTTATTAGCGGTATTTTTTTTGTTTTTATTTTTTTCAAACTTTACTATTTTTTGACCTTTTTATTTTCCAAAAAAGTGAAATTTTGAAAAACTTGAAAATATTTCTAGGAATTAAGGAATAATTAAAAATTGCTATAAAATACCATCATAAATATCCTTTCTAATTTTATAAAAATATTTTTTTTAATTTTTTTGTAGTATTGTTATTGATTCAATTGTTGATAGTTGTTTACAAACACTTAATTTTACTCCACAATATGAGGTTTTTTTATTTAAAAATTTTTAAAAATTAAAATAAATTTTTTCAAGTCCCCAGACAAAAGAGAAGGCATCGCTTTACAAAATTTACAAGCTAGAACAAGAATGTTATTGGCATATTTACATGCACAAACAGATTTAATAACACAAGGACGTTGAGTTTTAAATGTTTTAATTTTTTAAATTAAATTTTTTAACTTAGGCAGGTACTGGAAATTTACTTGTGCTTGGTGCTTCGAATGTTGATGAAAGGTTGTTTAATCAAAAAGTGTTTTATAAAAATAAATACATGAAAAATTAGAAAAATAAAGTAAAAAGGTGGACTGGGAAAAATAATGTTGATTTAAAATTTAAATTTTGTAATTTTCAAAATCAATGGGACGAAATGTCACTCTCTAGAAATCAAAGATAATAATTTTTCGGCGTTAGCTAATTATATATTTTTAAATTAACCACTTATAAATTATAGTTTAGAAATAAAATTTTAAATATTTATAATTAATTTTTAACAAATTTCTTTCTCTAAATTTTTCTTTTTTTTTCTTCCAGTTTGGTTGGTTATGTCACTAAATATGGTAAAATAATTTAATTTAATTTTAAAAATAAATTAAATTTTTTAGATTGCTCTTCAGCAGATTTAAATCCAATTGGAGCAATTTCAAAGCATGATATAAGAAAATTTCTTCAATATGTTAATTCTACACATAAATTTGTTCATTTACAAGGGTATTTTTTTCAGATTTTATTTTTAAATTAAAAAAATTTTCAAAATAGAGAATTATTTTAAGAAAAAAATCGGTAAAAGTTTTCTCAAAAAAGACTGGGCATTAACTCACATTTTAATTTAAAAATAAAAATTTAGAATTTTTCAAATTGTTTACTAGAGTTGGGAAGTTTCATATTCTTCGTTAAATTTATAAGAAAAGGAATTTTTTTAAATTAGATATGAAAGACTCTCCCTAATATTTGCCACATGGGACTTTTTTTTGTTTTATAATAAAAAAAATTCCCACAGATGTCCACAAATCTTGAAAAATTTAATTAAAAAAATTTTTTTATAGAATTATAGATTCAGTCCCTACAGCAGAATTACGACCTTTAAAAAACGGACAAATAGTTCAAACAGATGAAGAAGATATTGGATTAACATACAACGAATTGTCTGAATTTGGAAAGTTGAGAAAACCAGAAAATTTGGGTCCTGTTGGAATATTTAAAAATTTGTTGAATTTTTGGAATGAAAAATATAATAATGAACAGGTTTTTTTTTAATAATTTTTTTGAAAAATTAAGGAATTTTATTTTTTAAATAGATTGCTCAGAAAGTGGAAATATTCTTTAGACGGTATACAATTAATAGACATAAGGCAACGATTGCTACTCCAGGTTAATTTTTTTAATTTTTAAATTAAAAATTTTTTTCTCAAATTTTGTGTTTTTAAACCAAAATTTGACTTGGCCCCTATTTATTAAAAACAATTCACAGCGTTTAGAGAGGTCAAAACTACTATAACATCCCTTTCTTTTTATTGATTGATTATCGCCCCGCCCCTGAAGAGACGGGCAGAGAAAATAAGGATGACGTAACACGGACCTTTTGCCACGCGACAAAATGCCACGCGACAAAATGCCACCCGACAAAATGTCAAATGACAAAATGCCCATATGACAAAACGCCATTTTTAAAAATAATTAAATTCCCAGTGGCGGAGTCGATCCTGTGACTCCTAGCCTATAGGCGGAGACACTACCGACTCCGCCACTGGGAAGCTTAATTAATTTAATTTATATTTAAACTTAAACCCTTTAAACTAAGCGATCGGGATGGTTCAGGGCCCGGTTTACAGTGCGGACGGTTAAGCGCCGTTTAAAAATGTTAATGTTAAAAATATCAAGTTAAAATATTAAGTAAAAAATGGCAAGGTAAAGATTTCATAAAAATATCAAGTCATTAATTGACAGGGCATTCAGATCCAATGGGTAAATTATAATGAGTAATTGATCTTGGTAGCCCAACCAGGGGTATATCTTTAATATTTTCTGTGATGGCATTTTCTTGAGTGGGAGTAATTAAACCTCTATTGCGCAATAATCTAAGAATTAAAACCCAGCATAGAAGAATCATAGGTATTAACAGTGAATAAATCAATAAAAATAAAAGAATATCATAAGCTACAATCTTATTAGATCCCTTAAAATTTTCATCAAGATTTAAAGCGAAAGTTATATTATCAGAAATATCAGAGTAATTTTGCATTTTAAATGCCTGTATGATTTTAATAACCAATTATTTATACAAATTTTTAACCAAGATTGGAATCCGAAACGATATGCCGATTATAATCTATCATTAACATTTGATCAAATTCTCCCAAGATAATCATTTCAACTCCACCAGAAGGAATGGGAGAATTAAATTCTAAACGAATACTTGTAGTACCACTTCTAAGCAACTCAAACCCACAAGAGTCGTCAAGTGTTGAAGTCAAAGGTATCACAAAAAATGTCCACCCATTTTTGTATCGGGACATTGGAATATCAATGGACCGATCAGAGTTAGCCATCCCCAATGCTTCGTACATGTCAACGAAAGCTCGAACAAAAAGATCTTTTTCAAATTTTAGTTTATAAGCAACCATGGGATAAATATGTCCTCCAGTATGAACTGAGATTTCTCGCAAATCAAATGGTTTAAAGTTAAATGGGGAAAGAGCAATGTCCCCATTAAATGCCTTGTTTGACACCAAAGCAACCGTGACTCTTCTCGGTATTGTAGCGCTAAAAGCATTATATTCAATTTCTGTGCGCCCCGCGGTTAAAAAGGTCGATTTCATTTCAGTTCTTCGCAGAGCATATGTAGCAGGCTTTGATTCAAGCGTTTTATAAATGTTCATATTGAGAGATGGCTGTACCTCAATCATTTTAGAAAAAAGTTTAACGTCATGAACATAAAGCCTATATTCGTTTTTATCATCGGCTTTAAGCTTATGTAAAACAAATGAATTTTTACTTCTATAGATGCTAAAGTTTATATCTAAGTTATTAAGTAAAAATAATTCCTGGTTTCCCAAATCAAAATCTAATCGTGAAAGAAACTGAGATCTTTTACCCCCAGCAAATAGCGAACATCGATTTATAAATCCTGAATCAAAAGCATCATCATGCTTTTCGCTTTTATAGTACCCTACTGATGCAAGAAAATTAGACTTAACATTGTCAGGAAATGATAATTCATTGGTTATATATGCTTTATATGGATAAAGAGTACCACTATCGTAAATTTCAGTATTACCAACATTAACTTTTAGTTGTTGAACGAATGTTTGCCCGATACCTTGAATGGTTCCTATATTTGTATCTTTAGTCGAATCAATATCTTCCCATTTACCATTTTCACCAAGCTTTTCAATAGAAAGTTCAAGATAAAGATAAGTCCTGGAAAGGTCAGTCCAGAGATTATCACTGAACAAACGAAACAAATAAGGCGAATCCTGTGTTATTGTGCTAAGAGGAAGAATCTCTCGAAAAAATGAGCGAATAACAGAAACATTAGTAGGAGGAACGGAAAAAATATTCAGGGCACTATTTAAGGCCAAAGGACTATTTTCATTAATTTGTTTTGGACAACTCATTTTAGTACGTGCCTAAAGTATCTACTCGTAAACGTTTGTTAGCGTGAATTTTTCTAGGTGATTTTTTCGAAGGTTTCCTAACAAGATTAGGAATAAAATTAGGAGGGCCAATACGGGAATATGCCCGCTTATTTTATATTAGGCTTTATATCATTTTTTTCATCATTCATTTGACCAAGGGATGGATGCTTTTCAATATTCTTGTAGCGTTTAAAATCAAATCCTTTGCCTGTTTGTTTATCAACGTTATCGGCCGCTTTCTGTAGTAAATTTTTCAACCCCGATTTGCCTTCATTAATTAGAGATTCTTTCAGATTCTTTCCTTCGAGAACATTACTTAAAACTTTATTGCCCGATTCTAGTCCTTGTTTACCTATAGCACTACCAATTTCTTTGCCGATAGGTATAAGATAACGGAGAAAGCTCCTAAATACTGAACCTAATCCACTTCCTCTTTGGTAGGGAACACCGCGAAACACGTTATACCCACCCCATTGATTAGGCTGCTCGGTCAATGCTGACCAGTTAATATGTGAGGGATCAAAGTCGATATGCATTTCAAGTTGAAAATAAATATTTTTAATCTAACTATGTATATTAAATATCTTTGATGCAATAAATTCTGTAACAAACTTATCAGCATTTATATTTTTAAGAAATAAAATTATTTCATTCATGTGAAAACCGGAACAGCGCATATAGAGATAAAATATTGCATGGTGGCCACACGAGCGCGAAAACATACCCTGAAGTTTAATGGAATTAAATCGAACCCTTTGAAATTTTTCTAAATAATCTCGAATATGGGAGCTCATCGGCGGCCATATTCCCAACGAATCGTAGTATTCAATAGTTTTAACGGAATCACAAAATATGGCTACCCAGTGTGTTCCAGGTGAATTATTAGGATCTATGTTAATTACCGCACAGAAAGGTGAATAGGTTGACTTAGAAGGGATACAGTTAGAGGGATAACAACCGATATAATATTTTTTGGTAACAGAATTTCTGTTTAACATTTTATCAATCTGAATAGTATTCATTATTAAAAGTAAGTAGACTTTTTAAAGTGTAATGTTAATGTACATGTTCCATACTGAAAAGGCATCAAGGACCCGCTAGTTGTGCGAATTTCAATTAAAATTTCAGAAATTTCTTTAACAAGCAACTTATGATATTGAATAGAAAGAAATTGTTCCTCAATTATTTCGTCTTGATTTCCTCGAATGGTTACAATACGGAGAACCGGAGCGGTAATATCCCCAATAATCATTGGTTCAATTAGGCCTGGGGCATAAACGTGAAAACAAGAAACCCCTCCTCTCATATCTGGCATAAATTTTGCAACACAAGATTCCTTTAATACTTGTGAATCAAAACCAAGAATATATGCAAGCTGCTCGCTTATTTCAATTTGTTCTATATACTTCTTGTCGATAAATAATGAAAACCTATTTTTATGTGAGTGAAACTCAAAGGCACATGCAAATTTTGGTTTACGATATACTGTAATCCACGGTTCAAAGCCACTTTCACGAGTCAGTTCAATAATTTTTCTAGTTTCTATAGGCAATTTGTCAATTTCTGCTTTAACCATATCGTTGTAAATCTCTGTTTCGCTTCTCAGTTTAGGAATTTCGCCCTCAGGAATAATCACATGTTTTTCAGTTGTTACGTTTGTAGATACCTCTTTACTGCTCTGTATTAGTTCTTTTAATTTTTTGTACTCTTCCTTAGCCTTGCTTCGTGTTTCCTTTAATATATTGGTATACTCAACTTGACAACCACGCATTTTTTCCGAAAGTGTCTCACTTCCTTCATTAAGAGATTTATCAAGGCTTTGTTTTAAATTTTGAGGGTTAGTTAAACTATTAGAAGGTACCGCTAAACGAACAATCTCACCACTTTTCCAAACAACTGTTATAGTTTGTTCAGTTGTAGTCCCAAGTGAAGGCCAGGAATGAGGATAAACCATGACAGATAATCCAACATTCCATTCAGAATTAAATTTTAGTTTATGGGGTAATCTAACTCTAAAAGAATTAGTTCTATTTCCTTCGACATTAGTATTGGATGGAATAATTATATAAAAGGAAGTCATTTTTATTTTAAATATTTAAAATTTCATTTATGTATATTATCTCCAAAGAACAGAGTTAGCAGGTATCCAACTGTTATGTTCAGACCCATAATCTTTCCATTTTACGAAAAGATAATCCACACCATTTCGTTTCCTTTTTCTCAAAACCTTTTCAATGTCATAAATATTCTCATTCTTTTTAAGTTCTTCTTTAACGAGAATTAAATCATTCCCATAAAACCACCCAAGAATTTCTTCCCCTTTACGATCGCGAATTTTATAAGTTGGAGGTTGATGGGGAACCAATCGAACCTGGTCAATAATGAAAATTTCATTTGTAAAATTTGGTAGGTATCCTTTTTGGAAAATATGTTTATATTTTTCTATACGAACATTATCCCCAACAGAAAATTTTTTATTTCTCCAACTTGATGGCGCGTGTTTTGCAACTGCCTTTTGTTTTAAAAATAAACGCAAGCGTTCTGCATTTTTATAATTCACATCAATAGGTCTCATGTCAATACTAGAGTTAAAAGAACGATTAATGGACAAAACAATTTTCTGGATAACGTCTAACCATTTTAAAGTTTTATTCTCTGTAAAATAACGGTAAAGTCGCTCTTTGATACTACGATTAGCCCTCTCAGCCATGCCTGCATGCCATACGGGGGAAGTGAGCATTGAGAAGTGTTCCATATCTATTGAGCGAAAATATTTTTGTACAAATTTTGCAGTGAATTCTAATCCTTGATCTGTTAAAAGTTTCCAGGGTATTATTCCGACCCGAAAAAATAATTTTTTAAAAGCTTCGATCATATTAGTACTATGTTTGCTTTTTACTTGTTCAACAAATATTTGTCGGCTAAGTGTATCAATACATACTAATAAATATTTGTATCCACGATTATGTTTACTAATTTTATCAAAAACGCTAAGATCGGCCT